TCGTATAGATCCTGATTATTTTTAGACAGAATTTAGACGTTGCACTTAAACTCATTATTCAATAACTATTTATTTCAAAAAGTAACTGTGAGTTGCAGCCGCGTCGCCAGACAGATTTCACTGGGGCACGTGCCCCAGTATTGATCTACAGTGCCCAAGTAAAAATTTCACCAAGAAAAAAAAATCACTTCAGAGTTAAGTTAGCTAACGTTATTCCTTGTATCAATACAACCATATCAATTTTTGCTGTATGAGTTGTGGGGGCTATTTTCAGTGAGTTTCATCAGCATGAAACATAATGTTGGTTATGGTCTGCTGGTTCTGCTCAGGACCTCTGCATCAATGATGATTTTGAGTAAGCTTATGTTAGTTGACAGATATAGCCTATGGATGGTGCAGTGGTTCTCAAAGGGTCTATCTTCAGGAAGAAAAACATTTTTCCCTATCATCAAGTTGTGAGCCAAATTTTTAAACCATTCAAGTTTATTTCACAGAAAAATAGCACAGTAGACTGGGGTGCTTTATTTCGTTTTTTTTTACTTTTGTAAATGTTCAATTTGCAGATGTTTACTTAAATAAATATTTCAAAAATATTCATTGCTCTTCCTGTTTGCTTTTATCAGTAATGGTTTAGAAGTCTAGAGTAAAGTGCACAAGTAGGCCAAACGCATAACCGCAGAACATTTCAGGTGGTTAATCAAAGATCTAGACCACAACAAACCCACTGAGCAAAAGACGTATATTAGACATCTAGTCTAAATTTATACCTCATTCCAACGTCAGGATTCGGTCCATTTTAAGACGTGATTTATGCTTCGCCCTTAACTTCATTTTTCGATAACTTTTTATACAATAAACAACTCTAATGTGCATAACTGACCTCTAAATACTGGATTAGATTACTTATGATACCTTTGAGAGATATGCAGCATAGAATAGATGTAGACGTCATTTACACGTATAAATTTATACTTCATTTAAACGTCGGGATTCAGTCTATTTTTAGACGTGATTTAGACGTAAAAATGTATACGTCATTTCAACGTCTACATATAGACCGAATCTAGACAATTGATTTTAATCCACAGTTCAAGAGTGATCTCAATCTGTGGGACTACAATCATACTCCGGAGCGTGACCAGTGTTTTCGCCTTATCCGGTCAAAACGCATTTATGGCAAAGAAAACAACTTTGGATCTTAAAGCCTGGGTCCTGCTGAGCACTCGACAATAAAGTTGGTCGCTGAAATTCCATTTAAATGTTTAAGTATTTTATCCGTCTCGGTAACGCCGGCTGCCGCCGTGACAATAATCCAACCACCTTATTGGTTGAGCACACTCACGTGACCCACCATGCAACCACTTTGGGTAGATTCTTATTGCACCAAGAGCGAAGTAGTCCGTGATAAAAGTTATCGGCATAGCCGCAAGAACACAAGATGAGTGACAAAAAAGTATTTGGTAGCTCTGCAAGAGCCCAGCTTTACACCTGTATGGAGATCGTACCATAATCGGACCATAACATGAAAACTGCTTCAAATTGTGGACCGCACAACATCTGGATGAAGCATTGCGCTTTGTCTACACTCGACCTCACGACCGTTGAACTACACCAGAAGTTCCAGTCGTTCCAGAGTTCGAGAATTATACTTTCAGCTGAAAAGAGGTGGGTGCTGAAGGAGATATTATAGAAAATGTTTATTTTTGCAAGCTTTGGTCCTCCCACCGTTGTGCATCATGATGCTTGACCATAGACTGTATATAAGATGGACACCCTGGTTCCGCCCTCCGCCTGTATATGGATTTGAAGCCAAAAAGCTCTCGGTAATTCCGGGTTTTTCTCCACTTCCTTGAAACCAGAGCTGTGCAGTAGCGTTGTGCGAATTCGGCCCCGCAGTCGCCGAGAGTCCCTGTGATGATGCTCGGCTCAAACAGCGTATCCCCCCGGAAGAGCTACGCAATCCCTGAACGCCCATAGGCTGTATCAGGTGTCAATCATAGAAAACATAAACCTCTAATAACTTCTAAAAACGGAGCTGTACAGAAAAAAAGGACTTGGGCACAAACCAGTCTTACAATAACTACATGTCAACATCACAAGCAGGGGGGAGAAAAATTTATGTTCTGTGTAATAAATTTCTAAAGTTTGTCCACAGTCCCATAAGCTTTGCTGGCTGAGGCGGGATTTATGACCTGTACTGCAGCCCACCATCAGAGGGTGCTGTTCTCGGAGTGGCTTCACCCAGCAAGGAGGCAGACTCTGTCCATCTTATATACAGGCTGTGTCTCATTTCAGAGACCGCATCGTGATAAGCGCGCTTAACGGCGCTTAGCTGAGTGCACTGCCGTTTTTAGCCGTTTTACGCCGTTTTGCGCCGTTCTGTGCCCTTCCTGTGTCCCATTTCAGATATAGCAGCCATCGGACGGCGCATCTGACGCGTACGTGAGGTCACCACGCGGCACGAACGGTGTCCCGTTTGGCACAAAATACTAAGCGCGCTTCAAATTCGGTCTCAAAACCACACTACCCCCGCCTCGTTTTCAAGCGTGCATGTATGCACGCTTTCGTGCCGTCGGTATCCCAGAATTCTTTGCGTGCCGCTGCACAGCTGTGCATTTCAGGTGAGAGGCTGGACGCGCTTGGAGACACAGCGCGTCTTCGAAGAAAATACAAGAAATCCAAAAACAGCAGACAGTCAGCTCAGGCTGTATGAGAGCATGATCTCTGAACTCACTAAAATCTGTAAACCAAACATTATAGATTTAGAGACGAACTGATCCGCTGTGCTACAACTATCAAAAACATTAGAAATGAGAAAGCTGACAAAACTACAGCAGAGTATCAGGACAACATTGAGGTTTTTTTTTCTTTTAAGATTTAGAGATTAAAGTTGTAAATTTAGGAGAATAAAGTCATAAAGTAAATAAAGTCATAAAGCTGCTTTTGCGGAGGGGGAAATGACTGAAGCTGGTCATCTGCAGGGTTATCTGTGGATGTATCAGCGGGTCATTCAGAGAGATTTTGTGGTTTCTGAAGAAACAATCAAACTGATGATGATCAACATTTGTGATCCAGAGGGAGTCGAGCTCCAACGAGCACCACGTCTCTGACACCGGCCGTAGCCTACACCTGCAGAGACACCAACACCTTATTATGGCATATGGATTCATATCATAAATTAAAGCTCAATGTCATTCACGGATATTTACGGCTGCATTGACAGATATATCCTCAGCATATTCATTTCTGCCTCCACAAAAGCAGCGATTTCCTTCAAGTACACCAATATTTTTCCCCGTGGAAAAGACGTATTTCTCATATATTCTTTTTAAAGTCTTTATACTTATGACAATGTGATGCTGATGTGCCAGAGGATGAAGAATCTCCTTGTTTGTGAAACCTATACTGAAGCACAGTTCCTTCAAATGCTTCATGGCCCTAATTTTAACAAGTCTCTTTGAAATAACAGGTTATGACTTCATTCTCATAAATTAATGACTTTATTCTCGTAAATTCACGACTTAAATCTCGAAGTCCTTAAAGTCTTAAATCTCAATATGGCCCTCATACTCCTTCTTACAAAACAATCATTGGATGAATTGTGCTTGTATGTATCTACTATTTTGTGTCTGTGTAAGGTCGCACAATTAAAACAATAAATGCTGCGCTCCGCGGGTTTCCTTTAAGTCAGTCGTGACGCGAGCCTGAGGGCGGGGACATTTGGCAACTCCACCAGGAAGTCCTCCGAAGGTCTCCAAATGTCCCCGCCCTCAGGCTTACGTCACGACTGATTAGAAAAAAAGCTGCGGAGCGCAGCATGTATTGTTTTAATTGTGCGACCTTGCACAGACACAAAATAGTAGATACATACAAGCCCAGATCATTCCCACAAAATTAATCCAATGATTGTTTTGTATGAAGGAGTATGAGGGCCCTATTGAGAAGGAGGATAGGAGATACTTCATCCTCTGGCACATCAGCATCACATTGTCATAAGTATAAAGACTTTAAAAAAAGAATATATGAGAAATACGTCTTTTCCACGGGGAAAAAAACTGGTGTACTTGAAGGAAATCGCTGCTTTTGTGGAGGCAGAAATGAATATGCTGAGGATATATCTGTCAATGCAGCCGTAAATATCCGTGAATGACATTGAGCTTTAATTTATGATATGAATCCATATGCCATAATAAGGGTTTGGTGTCTCTGCAGGTGTAGGCTACGGCCGGTGTCAGAGACGTGGTGCTCGTTGGAGCTCGACTCCCTCTGGATCACAAATGTTGATCATCATCAGTTTGATTGTTTCTTCAGAAACCACAAAATCTCTCTGAATGACCCGCTGATACATCCACAGATAACCCTGCAGATGACCAGCTTCAGTCATTTCCCCCTCCACAAAAGCAGCTTTATGACTTTATTTACTTTATGACTTTATTCTCCTAAATTTACAACTTTAATCTCTAAATCTTAAAAGAAAAAAACCTCAATGTTGTCCTGATACTCTGCTGTAGTTTTGTCAGCTTTCTTATTTCTAATGTTTTTGATTGTTGTAGCAGAGTGGATCAGTTCGTCTCTAAATCTATAATGTTTGGTTTACAGATTTTAGTGAGTTCAGAGATCATGCTCTCATACAGCCTGAGCTGACTGTCTGCTGTTTTTGGATTGCTTGTAATTTCTTTGAAGACGCGCTGTGTCTCCAAGCGAGTCCAGCCTCTCACCTGAAATGCGCAGCTGTGCAGCGGCACGCAAAGGATTCTGGGATACCGACGGCACGAAAGCGTGGATAAATGCACGCTTGAAAACATGCTAAGCGCGCTTAGCATTGTTTAGCATCTCGTGCCAAACGGGACACCGTTCGCACCGTCGTGACGTCATGCACACTTCAAATGCACCGTTCGACGGTGCAGAAGGGCACTTAGGTCGATGCGGTCTCTGAAATGAGACACAGCCACAGTCTATGTGCGTGACGGTGAAATGCATTCATGGCAAATGTTAAACTCGAGTTCCCATGTAGCCTGGTTGCTACTACGAGGGCTAGCTTGTGGCTAGTTTAGCCAGCATGGGCCCAACAGCATTAAATTGTCCATGTTAACGTGTGCTGTCGTGAAAGTAAATAAGGGCCTGCTCTCTCTGTTGGAGCCAAGGTTAAAAGCTGCTAGTTAGGCTATCCATTTAAATTAGAAAATGAAGTATATTTTGATGCCAGTACTGTTGTTTTTGTTTATCCAGTGTTATTTTTTTATAAAGTTAAATTTGTGTTTAACTGTTATTGTCATAGATGGGTTTTTCACTATGTGTGGTAGAAATGGGACGCATTAGTTGAATTATTCCAATATTATTTTGTTAATGCATTAGCAGTGCTATAGGAAATGCTAATAGTAAAAATCTAAAAGTACTGGTATTGACATATTTTTTTTACCAAGAGCAAAAGATATTCATTATGCATTATGTGTGGCGTGACTGGTGTGTTTTGAGGACCCAGAAGCAGACACAGAGGCAGATATCAACATAAGATGTGATTTTAATGTCCAAACTCAGGTTAAAGGCAAAAAGAGGAAGTCCGGTAGGCTGGTTGGCTGGCTGTCGTGTGGGCTGGAGACACTGCAGGAAAAACAGAGGAGAGGGAAATGAGTAAACATACAACGAATCAGGAACTGCAGAGTTACTAGTACAAATTCACGAAAGGAGGCCAGTAGACGCGTCTGTACCACTGGGAAGTGAAGACAATACTATGGCGGTGAGGCGGAGGGCTGCTGGCTTCTTAAAGTGCCTTGATTGTAGCTGTAGAGCAGGTGTGTAGTCTCACTCTGCCTCAGTGACCGGGGGAGGGGAGGAAGCTCTGGAAAAGAGTAAAGCCAGACCAGGCAAACAAGGAAACACAGGAAGTCCAGCCAAAATAAAACAAGAGGAGGAGGCGTCTCACCACATTATGTCCTGCTTCACAAGTTGCCAACTGTACTAAAAAAACAAAACAATTTTATAAAGGTTGATCTACAAGCTCACACTGTTATTAACATTATTATTTTTCTACTTTCTTTTTTCCACGTGTTTTCTTTCCAGTGAAATTGAATATGGCCTCTAATTATTTCAAAGAATGGTAGAGAAAAAGAGCTAGGGAGGGTGATTTCTTAGATGAATTTACTCGTGATGAGGATGTGTCACAGGAGGACACACAAGAGGAGGGTGGGGCAAGTCAATCTGGCCAACCACCAAATGAAACAACATCTTTTGAAGCACAGAATTTGGAGGACACGCTAGAGGGTATGGCAAGTCAATCTGGCCAGTTAACAGACGACACCTTAGGAAGTACTTCTTTCAATACAACCTTGGAAGAGCCTGATAATCAAGAGGACTATGGTTAAAGTGAATATCCAGACACAAGTGATGAAGAAACCGAGCTTGTTGACTTGGAATCCCAAACTGAAGATGAACTGTCAAGCCTAAGAGAGGATGTGGCAGCTTGGGCTGTAGAAACAAAGCAGACTCACAGTAGTGTTAATAAGATGTTGGCGATCCTCCGCAAACATGGCCACAATTTGCCCAAAGATGTCCGCACACTATTGCAGACTCCATGTTTTGTGGACAGTAAAAAAAGTAAGAGTGGCATAACTACTGTACAAAATGTTATGTATTGTAATTATTGAATTGAACGTTACTAAATCATATCTTTTCACTAAGAGTTCCAGCGGGTGGTCATGGAAACACTTTTGGAAATCCGCGATGAATTGAAATCGCTCAACCAGCAAGGGGGCATTGAAGATGAGGGTGAGCGGATACGTCAGTTGCCGTTAAGGACTTTGGAGGAGGCTCAGCGCATGTTGTTGGAAATCGATAGGCACCCCAACATAAAACGTTTACTGGTAAGTCAAATAGAGATGCTAAAAATTATAGAAATCTATACATTAGACACTCTTGATAATTTGATTATATCATACTGAAACAACAATTGTCACACCTTGGGGGGAAGGACATTAAGACCTGCACACGCAGGATCCTGGACAGGTATGAATATGAATACTTGAAAATGAATGCAAGACAATATAATAGTCAATGTTATTAATATAATCATGTATTGTTGGTGTTTATCAAGTCTTTCTAGTGAATTGCAAGAGTAAGCAGTATTAAGGTGCGTTCACACAGGCACCTGCACAACGGCGGCGAGGGTTTCTCTGACGTTTTAGTGACTTGTTCAGCAAATAAAGAGCAGCGCTGGACACGGTATCCGACGAGATCGAGGGGAAACCTAGAGCAGGCGTGACGTAATGCGCAACGCGAATTGACGGTGGCAAAGTGACACGTTTAAGGACACTCGACGCAACGGGCCCTCGAGACGCAACAAGTTGCGTTGCCTGTCCGGTGTGAACGCACCTTAAGAGATCTATTTGTCTTTGATATCCATTTCAGAATTTTACACAATGACGTGCAGAGGAACTACAACCTCCTGGGTAGAGGACGCCAGGGGAAAAAAAGCTTAAAGAAAACTGCTTTCTTCACAGTTGTTCTTGGTAAATGAATTATATCTCTGCAAGTTATTACTTATTCTTGGTCATGTTACTGACTCATTTAAAGCCTGAAGCTGTAAAAAAGTGAAGAATCCTTCCGGACAATACTAGATAATTTCTACACTTACTATGATTCAAGTTTCTTTTGTTTTTTTTTTTCTTTTTGCAGAGTCTGTTTGCACTAACTTCCCGACGGCAACGGAGGAACTGGTCGCAGCATCAATTGGGGACCATTTGAAACAGGCACCAGCTCGATGTGGTGGGAGGGGCACCACCAGAACACCACCCTGCTAATCTTTTTTTTTTAATATATCTTAAAATTGTTAATATTTATAGTTTATTTCAGTACTTTTGTGTTCTCTGTTTATGTACTGTGGTATTAGTATTAGTTAAATTTTTCTTAATGTTGTTGTTCTTGTTCTTTGTACTTTCAAGCTATGGTTTTATATAGATATATAGATTTTTTTCTTTTTTAAATGTTCGTTTTACTGGATGTGAGATTAAAAAATTGTTTTTCCCACTCCATGACTGTAATGGTTATATTCTGAGTAAAAAATGTACTGTGATTTCAATTACAGTGGACTGACGGTTGCCAAATGTAGATCAGTGTTAAATTATGAATGAGCATGACTGTAGAAGCTAAATATTCAAAAAAGTCCAGAAAGAGAAGCAACATTGCCGAAATAGAACGTGTATCAAGGTAAGCAGCAGGTAACTTTTGGTGTCGAGAATCTGGCTCTACAGATGGTGTTTCCTGTGAATATTTTCAGCAATTTACATATATCAGATGCTTATGGTAATATGCATTGTTGATATTTAGTAAATTTATTAAAATATTTACAAGAAACGATTGTGCCTTTGGACGTCCGTTGGACCTGTAGTCTAAAAATGGTTTAAAAGTGGTATAGAAATGAAAGTTTAATAGATTCATTTGGTCAGCGCCGTAGGCTGACTGGGGACCCGCGGGCTCCAGCGGCTGCCGCTGCCGGGACCGTCCGCGCGCGGGGAGGCTCGCCCGGTCCCCGGTCCCCGCCGGGTCGGCGGATTTAGACCAGATGTCTAATAAACGTTCAATCAACGTCTATGTCTATACCTGGGTTTATATTTGGTAGAAGCATGAACGTCATATGAACGTCTAACATAAAGACGTTTAAATGAAAACGTCTATTTAACGTCATTTCAACGTTATAGACGGAACAATGTAGAACAAACACGTTTAAACAACGTATAAATCAAAACGTTTAAAAAACGTATAAATTTCGACGTTAAAAAAACATCTAAATTTCGATGTTGAAAAAATTTATAAATTTCGACGTTGAAAAAACTTTCATTTCTATACCTCTGTTACACCAAATTTAGACTAGACGTCTAGTCTAAATTTAGACGTATTTTAGACGTATAATCAACCTCAAAATGCTCGCTGGGTAGTCTGATACGATTGAATAGTTTAAAGAACTATTTGTGGTTTTTTAAGATAAATAAGTGCTGAATATGTTTTGGTTTTTTTTATCGCACACTCTCATGAATTCTTTGTGCCCCAGGTGTGCCCCAGTACAGTATTAGGACTAGTGACGCCCCTGGTGAGTTGCATAACTGATCTCCAAGTACTTAACCAAAATAATTATGATAACCATTGAGCAATATACCTATATAATAGATATAGCCCAGATTTAGACTTGGTCTAAATTAAGATGTCTAAAAAACTGTTTCTTATTGAATAAAACTACTGTCACATTTTTTAAAACCTGATGAATTTTCTAAATTTATTGATCTCTCTTTAAATAAGGGGTGAATATGTTAAACGGTATGAAACAAAAACAGAGTCCCGGTTAAATCGTCTGGATCTAAATAAGACTCATATGCTGGACTTCAGTAAATGTAGTTACTTGGGTCGTCGTCACGTGCTTCACCTTTGACCTGATTCCCAGAGCGCACAGCTGGAGCGTTTGGACTCTCCGTTTGGAGAAGCTGCTCCGTTTGGAGAAGCTGTGCGTAGAAAGCGCGTCCTCGTCTATCCGGCAACATCCGCATCAGTTCCTCCATATCTCCGTCAGCGCGCAGATCCGTCTCCAGCGCCCGGACTGAGAGCATCTGAAAACCGGACGTACAGAGAGCCCCCCCACACACACACACGCACACGCGCGCGCGGATTTATCAGCTGTTCGACCTCAAACCGGGATCTTACTTTGTGGAGAAAACCTGAGTCTCCATCTGTGTTTTAATTTCTCTTCTTCAAAGATCGAAGCTGGATTATTTTCCTCCTCCTTTCTGACTCTGCGTTCGTGGAGATCGGAGCTCCCACTGTGGACTCTCTCTCTCTCTTTCTCTCTGTGTTTTCTCGGTTTGTTGGTGCAGCATCAGAGTTTCATCGATAATCTGCAGATTTCCTGAAAGATTTTAAACTTTTTTTTAAGTTTGTGTCCCGGAATGACGCGCTGACGCACCTGAGGGAAGATTTACACACAGAAGTAAGTTTGCATCTCTAAGTTATTTCAAAGGTTTTATCAGAGATTTTGATTATTTTTAAGTATTTGAAGAACTGTTTGTTCACACCTGTGTTAAATACACGGAATTCCTCATGCATGGCTTTACATTTGGCCAGTTTTCTGCCTGTGATTTCAACAAAATAATCACAGAAAACTTACAGTTTGGTTGATTTATTTAATCGTGGATCAGGAAACTCACACTTTATTGAAGATAATGAACTAAAAAAACAGAAAACACATGATTGATGGTGAGAAACAGATCAAATGTGGCTACAAAGATTTCATATTAAGCATCAAAACCCAAAGAAGTCCTGAACCTTGACTGAAAATCCTAAAGATTTCTCTGTAAGGACAGCTCATGTCTGCGTGTCACCTCCTTTATCACCGCTCCTCCGTCTGTCCATCAGAAAAGAATTAGTCAGTTTTATTTCCTGTAAAGATGACTACACCCTCCATCTCCTTAAAGGAGCAGTCTGTGACATTTAGGGACATCCAACAAGAAGGATACAGATCGCAGCCACTCCCCTTAAAGACACGAGAGCTCCTCCTGAGAGCCAGAGATCGGGTTCATCGATGGGACTTAAACTCAGTATTCATGCCATGTCTGCTAATATATTGGATCTTCTCATGAGGTTTTGGCAACAAGTCCTCCAATCCATTATGACCATGGGTCATTTTATTCATGCACTGAAATACAACCCAGTGGAGCGCTTACTAACGAGTGCCTCTGCCGGTTGACTGAGGTACCACACGGGCCTTTTGTATGACTCATGGAGAAATATAAATGGTAAATATGACTCTTACCAATCACCAAATTCAGTTTTAACAACATTTTAGACGAGAACATAGTTGTTAAAATTTAAAATGTGCCGTTACTTTATCTCGAGAGGACTGGTTTCGGAGATCTGTACGTCACCGCTACAGGAGGAGCCTTAACAAGCTGCTGCCTGTGCCACCTGGTACCGGTGTCACCCAGCTGTTGCGCCAAATGAAACAATAAAAAGATCCAAACGTAAGAGCAGCCGATGTTTTATACCTGTGTCACTTTGTCTTTAGTTGTGAAGACATCTGCGTGCACACGATCGCGATAAAACACATTATTTAATCCCATTTGCGGCAGTGTTTTGGACGTGCCATGACAACGTATGACATTTGTACTGTCATTTCTTGCTACCCCATCGAAAATTGTGTGCATGCGCATTTTAGTGCACATTTAATGCTCTTTAAATGGCACATCCAAAACACTGCTGCAAATGGGATTAAACAATGTGTTTTTTATTGCGATTGTGTGCACGCAGACGTCTTCACAACTAAAGACAGAGTGGCAAAGGTTTAACACATTGGCTGCTCTTAGGTTTGGATCTTTTTATCGTTTCATTTATCATGACAGCTGGGTGACACTGGTACCAGGTGGCACAGGCAGCAGCTTGTTAATGCTCTTCCTGTAGCGGCGATGTACCGATCTCTGAAACGGGGGATCTAAATTTGTAAACCAGTCCTCTCAAGATAAAGTAACAGCACATTTTAAATTTAAACAACTATGTTCTTGTCTAAAATTGTGTTAAAACTGAATTTGTTGATCGGTAAGAGCCATATTTACCATTTATATTTCTCATACAGAAAGGCCTGTGTGGTACCTCAGTCGACCAGCGGAGGCACTTGTGAGTAAACGCTCCATTGGGTCATATTTCAGTGCATAAAAAATGACCCATTAGGTCGTAATGGATTGGAGGACTTGCCAGCAAAATCCCCGTCCTAAAAGCGTTCATAAACCTGGTCTCTGTGGTTAAATTTAGTTCAGATGGATTGATGTGGACAATTTGGACTCAACAAAAGTTAGACCTCGATTCCCCTTTAGGGAACAGAGTCTGAGACCACTGTGAAATCTACCCACATAAAGATAATCTGAATACCTCACTGTATTTTAGTTGAAAACTTTCTCAGATACTGAAACTTCTCAGAGGTTCTTTTAAATCAGACAAATTCACTCGACAATCGACATAAAAGCAGCAGAGTGAAAGGAGACAGCCTCTGAAAGTGGCCAAGAGGTAATTTCCACTTCTTTTCAAACACACAACCTCACTGGATCATCGAGTTGACAGCCAATCAAAGGAGTCGGTCCGTCTGTAGAAGCTTGTAAGCTCTGCTTTCGTACTGTCAGAAAGTTTCTCCAAAATCCACCGAAAAAACCTCTCTTTTTTTTTTTCAGTGAACTTGAGTTAGAGCAGGAAGGAGGTTTACCTGACACAGAGGAGCAGGTACATCAATGAAATCTTTGTGTCTCACTCAGTGAACCTTCATATAACCCTCATAATTAAACATGTTGACGTTACTAGATCTACTTAATTTCTGGTAAATGATACGCCACAGAAAAAAAAAGAAAACATTAGATTTGTAGATTTTGAAGTTTGAGGTTTGAGGAACAAATAACTCGTTCGCCATCCACCATTGTTGCTGTTAGAAGCTCCTTCCCCAAAATCTGTGGAGCCTCTTTTCAACTATAAGTCATAACATTAACCAAATAAAGTCAATTATAAGTTTTGGTCACTTTTGTGTTTCCTCACCTCATATCCTTTTGTTTCAGCGATGTGAAAACCATCTTACTTGTGTTAATTTATAGAGCAGATTTTCCCGTGTGTTTGTGAGTTTGAGTCAAAACTTTGAGCCGAGTATTCAGCCGAGATAATCCACAGTTAGTAAACGTATGTTTGACTCTGAAGTGTCAATGAAACACGGCGAGTGGGCAATCAAACACAGGTGTGTGACACAAGACACAGGTGAAAGCACTGAGAGAGATCAGACGAGAGAGGATCACACTGGGCCAGGAAGTAAAACGGAAAGGGCCAATCAGGGAGAGGGGATATTCTGGGGTAAAATAAATTTAGGGTCAAACACATCATCTCTAGTTATACCAACTTTAGTAACAACCGCAGGATAGCAATACAGACAGCCACGCGCTCAACCAAAACACCACTCTATAGCCACAAATAATGTTCAGAGCAGCACCTAACTTCATCAACAGTACATATAGGGTCCCAGCCATTGTACTAGCCACCAATCATCTTTTTATCTTTGACTAATTCCTTTAGCAAAGAGACTAAACACAACTCACCTACTCTCTTTCAGCAGCCGCTTGTTGTAACGAGACCTCGGGCCAGTCCATTACGGACTACAGTGGGGTGACGCAGCTCAAGGAAGAACATTTATGATCATTTCTAGGGCTGCACGATATTGGAAAAAACTAACATTGCAATTTATATATATTGCAATATTTAAAAATACAGGAATTTTCAGCAGATGACCTGAATAGCACTTTCTGCTGAAATCTTGAGGACAGTTAACTTGCACTGATCTTACCTCTTTTAGTGAATGTTAGCAGAATGGCTTTTGTCTGTCTTAGAGATATTTTTAGCTTTTATTGCGCTGGGACGTTATTGTGGAAACAGATGAACACAAAACAGTGATTTGGTCGACATTATCCTTCTTGCAACCGAAATAATTCCAGATAAATGACTTTCCCTTTCTTTTTGGCAATTTTCGGTGGTTTTCTCTTGTTCGTTTCTCATTTTGCAATCGTTGTTGTTGTTACCGATGTTGTGCCAAAAAATGCATGTCCACCGAGAATTTCATGCACCTCGCAAAATGCTCATCACTTATATTAGAGTGGTCCACGGAAATGTACAATTTTAAACCCATACAGTTCTTATTCGTGGGGTTAAACAGTGATGAGTAATGTTCCCAAAGTAATTCTTAGCGGGCATGCATCTATCAGCATAACACCGGCAGCACCAACGGCTCACTCCATGTGCAGGGGTGTGGTTTCCTCCTCTTTGATTTTGATTGACGGCTGGCAGGGTAGCCTGATTGGCAAGTGAGTAAAGAACAAATGTGATTGATGGATCGCTGCACAGCACATGCAGAGTCACATGCAGTGTATCTCAGTCAGCTACACTTGAAATTAGATGAGGTCATCCGCCTCCTACATCGCAAGCTCTGCAATGTAACTATTGCGCACACGTGCATCGCGATGACGATGCTCAAATGATATAATGTACAGCCCTAATCATTTCTTTATCATTCACCATATTAATCATTTTGCACTGCAGACGCGGTAGTTCTTCTGCCTTAGCGTCTCGATCTGATTGTATTTCCATGAAGAAATTATCATAAATGTTCTTCCTTGAGCTGCGAAACTCTGCCATACTCAGTGATGGACTCATCAACCCGTGAAGTTAAAAAGATGTTTGGTGGCTAGTGCTATGGCTGGGACCCTATATGTACTGTTGATGAAGTTAAGTGCTGTTCTGAGCATTATTTGTGGCTATAGAGTGGCGTTTTGGTTGAGGTTTGTTTATGGCTCCTCAGACCGCTGTGTATTGCTATCCTGCGGTCGTTACTAAAGTTGGTATAACCAGAGAAGCAAGCGGTCGGCAACATTCATCTCTGGAGAGGGTGTGTACCTTGATGTTACAGTGTGTTGGACCCTAAATTAATTTTATGCCGGAATATCCCTTAACCCTGCAACATAACAACTCCAAAAAAACAAAAGATGAAACATAAGAATAATTAAATAAACAAAGAAAAGACTGATGAACAAAGTCAACAAAATAAAACAGGGAATTCTGGGAAATACAGAACAGCTCATGACACACTGCTTATAAGTTGACGTACTGTGGATAACACAACGGGAGCTGTGACTCACAAACATCAGCGGGTATACATGTGGAGGATCTGTCCAGGTGTGAACAGGTGTCTTCTTGTTGTATCCACCCCTCACTTCTGCTGGTCATGTGTTCCCTCTTCTGGAGATCTGGATCAACATGACTGGACATGGATCACATGTTCACCTTGACCACTAAATGTCTCTCTCTGTCTTGCAGATCGTCCTCTCACTCAGACTCCATGGCGTCTCCTTGACTGAAAGTCGTCCGGTCTCTCCGTCGTCTCGAGGAAATCCCCGTCTTCCGTCTCCAACCCTGTAGAGTCTCCCCTCGTCACCATGACAGCGGCTCCTCAAACGCCCTGTCCGTCAGAGCTCAGCGGACTTTCCAACAACAACCTCAGCCTTGTCTCCGTCAACCCGCCCTGCAACCAGAGCATCAGGACCCCCCCTTACACGCCACAAGCCACCGCAGCCTTCGCCATCGGGATTACCTCTATGATGGTCATGACTATTGTTGGGAACATCCTGGTCATCATCGCAGTCCTGACCTCCCGGTCCCTGAAGGGGGCTCAGAATCTTTTCCTGGTGTCGCTAGCTGCGGCAGATATTTTAGTCGCCACGCTAATCATTCCTTTCTCGTTAGCTAATGAGCTGCAGGGCTACTGGGCGTTTAGCTCCATCTGGTGTGAAATCTACCTGGCGCTGGATGTCCTCTTCTGCACCTCCTCTATTGTGCACTTGTGTGCAATAGCACTTGACCGCTACCTGTCCATCTCTCGGCCTGTGTCCTACGGCACCAAGCGTACACCCTTGCGTATTAAAGCTTCCATCGTGGTGGTCTGGCTGATCTCCGCGGTCATCTCTTTCCCTCCTCTGCTCACCCTGGACAAAAGCAAAGGAGGTAACGGGGTATGTGAACTCAACAGCGAGCGCTGGTACATCCTCTACTCGACCATCGGCTCGTTCTTCGCCCCGTGTGTGATCATGATTCTGGTGTATGCGAGGATTTATCAGATCGCTAAGAAGCACACACGCCACCCGCCGGGACACAAGCAGAAAGTGGCAGCGGGGGGAAATGCGAGTGTCGCAAGTAATGAGCCAGCGGTAAAGCAATCCGGGCAGTTGCACCAAAACGGGGACCGAGGCGGAAGAACTACCAGCCTACGGGACAAGGTCCACTTTAAAATGCCTGAGTCTGAATCTACTCCATCATCACTCCGAAGACCTTCTGAGTCCAACACCCAGAAACCTCCTGATTTAAGTCCCACTCCCATCCAGAAATCCACCTCCTCCCCATCAATCCCTCAGCAGGACAGCCAGGTCCCCCCAGCTGATCCTCGTATAGTTCCTCAGACACATCACATCGAGAGGGGGGAATCACTTCCTGACAATGGCTCCACCTCCGGCTCTGAGGCCGAGCTGGAAACTGGCGAGGACAGAGCTCTGAGGGACGGTAACAAAGAAGAGGCGAGCAAGAATGAGGAGAAGACCTCAGAGACCCCCCAAAGCAAAAGCTTCAGAGTCCAGGTGCTCAACCTGGCTCACAGATACAAAAACACCATGGCCACATCATCAGGGACCAAACTGGTCTCAGAGGAAACACCTACGAAGCAGGGGACGCCGATTTCCCGCCGCAAGGCCATGATGAACCGGGAGAAGAGGTTCACCTTCGTCCTGGCAGTGGTGATGGGGGTCTTCGTGATCTGCTGGTTCCCCTTCTTCTTAACCTACTCTCTGCAGGCCGTTTGCCCCGAGACCTGCAGCATCCCCAACCCCTTGTTCAAATTCTTCTTTTGGATAGGGTACTGCAACTCCTGCCTCAACCCGGTCATCTACACGGTCTTCAACAACGATTTCAGGAAGGCCTTCAAGAGGATACTGTGCAGAAACACTAAGGGGACGTTCTTCTAGAAAGGAGTAATTCTTTGGACTGCTGGAGGACAGAAAGACTGTTTTGTGTGATGTTTAAAAACTTTTCATTTCTTTGTGAGTCGGACCAGGACTGACCTTCTTCAGCAGCTGCATAAACACTTGAACATTAAGGAGGAAATTGCATCCATTTTCTCCTCTCCTTGTGTTTGTTTGTGGGCCTCGCAGCTTCTCTCCAACAAAGAGGACTTCAGAAAAACCCTGGTCAAGTGGCTGAATCAATTATCTTTAATGTTATTTAAGAATGCAGTGTAATTGTATTTAATGACTCTGAAGGAGAGTGATCTGATTATATTTTGAAACGGAAGTCAGGATCTGTGCTACAGGGTCTGTGTTTAGTAATTTAAAGTACAACGATAGTGTGAGTCTGTTTGTGTGAGCGTGTATGCATAGGAGACGAGGAGGACTGCCTTAGGGTCTAACTGGAAGAGAACAAATATCACTAAGTGTCCTTGATTGGAGATAATATGGGCACTCAAAGAACATAAGATCAGGGAAACCGCGAGCATCCTCCTCTGTGCCTCGACCCGCTCCTCTCTCTTTCTCGTCTCATCTCCAGCTGTAACCTGGAACGTGTAAATTATGGCGGATAGTGCTTTTTCCCTCTCAGTATTCCCTTGTCACCGCGAACAGCTGAATGTAACACCTCACATGGGGGATCGCTCATTAAGGTTGTAGCCAGGAGGCTTTTTCTAGAGCGAGAGAGCCAGTGAAGAAGGCTGCATGAAAGACGTGAATATGAAACTTGGACGAGGTTGTTCACTTCCCCCACTTTCTTTCTTTCATCTTGCTTTAAAGCTTCAGAGATATTTTCTTCCCCCTAAACGAAAACACGACGCAGAACTGCTGTGCTGCTTTTGTTTCCAGTTAGCTCACAGGTTTTAATTTTCACCGTTTAATGACCATGATGGACAGTGAGCATTGTGCCCTTTTTAAAGCAATACGGACTGTATGTGAACTCAGAGCTGACCCTGACTATGAGCTGAATCTCAGATGAAGACGCTCCTCCTCTCTCTGGACTGATCTGGTTTTGTGGGTGTGTGAAGAGTGTGTGAAGAGTGTGTGTGGCTGAGTTTGCTGCAGCATGCTTTTGAGAAATGCACTTCTTATCTTTGGCCAACAGAACTCTGCTTGACTGAAGCACCCAGTACTGTATACATGTGTAAGATAACCCTGGTGGTGGAATCTGCTTTTGTACAGTCGCAGCTTAAACACTAAGAGTAGTTGTGCTTCTTACTTTAAAGTCCAGCTGAAATAAAATTAACATTTTTTCCTGCCATGTGATCGAGCACTTACTTGGCTGTGTTTGGAGGAATAAGATGGCGGGGCTTTTAGATAACAACGCAAATGCAAAGAGGTGCAAACCTAAACCAGGTCCACACCTCTGAAACCTGTGTGACGATGTAAAGAGAGTGTTTTAATGTTATGAATGTCCTGAAATGACATTAAAAATTGTTTCCTGCAAAGAAACATAAAAAAAGGTCTCACCATGCCGACTGAAATGGCACGCCATGAGAAATAACATTTAAAAAAAGGGAAATCAACACATTTGTAAGATTATTGCATATAAAGTGCAGTAAGATCTGTTTATTCTGGGATCACAGTGCTGAAGTGAGACAGATTTCAGCATATTTAAGGGTGTATCAAAGATAGGACCCAGCAGAGACGAACACAGAGACCCAGCAGAGGGACAATAACAGTCAAAACTGAGGCTTAACCGGGACAAATACAGTCAAACTGAGACTCAGCAGAGGGACAAACACAGTCAAACTAAGACCACACGACAATTACAGTCAAACTGAGACTCAGTGGGGACAAATACAGTCAAACTGAAACCACAGGGACAAATACAGTCAAACTGAGGCTCAGCAGTAACAAATGCAGTTAAACTGAGACCACAGGGACAAATACAGTCAAACTGAATCTTAACAGGGACAGATACAGTCAAACTGAGACTCAGTGGGGATAAAATATGGTCAAACTGAGACCACAAAGACAAATATAGTTAAACTGAGACTTTACAGAGACAAATAATGTCAAACTGAGACTTAACAGAGACAGATACAATGAAACTGAGACTACAAGGACAAATCCCCAAGCACTCTATAGCTGGAACAGAACCCCCACAGTTGGTGTCCTTCAGATAAGTCCAGATCTGCTCCTTGCTAAAGCTCAGCAAACACAATGTTACTGGATACTTGTGGTTGTCAATGTCTACTCACTATGAGAGTAAATGTTTATGATTACGATAATCAACTTTGTGGCACGTCAACAAAAACCTAAAACGTAGAAACTACCAAGCTACCACTTTTTCCACAGGGGGCGCCAGAGTCAACACAGAAATTTACTCACAGGAGCTTTAAATGCCTTTAGCAAATGTCTAATTAAAACTGAAACATTCAAACTCATATACAGGAGTTTGTACTAAACAGTTACAGTCGAGTCACACAGTCATGCAGCCAATCAGAAACTGTTGTGGGCGGGGCAAACTGATGCGAGAAAGACAAGTAAGAGCGCAGACACAGCTAAAGCTGATTGGCAAGTTTTGTCGCCCTGAAACAGAGAGGTACCAGCTGCTGTGGTAAAAGTTAAAGGCTTTATGAACCATTTCTACTTCATATCAGAAAATCAGCTGTTTTCATACCAATCAGCGACATTTCTATGATTTCAGCTGGACTTTAAAAAAACAGCTCGTTGGATCCCTCTGTACCTCCTTGTATCTCCTGTGCTGTCGTTGTGTATCGCTTTAATTTCCGACTGACTTGATGTAAAGGGTCGAATAAAGGACTCAGTGAGACTGCGTAAACATGGCTCGTCGTCTCAGAAAGGGGGCGGGCCGGCTCGACCGAGAGCACTTACAGAGAAGAGAATAATATGATCAGACAATTTACTATCACTGTTTCCTGTCAGAGTGTTTTAGGAGAATTATTCCTGTCTGCTCCGGTGACCTTTGACCAGAAAATCAGACACAATACACTGACATGAATGTTTAAAGTAGGTGCATCCATCTTAAAGCAAAAAGAGTCCACACCTCCTCCTGCTAAACAAACACGTCTGTTAGATTGAAGGTTATAATTAACTGATGACTCATTAGCTCGTGCTGAGTAAAAACGCTGAGCTGTCAGAGCCGTCAGGAGCACGATGTGTTACTGCTTCAAGTGCAGAGACACTTCTGATTTTAATGTTGTGAGAGGTGTCGAAGCCTCCTAGCTGTGTGTTTAAGAGTAATTAGGACAGCTCCCATCACTACCTCTCTCTCTTTGTGTTTTTTTTAATTAGCAGCTAAATAAAATTCTTTTATTTGTGTAGAGATTAAAGAAATCAGGTTTTAATGCCCCCCGATGAGTAGATCCAAAAGAGTGAAAATCAACACATTCAGGCTTTTTCCAATATAGACACATGTGTGATGTTTTTCCTGGAGCTTGGACTCCTAAAACTGGGTGGAAAAGACAATCTGCACTGCGACAGCTTATTTTAACAGACCAAAAATGGATTCATAAACAAGGGTGTTTGTAATGCTTATGTGTTACAGCGCATAAAACTCTTTCAAAACGAGGTAATTAACCAGATGGGTTTTTCAGGGCATAGAAACAGACATAAAAATAAAAAACAGCTAAAAAAGCAACACAACGTTGAAATGCTGTGAAATGTTGATAAAAAATGTAAGGTTAAAAATCACGTCAAGCCCAAATTTGAGAAAAAAAACATCAAATGTTAAAATCAAGAAATCTGACAACAGCAACACGTATTAAAAAAGTGTCTCCAAATGTTTCCAAGTCAGGACTGCATCAAGTCCAGGTTCTCAGCAGGACTCTTCTCCTAAAAAGTCTTTGTCTGGAAGGCAACAGATGTTGCTCCTAAACCTGGAGATATTGTTTAAAACTGAGGATGCAGCATCTATGATTTCCAGTTCTTCGTTCAAAGGACAACTGGACTTCTGTGTCCCCTAACCCCCAATTTCCACCACATCCAGAACATCTACCAAAAGGTCGTATCCGCTGATCGTAGCTGATCGTAACTATTCAAGTTAACGTGACAATTTCCACCACCTTCTTTCCGGTCCTCTGCGGATCGCCGGACTCCACAGCTGATCGCAAGAGTTCCATTTTTTCCAGACGCTGGAGCATGCCGGATAAAATCATCACAGATTAACCGGTGCTGGAAAGGAAGTCAGGCACAGACACAAAATAAAACATCCAGCTTCTAGACGTACAAGTGTAAGGTTTTTAGATGTAATTTCACCCCGATGACACCATGGATGAGGAGATGCTGATTCTAGAAGTCGAGAAGTAGATTTCCTCCTCTGGAAGAACACAATCTACTGCTTATAAGTCTATGTGTCTGTCTTTATAGAGACAACTTGTTATCACGCGATTGAACGTGAATCAGCGGGTTCTTGTGAGTTCTTATGATTCCTACTGTCCGTAATCTGCCACAAAATTCGCCTCACAAATGGATCCGGTAGGAATTGGCGGATGGTGAAAGTCGCCGCAGTTCTGGATGCAGTGGAAATCTGGGTGTAGTCCACCTTAAAAGGACTCAGGTCCAGAGAAGTCTCTGGTGTTTCTGGTTCCATCTGGTTTCCTCTTTCCTGGTTCAGTTTGAACCTCATAGTAGATGCAGTGATGAACTTTGTTCACAGTCAATGGTTTTTAAAGTGTTTCTTAGTCCATGCGGTGATTCCCACTCCAGAGTCCTGTCTGTTTTAATGCCCTGAAGATCAGGATCCAGTTCTGGTTTTGGTCCCTGTCCCTTTAGTACAGAGATTTCTCCAGATCATTATTCTGAAACTCTTGAACTGTTGGCTCACTCTTCAGAGTCCGGAACCTTCTCCATCTTTCCCTCTGACAGACTCCGCCTCTCTGAATGTCCTTCTTAGACCTAGTCATGTGACTAACCTGTTGGAGAGCCACCTCATTAGTTGGAGATGTTCCTCCAGATGTTTGGTTCTCCCTTTAAAACAACCTTTTGAAACAAATAGCAAAGTTGATGATTTGCGAACTTGAAAATCACAGACTTATTTTGAATGTGGAACTATTCCTTTACTTAAAGTCATAACGATTGTAGAGATTGTTGATGATTATTAACCTCGTTTCTATGGTGATCATGGTCCTATAGTGCGATCTCCACAAAGTGAAGAGAAAAAAGAACGGAAAAAATCTGTTCATCCTAGCAGGTGCAGGGCTGCAAAAACATTGGCCAATGGCAGCCATCCGTCCCGGACAGCTCCTATTGGTCAATCTCCTGCTCCGCTTCTCCATCCAATCACCTCGCTGTGATCAACACACCCCTCTCCTGTTACTCTGACTCGTCTCCTCCCACTCTCCCGGCCCTCCTCGGAGCTCTGAGTGGCTAAAAGTAGCGTAGCAGCTTAGCTACAGGAGCTGTGATAGAGAAGGACGCAAAAAAAGACCCACTTCTGCTCTCCCCACTGCCAAAAGTGCAAAGAAAACGCAAGCCGACAGAAGAAAGGGCGGAGTGGAAAAGGAAATGTGACCAAGTGAGGAATCTAACTGGAATTAATATCGGGTCATCCTTGGAGCGGTGGAGAAAGCTCCGCCAGGATTTGGTCCTGAAAACAGACGCAGAGACAGCAGAGTTTTTGTTGAACAGGTAATTTTTATCGCCTTTATCGTGGCACACGTTACATAAATAACTCTTATTAGTCTCTGCAATGTCAACATGGTAGCTGCCCGGGCAGCTGCAGATGGTGCTCGCTAGCAGAGCTGGCGTTTACTGCCTCTAGTCACTAACAATCCAACATGGTGAATCCTATTTGAAGCTACCATAGGATCTTCTGGCGGCCAGCTTCTTGCTTTGCCAGAGGGGGTGTGTCGTGGGGAGGGTGATACAGGTTCGGGGGGGAGTTATCGTGGAGCACAGAGGGGAGAGGTTTGTCTGTTGGGGGTGGGACGCTTTTTTCAAATCTGCCTCAACGGCTTTTTTCAACTGAAGCTCAGATCATCAACCAGGACTTTAAGTGGTGTGACTCTTGGTGTGTATATGGACAGAGAAACTGAGAGAAGAAGTTCTTACGTTTATCATCTCAAGAAACTCCTGCTCTAGTGAGACTATCCAAACATCATAAAGGCCACTTGGTTGTAATAACGATCTCACGACGCACAGGAATTCAAAAGTACAAATTCATGTTCATTTGTGTGTGTTTACGAGAGTCTTAGCCTCTGGGCATTATAGTCTGGGGTTCTTAATGCCTTTTTTATGACACCATTTGGGGCTCTCTGTCATGTGACATTGTCTGTCTCTGTCTGTTAGGATTTACGGCCACGCTTCATAAATCAGCTGACATCAGTGAACACCATTAAAGCATGTCACAAACACACCAGGACGACACCTCCACACAGCCAGGCCGATAAGCGCTGAGAAATACTGATAGATGTGTCTGCGTGAAGAGGACGTCGGCACTGAAGAGCTCGCCGACGCCCTGAAGCTAAAACTTTAAAGATTCTCAGAGTCATAAAAACTGAAATACAGCTCAGGACAGGGTTGTTATATTGTCATCATAACAGCTGTGGGCCATCATATGATGGCACTTCATGTCTCTGGGCAGAAGTGGACGTTTCTGACATTTCAGCATCACCAGCAGTTCGCGCCGGCGTCTTTTTCAGAGCAGCTAGACAGGTGACCATGTCTTCAGATCATGAAAGAAAAGAAAAGCACCCCTCCAGATATGTCTGGGACATCATCACTGCCACTTCCTGTCTCATTACGTTCTCCAGATGAGTCTTCTTCAGTCTCAGTCACAGTTTCACTGTAAAGTTACACAGAGGCTGCAGTTTGGAATATGTTAGCGGTATAAACCCCCAAAATTAGACCAAACTCTTTTGATCAAATGGGTTAAATTTGCTGATATAACAGCAAAAGGAAAATTCCAGTGACTGTCAACGGTCAGTGCGTTTACATGCACAGCTTAATTGGAATAAACTCATAATTCGTTTTTTTCTCCGAATCAGACTTCTCTGATGTGAAAATTAAATTATTGACATGAACGTGTCCTCCGCATAACTAGGGGACAATTTGGGTCTTTTCAGCGGCACTTTTTCCGGACCTTTTTAAAGGTGTCTCCATTCCTCATTTTGCGACCGTCCAAGTACTTTAAAATGCCAGGACGGAAAAGCATAAGGGCACCCTCCTTGTTGTTGAAAGTTCTCTAAATGATAGCGCCGCTTCTTCTCTTGTGTTTTTGTTCCAGGGTTATGGGGGCATGGCGCACGCACACATGTATTGTCCTATCATACTCGGACTACGCTGGTTACATGGTAGAGAAAATCGAATTCCAATTGCATTATCTGGGTGTCTTCATTGGAGTTCGTCATCGTTTTCTTCCGCTTATCCTCGTCCGGGTCGCAGGGGCAGCAGCTTCAGGAGGGAAGTCCAGACGGCCCTTACCCCAGCCACTTCCACCAGCGCCTCTGGGGGGGATTCCCAGGTGCTCCCAGGCCAGGTGAGAGATATAGGGCTCTATTTTCGTGTATGCCGGTGAGGCGACGGAGGGTGGCAGACCCCGTGCAGTTGTATTTTCGTCTGGCGGAGCCCGGCGTACAGCCAGTTTGGTATTTTCGTGGACTGAGCCCAATGCAGCACTTACAGTGACACTTGTTGAGGAGCTGCCTTCTGTCGCCATCATGTGGCATTACTGTCTTCAGACATCTCTTGATCTCTTTGACTACTTCACGAAAATAGTAATACGCCTCGCCGGTGGTGGATTTAAAGGCAAGGAGAGGAGCTTATGTGATTGGTGAAAACAGGTCTCGGCTGTGTTAAACCCACTCCACGCCCTCCCTTGCTACGACTTACGCCGCTGGGAGGAGCTGAGTTAGGGAGGGGGGATACTTACGCCAGGCTACGCTGCTCACCAAAATACCAAAATGTGCTTGGGAACGCCTTGTCGGCGCGGCGGACTTGACGTACGCCACGCCTGCGGCACATCTCTGGCGAGGCACGAAAATAGAGCCCATAATCCCTCTACCTGGTCCGGGGCCAGCCCTGAGGTCTCCTCCCAGTGGGACATGTCTGGAACACCTCTAACGGGAGGCGTCCAGAAGGCATCCTAACCAGATGCCTGAGCCACCTCAGTGGCTCCTCTCGACGCGGAGGAGTAGCGGTTCTACTCTGAGCGCCTCCTGAGTGTCTGAGCCCCATTCCCTATCTCTAAGTCTGAGCCCAGCCACCCTGCGAAGAAAACCCATTTCAGCCACTTGTATCTGCGATCTTGTTCTTTCGGTCATCACCCAAAGTTCATGGCCATAGGTGAGGTTCAGCACGAAGATCTACCGGTAAATCGAGAGTCTCGCCTTTCGACTCAGCTCTTTCTTTACCACAACTGATCGGTTAAGCGTCTGCATCACTGCTGATGCCGCTCCGATCTGCCTGTGGATCTCCCGCTCCACCCTGCCCTCACTCGTGAACAAGATCCCGAGATACTTGAACTCCTCCACTAATTGGAGTTCTCCAACTCCAATCAGAGTTCTCAAACTCTGATTATAGTCAGACTAAGGTGTTTACATGCACTTCAGTTGTCCGGACTGAATCGGAGTAAGGCGATAATTCGGTTTCCTTGAGTGTCATGGAAACATACTGGATGAGTTACACTCTGGCATTATGAAACCAATAAAGGATAAAATTATTAATCATGGGTCTCTAGTTTCTAATATGAAATTTTTAATGCAGATTTCTGTGAGTCTCAGTTTCACTGTTGACAGTAAGTCACTCAGAGGCTCCAGTCCAGCTAGTCAGAGGTAAAAACTAGAAATGAAACTGTTTCTCGTAATGAATGGCTCTTAGCTTGTTAAAATTAGATGCTGATTCCTGGTAAGTCTCAGTTTTACTGTATTTGATTGGTTACACCAGAAACAACCCTTTTAAAGTTTAACTTTAAAAAAGAATCTGGTTTCTTGTCATTTTGGATCTTGAAAAAGAAGATTTAAGACTTGTGAAAACTCTCAGTGTCATTGTTAATTGTGAGTCACACAGAGGCTTCCCTCTTGGTCTGAACCTACAAAAGAAATTGATTTTCTTTCTGGAGCTTACTTTAGTGGTATGAACCTGAAAATATGCCAGTTTTATTTTTAATTCCTTGTGATTTTAGGGTCTCATGTTTGCTGATATAATGTAATGATACAGAGTATCAGTTTTACTGTGAATACTGAAACACACAGAGGCTTCAGTCTGACTAACATTAGAGGTGGAAACTGAAATAAAAAAATGTTTTTTTGTGATTTTCTTGCCATTTGTAGATCCTCTTTTGTTGATTAAAAATGTTATTCTGCTTGCTGGTGAGTCTCAGTTTCACTGTAAATTGTATGTAACACCATTAGCCTTACTTTGGCTTACTTTAGTGATATAATATTGTTGTGCTGTTGTAATCAACAGCTCTGAAGTCTCCTGATATAAAACTATAATCCAGATTTCTGTTGAGTCTCAGTTTTACTGTAAATCATAATCTACAAATCAGCTATGAATTGGCTACATCAACCAGTATGGACCTAAAGGACTCAAGTTTTTCATCCTGATGCAGTTTGGTCAAAGGTTTAAAGTCGATCTTTGTCAGAAAACTTGAAAACATCTCTGGGATAAAGCCGAAGGGTCCGGATCTGCTCACAGGTGCCGTCACTCTCACCATCGTTGGGTCTCCTTTCTGAACATGCTGCTGACTGTGAGTTACATCTGAGTGAACTCTGGATCATGTGGGAGGAGGGGGGTGTGAATAATTCAGACAGATTATATATTGATGTCGCTCAGTCATAAAGATTGCATCACATGTACGGAGCATAATTTAGAATTGTATAACTGAAAACATTCAAACAGATTGAGCATCATTTAGTTCCACCTCAGCACAGCTGATACCTGCTCTTTGTAGAGATTCCTTGTATGTTTTCATGGCTTTGTGTATTAAATAATGGAGCAGGACTCACATCCAGGAGCAACGCTGTTCACAAAGATGAGCGGGAAGTGTCGAAACACCCCAGAGGTTCAGCTAAAGAGGAGAAAACGTCAAAACACATCAACGTGACGTTTAACTGACTGACAGTACAGTAGGAAGAACATAGTTCAGGTTTTACTTATGTAAACAGATAAATAATTCAATAATCAGGTTTTTTTTTTCTTCTGTACATCCTCCCTGACAAACTGATATCAGTCTGAGGTTGAAGTGTGAACGATGGAGTCAGATACAGGGCAGGGAGAGGTGAAGAAAACTCGACAAAAAGCAGGAAAACAGCAGAAACTGTTGAAAATAAAGACATGAACATATCTGCTTATATAACAGACACAGAAACAGGAATATGAGGATAATTAGAATTATCCTGATCCAGTTATTGAAGGGATCAATCGGTCTCACCAAATTAACAAGAAGAGAAAAACCTGCAGTTCCTCTAACGTTCACTAGAGGCTATCTCCAACAGTGGGTGAATCCCATAGACTGTATGTAGAATGGACGCCGTCTGCCTCCTGGATGGGTGAAGCCACTCCGAGAACAGCACCCTCTGGTGACGGGCTGCAGTATAAGCAGTGCTTAATTTGTGCTGGAGCAAGCCGGAGCACACTCCGGGACCTCTTTGATCGGATCCGGGACCTATTTCAGCCGCTCTGGCACCTGTTTGATCTGCTCCGGGACCTTCCCTGTCAATAAATAAACTGTGGTTTTATCTATGTTTTTTTTTTCTGTGTTTTATTTCTCTCTGAAGTGACGCCTGATGGCTTATTTCTTATGCGTTTTACTCAGAAATTGGGTAAAACAGGGGTAAAAAGTGATTTATGCCGTCACGTGTCACAACGTAATGCGCATTGGGATGGTTCTGTTTCCGCACCGGCACTGCGCGCAAATAGGTAAACAACATGGTGTGCCAAATGTTGCTGAAAATGTTATACTACGTGGGTGCGCAAATTAAGGTGAAAAAGACAATAAAACGCGTTAAAAACCCGAGAATAAAAGCATATTTTTATGGCGCGCTTCAGGGGGGGACCCGGCACCTCCTGGAGGACAAATTATGCACTGAGTATAAGTCATAAATCCCTCCTCCTTATGGAACTGTGGACAAACTTTATAAATTAATAACACAGAAAATACATTTTTCACCCCCCTGTTGCGATGTTGACATGTAGTTACTAAGGCCCGACCGATATGGATTTTTTTTTTAACAAATGGCTGCTTTTAAGCCTTTCAAACACTTCTTCAAAGAATTGAGTGCAAACAGTTAAGTTAACTTCCAACTCTTTTGCTCAACATCCTCATTACTCACATCCCTCAAAACAAACAATAAAAAACAACAGTAAAAGAATGAGGTATTTAGTAGCGGGAAAATAAACGTTTTCAAAGACGTTCGCTGTTTGAGCCGAATGTCATCACAGCGACTCTCACACCGAATGTGTATAATGCTACTGCGCAATGTTGGTTTCAGGAAATGGAGAAAAAACGCGGAATTACCGAGCGCTTTTGGGCTTCAAATCCGTACACATGTGGAAGGTGGAACCAAGTTGTCCAGAGTATATACAGTCTGTCGTCAACCCCCATAAAGCCCTGTAAAAACATGTCTATTTGTAACAGCAGAAAACAACATATGGAACACAATTCTGGACTTCAGAGCAAATTCTTTTATTTCTAAAAACTTTAAAAGGTGATTTTTTACGACATTTGCCCCCTCAGTTTTGATTACGATAAAGGCAAAGGTCGCAGATCTTCAAAAACAAATTAATCTGCCAGTAAAAGTCAGAAATCTTGTGGATCCTCCTATCGTATTTCATCACTGAAAATAATTCAAGTTTTGGTACTCATGTTAAAATAATAACACCAGTTTAAGGCCTGAATCTTCTGTTTCCAACCAAAGTCATCAAAGGCCAGATTATCAGATGGTTCTACAGATTAAAATCCTGAATATCAAACATGTTAAATATTTCAGAAACTCCTACATGTAGAGGGAACCTCATGACGGCGGATTATGGTCTTTGTTCAGTGTCATGTGGAGGAAAACGATCGCTATTATCGAAAAGATTCTGGGTTGAAATGCTCCCTTGCTCACCCCTCCTCAGGTGAAACTATGGTGACCTTAAAGGACACAAAGTATAATCCTCTATTTGAACTGCAGTGCCAACAATTTTGGTCTCAATTGAATTTTGGATGGTTGGCCTTTAAAATTCAGTGATATTATTCATCCTTTATACAGGAGCAGCATTAATCTATAACATATGAGAACCATGACGTGCAAAAGAAAATACAGATATATTTATCCTATAAAAACACAAACTCATCCTGAGGTGTCTCCTTAAAACTACAGAGTCTAAATAAACTTCTGGAGTGATTTCTTTCACCAAGTGTCTAGCAGCAGAAACTCCTGATCGACGGCTTTCTCGGTTGTTTTTCCTCTTTTCCTTTTTTTTCCAACTCTCCATGTTTTTCTCTCCTTCGCCGCCCATGGAGCTCTTGTGGAGGAGACTCCTCCTGCCTGAGGCGACAGCTCCAGCTGCAGACAGCTTTTAAGGATAGTGAGGAGAGTTGGCGGGAGGTGGCGGAGGGGGAGGAGGCTGGGCTAATGTGGAATAGCTGGAAGTGCCAGGTGACTGCTGGGTGACACACACTGTGGTTTTCAGACGTGGTTCACAACCACGGAGCCGATCTCACATGAAAAATATCCAGAATTAAACCCGAGGAGGTGGCATGAAGTGCGGAGGAAACACAGAGGTTAGTCGTCGACATACAGGAATATATATGAACCCACATTTATACAGTTATTATCACAACATCAGCTCTCACAACAGTATTTAATCAACAACACTGTTACTTTAGGATGTCATTATATTACAATAAACCTTCTGTTTATATGACTGTCTCCACTTCTTATCACTCCATACTTTACCTAATTATTTATAAAACAAGATTAGGCCTATGCACCAGTTTATTAAACTAACAAACAAACAAACAAAAAAAAAACGTAAAGGATGTTTTTTTTTGTAGATTTGCCTCCATAATAAATAAATTGTTCATATTTTAGGCCCAAAAATCTGAAACGGTCAGATCGTGTCTAAGTCATAGCTCTGGATGATGGTAACTGCTATAATAATCCAATGCTCTGCTATCTGTATCTAAACTAGATATAAATAAATAAATTAGATAGAATATAGGTAGGATATGAATACAAAGTTTTTTATTTATTTCTGTTAGTTTTATAAATCAGTTCACCAGGTAAACATGGAGGATATTTAGTTAATCTTTTAAAGGACATGTAAAATAGATTAATAAACTGGTTTTTGGTCTTACTCATAAATTCAAATGTTAAAGAGGGATTATCATAAATTGGTAACACTTTACAATAACCATAATTTATAAACGGTAAATAGATAGTTTATTAATGTTGAATCATCATTTAAAAACACCATATAGACCAATTATAAATGGCAAATAGATAGTTTATTAATGTAAGTTTATAGTTACTTTACCATTAACATGCAGTGAAATTATGATTAATAATTTAAATTAATTATTAATGGACTATTTATTAAAGGTTTATATAGGGTTGAAATATTAGTTGTAAAGCATCTAGATAAAAATGTGTGTCAGTAGCACTTTGTAAATGATTAATAAGTGGTATTTAAACCATCTTAAACATAACTTACATGGTTATTGTAAAGTTAGGGTTAGGTTTTAAAAATTGCAAAATTTACAATTTATTATTAGTCTATATACTATTTATAAATGATAATTAAAGATTAATAAATGAGCTGCTTACCATTTATAAGTTATGGTTATTGTAAAGAGTTACCCATAAATTTTGTTCCGGACCCTATACTTCCTCTCTTTAATATCTTTCCGTGATTATCAGATCAGCCTCCTGTTTCTGGTGTATTTAAATATTATTTCAGCCTCCATCTGAAAGGGTTCGTTTCAGCGTCTGTCTCTTTAGACTATTATGAATTTATTCTTGCAATCGAAGAGTTCATAGAAGTGCATTCTTTGCCACAGCGTCAACAGGCAGAGGTGAAATATGACAGATTTATTTCAGTGGATTAACACGATATGAGGTGTATGATCAGATTTTTTTTTCAGATTAAACAAATATATAACACAGCTGGGATTAAATAATCCTGAATTAACACTGAAAAAAGGAATGTTTAAAACTGCAGTTCCACTAACATCCACTAGAGGCTGGTTCCAAAAGTGGGTCAACTTTCATAGAGCCCAATGTCAAGATGTCTAACTTTGCAGAAATTTTGCTTTAATGGCAAATTTTCTGATTTTTATTTTTATTTTAATGGTACATCAACTTAGACTTTGCGTTACCAGGGGCACGGCGGGTAAAACTGTTGTATTTGGGTCTAAAGTAGCTGGGTGATGTGCTGCTCTTTTGCTAATTTCTAAATTAAACTGGAGTTAGACGGAGTTGACATTTCTGATCTGGACACTTGTATCTTTAGACTTTAAACCTCCTCCTCAAAAAAGTCACGTAACCTGCGTCTCTGTTTTTGTTTTTCATGGATCACGTTCACATCACAAAGATTTTTATGCCTCATTCTCACCGTTTATTTCTAAATCTACAAGGTTGGTTATTTTATGTGTCACTCTCTGCAGCTTGTCGTACCCTTTTACCTCTTTTTTTTTGATTGTTGGTAGAAGAGTGAGAAAGACAAAAGTAAGATACAAACACAGACAGAAAGAAGTGTGTGTGTTGTGTTGTGTTGTGTGTGTGTGTGTGTGTAGTAATCTAATTGTGTGCGGTTGAAACAAATAAGGATGTTATCCAGTTAGAAAGTAGCTGTTGCGCTTGGGGGTCTGCTGTGACATGGTTAAATGTCAGACTCCATCTCTGCAGAGACAAATGGGGAAAGACTGGGAGGGGAAAGAAAAACACAGAAAAAGGCAAATGATGGCGGCTTTGACTTTCTGTTGGCGTGTTTAAAATGCAGAAAGGACTTTAATGAAGTGACCCCCGGTTCGATACTTCAATCTGCATTTCCATTTTTTCACTTTAGTCATCTCTTCAGCTGCTGGAGTGTTGAATAACAGGTTTGGAAAGATAACAACAGCAGGATAGTCCTCCAGGATATTTTTAGAGAACAGCCCCGAGTTTCTCCACTGTAAGGTGAGTGGCTGGAGTGTGTGTTGGAGTGTGTGTTGGAGGGCCGTTCAGCAGCACCAGGAGCTCATAATTGATTTTGGGATGTGGTTGAGCGTGGTTATTTACATGGGCGGCTGCTCTCGGAGCGCCCACTTGTTAGTCATGCATTTATGCTGGCGGCGAGCGGAGCGATGGTGGTGAGACGTTTCCTGCTGAGGCTGCAGATCTGAGGGTCACAGAGCCTTGCGCCGCTCGCACATTTCTCCGGAGGTTTTTCTGGGTGTTTGGCAGTTTTTCAACTTGACTGGTTGTCATCGGTGTTTACGCTGCTTGGCTCAGCTTCGACCAAAGATGCAGATTAAACATTAAAGGAGCTGTTGTGTGGGTTAGTCAATGTACACACACACACACACACACGCACACACACACACACACACATGTGTGCGCCAGGCCGCTGGATTTCAACATCAAACAGTTTTCTTTCATTTAAAGTCACTTTAGGATAGACGGCTTAGGCAGCAAAATTTGACTCAGTTCACAAACACACAAATAAATCTGTAAATTAACTCAAACTCCTCGTTGTGTATTTATCGGAAAAAGTTTCTCTAATGGTTCAGTTTTTCTGACATTTTACCAAAAACATGAAAAACTGGATCCTAATGAGTCCATTTTCAGAGCTGATCCTCATTCAGATTAAGTTTCAACCTCCAGGTTAGAAATGAAAAAACTGCAGCTCCTCAATCGTCCACTAGAGGCTGAGCCCAAAACTGAGTCAACTCTCATAGAGCCCTATGTTAAAACGTTTACCTCTACATACTGGTATGATAACAGTTTTTAATTCTGTGGCTCATTTCTCAAACCCTGACCACAGAAGGCAAATTCATGTAGAGTTCACCGAAGTGAATGATATGATTGCTGCGTTCCAGTTGTACTCGGAAGTCGGAATTTCCAAGCCTTGAGTGGGAAATTCATCTGGAACACCCCCCTGAAGTTGGATTTCTGATTCGGAAAGTCAGACGATCCTAACCAACCCCGACTTGACGACAAAGTCATAGTCCAAGATGGCAGCTCAGTGCATCAACAGTAACCCTCAATTTTCAACGCATCCGGAACAGCTCCGATCCGGAATGGGGGCCATTTTTTGCCATCCGCCAATTCTGATTGGATCCATTTGTGAGGTGAAAATAAAATTAAATATAAGAAGTATGTGCAATGCAGACTAAAAATAAAAATACTAGATATATAAAATAAATACAGACTAAATATACTAAACATCCAAAGAGAGACAAAAGTAAGATATGAAAAACGTGGGCTATTGAAATGAGTAATAAATATGAAATGAGTAATAAATATAAATATGAAATGCGAAATATAAAATACACGGGAGCTGCTGTAAAAGGCTGCCACCTCGCGCTGCGCCAATGCTCACCTGTGTAAGCAGTAGATTGTGTCCTTCCAGAGGAGGAAATCTACTTCTAGAATCAGCATCTCCTCATCCATGGTGTCATCAGGGTGAAATGACGTCTAAAAACCTTTCACTTGTTTGCGGTTGAAATTGGGGGTAACAGTGAAAGCTCTCATAATAGCACTTCTGTTTTGTTTTAGTGAAATTAAATAAGTTGTATATGCTGTACTACCCAACACCTAACTGTAAACACGGTGCTATGGTGTTTGTAAGGGTAAAATACCGGGTTATGTTTATTTACAACTTAGATGACAACAACTGATAACCGCCAACGGCTGACAATTGTAAACAACAGCTAACAATGGCTAATAGTAGGCTTTCATCTGGGTTTTTCAACTTGTTTACTGGAATGACATCAACTCGGGTGTAAAGTCATTCCCAGCTCCGACAGCCGACTTCTGAGGAAACTGTAATGCAGTATAAGGCTAAAATGATGTAGAAAAAGGGGCGTAGCACTTTGCATCAGCATTGTTTATTTAATGTCATTTATTAACCCTTTTTAAACTCATCATCTCCCAGTCAACCGATTATGTTATTTACCAAAACAATCAGCAAACAGGTTATCAATAAGTTAAAGGTGGGGTGGGCAGGAATCCCCTAAAGAAGCATCTGTTTCTGTGGTTTTTATACAAAAAATCTTTTAATATCAGTCAATATTTATCAGTTATTGATGACATTTGGTAATATAACGATATCTCTGTGTTCTTTAATGTCTGTGTAGTCAACATTTTCACATTTTTGAGCAGTCTGCTCTTTCAGACTGTAAACAAAGCCGTTCTCCACCTCCCCCAACCTGATTGGTTGTGAGGCAGACGCTGCTCCCTCGTGTCATTCACGAGTCCAAACAAAGTTAGCGTGCTACAATATCGGACAGTAGAAACCAACCAGAAAGTATGGAAAATTGTCTGTGTCCTCCTTTGGCCACGACTGCAAACACAAACAAGAAAACGAAGTAAATACTGGAGACTCTGGCGGAATAACGGGCGCATAAAAAGGAGGTAGACCAGACAAGAGCTAAAAAGCCGGGTCAACATAAACAATGGGGGACGCTTCGGGATGTTGTTGACCCTGTAACCTTTCTGCTGGACAGGTAAACTGCTTTAACAAAGTAAGCCAAGTGTCTGTAACAGAAGTGTTTCTTGTCAAACGGGACCTGCTGTAGCGTGTTGTAGCGACGCTAAACTGTTGACCTCTGGTCCTGGTCTATGTCACTTTATCCTAGTTGTAGAAGTCCTACAAACATTGTGTTTGCTGGTAGTCTGTTTGCATCTAGAGAAACACCAATGCTTTTTACTTTCACCTTGACTGGGCCCCATTTGTAATTATCTGAAGTATTTATCTGCATTATATCTGAATTTAATTGGAACGATATGAGCAAGCAGGAGTGTCTGTTTGTGGGCGGGGCTTGCTGGAGCAGCGAGGGAGGGGAGAGGAGGAGCTGAGGGGGAAACTGGTTGGGAGGGGTAGAGTTTACATTCAAGATTTCTCCTAAAAACTGGAACTTCCTCTGATCCTGACTACCCCACCTTTAACAGGTTTTTTACATACATTAGATAGCTTCGTCTCAAATATTACATCCCTGCGAACGTCCCATCAGGCGATCGAGGCAAACACAGTCCTCCGATTTTTTATTATCTGAGAAACTAATTCTCTGTCACTTGTCAGATGAACGTAGAAAATCAACTCCATGTTATCACACTGTCTGTCCAACATTTGCTAATCCTTCTTCCCTCTGCAGCTTCTCCATCTCCTCAAACACGCCAACAAACCAAGAGGGCGGCCTCCAAATCGCCAAACCTGACGCTTCACAAAGACTGAAGAAGAACAGAGGCAGTCAGAGCTTGAACCAGCACACAGATTCGCTCATGAAGGAGAATGAGCTGATCTTTCACGCCAACATTTTCATTGACAGAGTGATCCCCGCTCACCAGCTGCCCTTATTAGAGACCGTCTTCAAACACACAAGATGGCAGCACCTGTCCTGTGGGATGGTTTGGCGTTGTGTCGGTGTGGTGGGAGGACGGAGGACATGTGGTGGTTGAGGTGGACCATCTGCACTCACTCAGTGTACCTGTTTGTTCTGCTGACAATCTCATCCCTGCAGAGAAGCACAGACAGAAAAGAGAGAGATCTTCTCTGTTATTATGTCCCCGCCGCTGACAGGCTTTGGGTTTCTCTTCTCTACCTCTTCATCCTCTCCTCATCGGTTTCACGTGTGACATCAATCTTTGACTCTTTTCAAATCCAATCCTCTGACCTGAGAAAACAATTTTCCACCTCCCCTTCACTCTGTCCTCTTTCTTCTCTCTTTGCACAGAGGATTTCATTATCCTCTCAGAGCAGGAGCTGATCACATCTGAAGACACTTTTCCTCACCAGATGATGTTTTCCTCACCGGCCTCCATCATACCCTTCTCCTCCTCCTCCTCCTCCTCAGGGTCATGCTGTGTGACAACCTGCCCTCAGCTAAACGCCTGAAGGAAACGCTCTCCTCTGACGACTGCTATCAGCGTTTACAGAGCTGCACCAACACGCTGCCTTAAAGCCACTTTGGCAGTTTGTGAAACAGCAAAGCTCTCTTAGGCTGAAAGCTGGCTGACCGAAGGCTGTGCTCGCCGCTTTTCATGCTGCGTTTGCGTTTGTCTTAAATCTTCACACACAATGAAAGAGCGCTCTCTCTATCGCTCGTGTTAAAAATGACAGATTTATTTCTGGCACAGAATTTCGCACTATTTCCAGACTTTGTCCTTTAAAAGAGAAGATAATCATCATTTTACAACCTTTTTTTTAAAAAGTCCACAATGCCTTCCTCTCAAACAACTTCATGTTGTGTTTACTTGGTTCAGCAGCATCTTAGTCATGTTTGTGATGGTAGTCACAGTTTCCAGGGCAATGCAGGGATACAATACTTTCCTCTTTCACAGGATGAGTATATTTGACATTTTTAACATGCTTTAAGTCCTCTGAATCTCTGCACAAACACCAGAGCAGAGGTTCACAGAGTGAGGGACACGACAGAGTCACGACAGGCTGAGCCATCACCTTGACATCTGAATCATTTACACAGCAGACTGATAAACAAAAACACAAAATAAACGATAAAGGTTTTAATTAAACTGGACTCTAAACTTGAGCTCCCCCTGGATGAAGGAGACTGAAGAGCTCTCTGAAGTTTAATTTGATGTTTCAGTTTGTAGCTTTGTAAATTGTTTTCTGGTGACTTTATTCTCATATTTTTGTTTTTATATGTGGGAAATCTAAAGTAAAGTGAATGCTGCGTTTGAGTATTTCAGTATTTTTGAAGTGAGGTTGTCCCCGAGTGTCTTTAGTGTTTAAGCTACGATAGAAGTCGCTCAGCTCAGCTCCACCCCTTTAATGAGAAACCGCCACGAGGTCCAGCATTTGGACTAGGCTACAGTTTTCTGTAGACTCTGATTCAGTAAATTTTCAGATTTCCTGACACAAACTGCGGAACAGTACTGCATTCACTTCCTAAAGAAAAAAAAAAAGGAAACTTTTTTGAGTATTTTTTTTACTCTGCTGAGATTATTTTTTTTACTCTTTTTAGATTAATTTTTTTCTTCTTTCTGTTTTTGTAACTTTTTTTCTTCAGTTTTTTTTTGTTCCTTTCGAAAAATTAGTCTGAAAAACAAAACAAAAAGGCTGAAAAACAGAAAAAAAATTAGTCTGAAAAACAAAACAAAACCCCCCCCTGAAAAACACACAAAAAACAGTCTGAAAAACAGAAAATTAGTCTGAAAAAAAAGTCTGAAAAACAGAGCTTTTATTTATTTTTATGTTTTTGTTGAATGCAATACGCTTCCATAACAAACTTTTACTCTCCTGAGAAATTTTCCACCAGACAGACCATCGTTCTTTTTTTCAGTTGCAAACACACAGTACGACTCTGGCTCGAACACGAACTTGTGACCGTACTCCAAAAATACCGAAATATCCCTTTAATGAAGACTGAAGAGGCCTTCTTTTGCATAAAGATCAGGAATGACATGACTATTAGTCAACAGTGTCCCTGCAGTCCTGGGTTCGTGTCCTTGTAGTCCATGATCCAGTTGCGTCTCTCTTTAAGTTTTATTTCTGGCGTAAAAATTAAAATGTAAATTCATGCAAAGTTTATTCTAAAGCATAAAGAGATTACAGATGAGATAGCGTTGACTTCTTTAACTGTGAGATCTAGGTTTAATGACACAGTAAAGATGCATTGAATGCATGCACACTGGTGCAGGTGTGGGTTAAATCTGCGTGTAATTGGTTATCCTCGCTCAGATCAGACATGTAATTCATCATGTAATCCCCGGGGGGGCTCGTATTACAGGTGCTCCTACACTTCACCATCAGAAAGAGTGACTCCTTGATTAATGTGCTTTAATTTTTGAACTTTTTCATGCTCAAATTGGCTCTTTGGAGCTTTCTGAAATGTCATTTAACAAACAGGTTTGATGAACAAAACCTTGTTAACGCTTCCCATCCCATGAGGCGTCAGAGCAGGTCCACTGATTTTTTCCTGAAAAAGTTTTGATCACAGAAAAGAGCAGCAGTTTAACCTTGTTCTTTTTAAATAAAAATGATCTCATCTTCAGCAGCTCATTTATATCCACTCTGGACTCTGACTCTTTCCCTCTTTTTCAGCCATACTTGGCGCTTTGCATCATCCTGTCTACCTCCAGTTTAGACAGAAATAGAAGACATAGAAGCAGTCATAAAACATGGTTTACACATTCATGTGTTATCTTTGCACATCCAACAAGACAAACGAGCTACGATTGAAGACTTTAAGACCAGGTACGCAGGACTGGAACATGGTGCAACATCCTCAGCACTTAAAGTGGTGCTCTCTGGATCGGGCTATGTATGCACACGTTCAGTACAAAGCTTGTGCATGAACACAATGCATAAAAAGCCTCTGCAGTCCTAACATGGAGGAGTAAATCACAAAAAGTTTGTACCGTGTCTTCAAGGAGGTGTTTGCACATCCCTCGATCTTATGATGTGGGTGTCCAGGACATGAAACTACAGTCTTGACAAGAGAAAACCCTTCACACCACCTCTGCCAAGCATCACTGTTCCACTTTCTCAGCTGTGAAGACCAGAATTCACACAGAGAAACTCTGAAAACTGATTTCTATCTGAGAAAAACTTAAAAAACTCAGTAACCACACAACACTTTCAAGCAATACAAACTTTAAAGACCTCCTTTTCAGTCATTAACTATCCAATTATTATTCAGTCCTCCAGCTATGCCTGTAAAATATAAACACTACCACTTTATTACCACTTTATTATCTATCACATCCCCTGTGGAGTCTCAGTTTTACAGTAAACAGTAAATAACACTCAGACTTCACTTTAGGTGTATTTTAGTAGTATGAACTCAAGAAAAAAAACACTGTTCTTGTGATTTTGTGTGATTAACAGTAGTTAAATTTGCTGAAATATCAGGATCATAATCCAGATTTCTAGTTAGTCTCAGTTTCACTGTAAACTTCACAAAGGCCACACTCTGACTCTGAGCTACTTCAGCAGCATCAACCTGGATAAAGAACTAATGTTCTTGTGATTAACTTGGAAATACTTTGTTTTAAGTTTGTTGATGTATTATAACTCAGACTTCTGGTGAGTCTCAGTTTCACTGTAAACAGTAAATAACACTCAGACTTCCCTTTAGGTGTACTTTAGTAGTATGAACTCAAGGAAAAAAAACTATGTTCTTGTGATTTTGTGTGATTAACAAGAGTCAAGTTGAAATCTCAACATCATCATCCAGAGTTTAAGTGAGTCTCAGTTTCACTGTAAACTTTACTCTGTCTCTCAGTGGCATCATCCTGGATGAAAAACAAAGTTCTTGTGATTGACTTGGGGTTATTCGGTTTTAAGTTGGTTTATATTATATTATGATTCAGACTTCTGGTGAGTCTCACTTTCACTGTAAACTAAAAGGATCTTCACTCTGAATTACTAAAGCATCATTATCCTGGATAAGAAACCAGTTTACTTCTTAATAACCTGTAACAGCTTGGTGTTGAGTTTGCACCTATGACATACTTATTTAGATTTCTGGTGAGTCTCAGCTTCACTGTGAGTGTTTCATTACAGTCAGGCTGCTCTCTCTGGCTTTTTTCAACTTAAGTAAATACATTGTTCTTGTGATTTTCAGAGAGTCTCAGTTTAGCTGTAATTCTGATTTCGAGCTTATTCAGTGTCATCATCCTGGATAAAAAATCTGTTTGCTTTATATCTACTTGTTGTTAACTGTTTAGTCTCAGCTTCACTGTAAGTCAAGATTATTTCATCAGTATGAACTCCTCAAGAGAAACCAGTTTTCTTTGATAATGAACAGGTCTTAATTTTGTTTTAATAGGATCATGACTGGTGTTTCTGTTGAGTCTAACCCCCAGTTTCCACTGCATCCGGAATGGCTACAAAAAGGTTGTATCTGCCGATCGTAGCTGATCGTAACCATTCAAGTTAACATGTCAATTTCCACCGGCTTCTTTATGTTCCGCTGCGGATTGCCGGACTCCATAGCTGATCACAAGATTTCTATTTTTTCCGGATGCCGGAGCATGCCGGATAAATTCAGCACAGATTAACCCATGCTGGAAAGGAAGTCGGGCACAGACACAAAATAAAACATCTGGCTTCTTTTCAAAATAAAACACTGTGTTTCAGGCGGATCGTATTTCACAGCATGCAAACGGTTGGAGACGAACAAGTTAAAGGTTTTTACACGTCATTTCACCCCGATGACACCATGGATGAGGAGATGCTGATTCTAGAAGTCTAAAGGTAGATTTCCTCCTCTGGAAGGACACAATCTACTGCTTATACATCTATGTTGCTGTCTTTATGGGTTCTTGTGAGTTCCCGTGATTCCTGCTGTCCGTAATCCACCAAGAAATTTGCCTCACAAATGTATCTGATAGGAACTGGCAGATGGCAAAAATCACTGTCGTTCAGGATGTGGTGGAAATTCGGGGTCAGTTTTACTGTAATTAGCAAGCTACACACAGGCTCCTGTCAGCTGAATTCAGCTGTTAACTCCTGAAAAGAAACCTAGTTTTTTTGTGATTTACTGAGTGAGATTAGTGCGCAAGACTCAGGATTAGCCTCGTGTCTTTCATCGGACACGTCCTGCAACTTCTTATTGTGGTCATTTAGATTCCACATGACGTAAAATGAGGGTCATAAAATCCTGGAATCACCTTTGAGGACAGAGGAAGCGGCACAGAAACACTCCCTCAGCTCCAGGATTAACATTTAGGGAACATCGAGAAGCTCCACCAGGAACAACAGGGAGATAAACAGACGCCATCAGTTTGTGATTTAAGGTCATGTGACCTGATAATCGATCAGCACAGAATCACAGGAGCATCTGCAGGAATAGACACATTTCTGATTCACACACACACACACACACACACACACACACACACACACACACACACACACACACACACACACACACACACACACACGCACAGACACATGGAAAAACCTCCAGCCGAGAGAGACACACAGTGGCTAACTAAAAGCCTGAAACGCCTGAAATGATAATGGCCATTAATTTCAGATTACTGTACAGAGCACATTAAGGTTAGCCGACTTCAGGCTGGAAATGAAAGTGGTCGCCAGACTAATTAACCACACTGAGATCTATCATAAAAGTGAGAAAATGCCAGCTCCCAACACAACAAACAAGATTAATCTCTGAACTGTAGATAAAGATGAAACACAGAGAAAGGTTGCTCCGTTCAGTCTGAGACTTTCAGGGGTTAAATTGTTCCAGGATTTACACTTTTTATATGGCCCAATGTTTCTCTGCTTCTCTGCAAAGCGGCTGCTGGAAAAATAACCATAAATCACAAACATTAGCTTCCATTAGACGGAGAGGAGGAGGTGAACCCGTGGAGGACGAGGCGGGAGAGGGAAAAGAGAGGTGAAAGATGGGGGAGTCAGCTGTGAAAAATGACTGGAAAAAAAAAACTGGAGCTGAAATGAAAGGATGAAAGGTGGGTGGTTCAGTGTGGATTTAATGGGATGCTACAACAGCTCGTGTGCAGTGAAATGCACAGAGCCGAGGGATTAATGGAAAACAATTGTCCTGAAAACATTGTTATTGATAATGAGACATAGTGATGTTAAGAGCAAAGACAAAAGGGGCATTTAGGCGTGAAGAAGAAACAAACGGCTCATTGACGATGAAGACGAAAAGTCATGTGGAGGAAAAAGACCCTCCGAGGGATGAAGGCCAAACAGTTATTTTCTAATGAATGTAAAGGATTGTATTCGACGCCTTTTCGGGTGTTATGGACTGAACATTACAACACTGTCAGGGCAGTTAGCATAAATCTAGTTGGTACAAAATAACCACAAACAGAAAGCCCGCCATCGTCTGAAGATACTCAGTCTTTACAATAACAGACTATCCAGGTAAGTCTAATAAACACCAGGAAGAGGAATAGACTCTGAGCCTAAAGGGTTAATCGACATGTAAATATTAAACGTGAAAAAAAAAAGAATGAAAAATGAATTAAATACAAAGAGTGGTCGGGCTTTGGTTTCTCTGTGAAGAACACAATCCACGGCATTGACATCCCGACGTCCAGCAAGAGTAAACCGATGACAGTTTACTTTTCTGTGTGAACAGATATCTGTTTTAAAGGTCAGCTGACAGTCTATCTGTTCATTAAAGGGATATTCCAGTGTAAAAATAATTTAGGGTCAAACACACCATAACACTGAGTTAGACACCCCCTCCAGAAATGAATGTTGCCGACCGCTTGCTTCTCTAGTTATACCAACTTTAGTAACGACCGCAGGATAGCAATACACAGCGGTCTGAGAAGCCATAAACAAACCTCAACCAAAACGCCACTCTGTAGCCACAAATAATGCTCAGAACAGCACCTAACTTCATCAACAGGACATATAGGGTCCCAGCCATAGTACTAGCCACCGAACATCTTTTTAACTTTGACTAATTTCTTTAGCAAAGAGACTAAACACAAGTCACCTACTCTCTTCCAGCAGCCGCTTGTTTGTAGTGTGACCTCAGGCCAGTCCATAACGGACTACAGCGGGGTAACGCAGCTCAAGGAAGAACATTTTTGATCATTTCTTTATCATTTCCTTGAAGTAATAATCATCATATTAATCATTTTGCACTGCAGACGCGGTAGTTCTTCTGCCTTAGCATCTCGATCTGATTGCATTTCCATGAAGAAATGATCATAAATGTTCTTCCTTGAGTTGTGTCACACCACTGTAGTCCGTAATGGACTGGCCCAGAGGTCTTGCTACAAACTAGCAGGTGCTGGAAGAGAGTAGGTGAGTTGTGTTTGGGTGGAGTCTTCAAAGTCGTTTATTACAAACCAAAGTCCTCAAACTTCACGGTAATCTCAGGAGATCCCCAGATGGTTCCTGATCTGAGATTGTTTTCAGGCAGAAATCAGTCTGATACTGAAACATACTCAGTTTTTTTTATCATTATTTTTCAGTTTTGGCCCGGTGTTGGTGTTAGTCGTATGCAGCAGAACAGTCTGTGTGAAAAGGAGAAAAAGGAGCAGGCCTGGAATCAGCTCTGAAACATTGGCAGCCATAGCAGGGGTCTTATTTTAGTTCCAGCACAGCCAATGGATTTGGAGATCTAGATGAAAAGACACATTTGCAGCATTGCTGGGTGAAAAGGTCTTTTTTTGGCAGATGGATTTGGCTTTGGGAGATCTGCTGTATGGATGTTATTGTTGAAACTGTTAATTTTTCCTCTTTGTTGTTTTTTTTCAGACTGCTGTTTTCATAAAAGCATCTGCTGGTACATTGTTTAGTCGAACCCACACTGAGGGGAGGGTTCAGGGGATCTGAAGCTGTAAGGAGGGGCTGTGGGCGAAGGGTGCGCGGGTCGTCCACTTCACAACTTTAACGATACGGGAAAGTTAGACGTCAAGTTCAGGAGGAGAGTTTTGTCATCAGGTTGTGTGGATCTGAAATGGAAATGAGCACACGATGGACCATTAGAGTCGAAATGGAGGAGCTCTCCTCACGCTCAGGGTAGTTAGTCAGAACATGTGAATTTATGCAAAAAAAAAAAACAGACTTATGAAACCTGCTCACGCTTGTTGTGAGGAAGCAGACGTTCCTCTGAGAGTCTTTGAACAGACCTTCTGTCAGACGCACATTTGACTTAGTTGATGCATGAATGATGTCTAATGTCGTCCATCTTTACTGCGCCTTCTCTCATAGTCGCCTGAGAAGACAGAAAAATGTCCTCTTTTATTCATCTGCATCTTTCTGACACCTTCAGACAAATGATTCACTCAGCAGGAAGACGGCTACGATTTTCAATACCCCACCATTAAGAGCAGCGCGCTCACCCGCCTCTGAGGACTCCCACATTGTGAGCTGCTCCCCTCTGGAACCTTACGTGGGTGCTATTAATCCTGCCGCACCGTGGGAAGCCTTTGTGCCGCCTGTCTCTCACTGTTTGTCCTGATCGTCTCCATTCAAAGCTGACAAATATCACCACAGGAGCCACAACGCCGCCACTGCCGCCGTATAGACACCTGCAGACACAGCAGATCTTCAGGGGACATCGCATCACACCAAACTGACAAAGTCATCATGAATATGAAAGGAGAGAAAAACCAGGACCGATGGCAACAGTCTGTTTAGGGCAAGTTTAGTGATTTAACACTTATTCTGATGATTAATGGAGTAAAACCAAAAATGAAATATTCAGTGTATTATTATTATGGCTGGGACTCAATTAAAAAATGTATCTAATTAATCGCATTTTAATCGCATATCAATATTTGACCTGAGAATAGTGAGAATAATTTCTTAAAGTGGTCTACAAGTGAATCAGTGACTAGTAAACTGAATGAATACATGAGCTTAAACAAATAAAATCTTGATTATTTTCTTTTCACTGTGTAGTAGTCAGGATCCCTGCCCACAAACAGTCGCTCCTGCTCGCTCCTATCATTCCAGTAAAATTGCAGATAAATACTTCAGATAATTACAAATGGGGCCCAGTCAATGTGAAAGTAAAAAGCATTGGTGCTACTGGAGATGCCAACACACTACCAGCAAACACAATGTTTGCAGGACTTCTACAACTAGGATAAAGTGACATAGTCCAGGACCAGAGGTCAACAGTTTAGTGGCGCTACAACACACTACAGAAGGTCCCGTTTGACAAGAAACACTTCTGTTACAGACACTTGGGTTACTTTGTTAAAGTGGTTTACCTGTCCAGCAGAAAGGTTACAGGGTCACCAAGATCCCCAAGCATTCCCCATCATTTATGTTGATCCGGCTTTTTAGCTCTTGTCCGGTCTACCTCCTTTTCAAGCACCCGTTATTCCGCCAGAGTCTCCGGTATTTGATCGTTCATTTTTGCGTGAGCTGGAGTCACTGCTGCACTCACTCACATTGGGGTGCACTGGTATAAGCAGGATACCTGAACTCGTCCAGAAACGTTCTGCGGTACAAATATACAGTAGGTGCAATTGATATGAGTTAATATTTTTAATGAGATAATATTACTGTAATTAATTAATCACCTCAAGTGGAGGAGTTCAAGTATCTCGGGATCTTGTTCATGAGTGAGGGTAGGCGGATCGGAGTTGCGTCAGCAGTGATGCAGACGCTTTACCGATCAGTCGTGGTGAACAAAGAGCTGAGTCGTAAGGCCAGACTCTCGATTTACCGGTCGATCAACGTGGCGATCCTCACCTATGGTCATGAACTTTGGGTAATGACCGAAAGAACAAGATCACGGATACAAGCGGCTGAAATGGGTTTCCTTCGCAGTGTGGCCAGGCTCAGCCTTAGCGATAGGGTCAGACACTTGGGAGGCGCTCAGAGTAGAACCGCTGCTCCTCCACATCGACAGGAGTCAGCTGAGGTGGCTCGGGTATCTGGTTAGGATGCCTTCTAGACGCCTCCCTTTAGAGGTGTTCCAGACATGTCCCACCGGGAGGAGACCTTGTGGCCGGCCCAGGACCAGGTGGAGGGATTATATCTCTCGCCTGGCCTGGGAATCCCCCCAGAGGAGCTGGTGGAAGTGGCTACGGTGAGGGCTCGTCTGTGCTTCCCTCCTGAAGCTGCTGCCCCCACGACCCGGACCCAGATAAGCAGAAGAAAACGACAATGAATTAATCGCAATTAACCCGTTAAAGTCCCAGCCCTTATTTTTACCTTTACTGCTGTAACAATGCCGTGAGAATATTAAAGGGTTATCTTGTCTTATTTCTAAATAAATGTACTGACCACCAGAGTTCTCCATTTGGTTTAATAGCTTTTATATTTTTACACTTTATCTATAAGTTCAGTTTTTTTCCTGCAGATCCTGTTTTTCCGCTCCGTGGATTTTGACACAGCTTTAAAACTCACTTCAGATACAAACTTTTGCAGTAGTTAGAAACAAAATAAGCTATCTGTCACAGTGAGAGCTCCATAAATCACCCAAAGCTGAGTCAGACCAGCCGGGGGAAAAAGAGAGATACTCTCCAGATAAAATATGATGCACTTTTCCCAAAATAAGTGTAACAAATCAGTTTATATGTCAGATTTATCAGCGCCAAATATTTTTCTCTCCGAGCGACTGAGCTGCCATTTTGGTGGGGCCCAGGTGATGGTGGTTTCTGCTGACTGCGGAGGTGAGATGACAACCAGAATCTAATTGCACCAATTTTTCAAGTAGAGAAACCGTACGACTGTAACAGTTCACCAAATTGAGCAGACTCATTTAAAATGAGATGCAGAAGTTTGGAAAAAACGAAAATGAATCTCTGTTCACTTCACCTGCTTTTGGTCAGTGGAAAAATTTCACCTGCACCAAAGTTTGACTGCCAGAGATGAATCTGGAGAGTTTTACAGACTCGTTTATAATCCGGATCAGACTAAAAGGCAGAAAAATGAACGTTTAACAGTCACCTATAACTTTTCTGCTCCAGCATCTCCTTCGATTTATGTCTGTGACAGTCTTCAGGTAAAAATACAGTCACCCTGTCCTGCACAGAGGTAGATACACTACATATACCTGCCTGTACGCTCCAGCACCTCTGTGAACTTGGAGTAAATGTTGATGGAGCGTTGAGGCTGAAACTGAGAGATGTTAGCGTCTGAAATGGCTGATTTGCCTCCTCACACAGGCTGACAGCGTTTACTGAAGCAGGGATGAACAAATGTGCTCTGCAGAAGCCGTGATATTGGATTTCAAACACACATTCACCGCACTTCCTGCAAAACTCAGCTCAACTTTTCCCTTCTCTCTCTCTCTCTCTCTCCTCCACACGACTCTCCATCATTTTCCGGCTGCACTTTGTACCCTTTCTGGAACAAAAAAAATAAAAAAGGCAGCAATCACAGGTCAGAGGCAACAATTCATGTTGGATGTTTCTTCCCTTTGAGTGCTTCTAACCAGAAAAATGCTTTTACCACTTCCATTTGATTTTTTATTGTCCTGCCCTCACACGGCACAATATTTCGGTTTATGCAGCAGCAGGAGCGACAGAATGAATCTGACCTGCAGGAAAATAAATCCTGCTTTGTGTGTAAATAAGTGCAGTTTTAACGCAGTGTGACAGATTCAGATTCGGCGTAGTTACACAGAGTGTTAATGAACATTTGCATCTGTATTATGTGCACTAAAACACTCTGCTGGTCTGATATTACATTTATGATGTGCACATGTTTTCTAACTCTCTCCTCAGGCTGTATATGTCACATATGTGCATATGTTGCATATTACATGTTACGTACATACTGACATGTCTGTGCATGTTCCCCCTCTGACATGACGATGGCAGCTGAGACAGCATCACTGCGGTGCAGCGGTGCATTTCTCCTGCAACATTCAAAGGGAGCGTCAGCACTGAGTTCAGTCATTTTTCTGATGAAATGCCTATGTTTCCCATAATGCAGGTTGACTAATGTTTGCAGGCTCACTTGTTTAGCTGGAGTAAAAAGAAATATGAGCTCCAAACTGGGTCAAAGTTTGAGTGCATGACTTGCTAAAGAGTAGAAATGAAGCAGGAGACGAGCGAAAATCTTATTTTTCTGCATGTGCTGCATGAACAGTTTTTGTTCAAATGTGTAATTTTAAGGTAATAATATGGCAGCGATTGTTTGTAGACATCTGCATGAACTATATTTTGATAACATACAGTACAGGCCAAAAGTTTGGACACACCTTCTCATTCAATGCATTTTCTTTGTTTTCATTACTATTTAAATTGTAGATTCTCAAAACTATGAATGAACACATGAGAAATCATGTGCTTAAGAAAAAAGTGTGAAATAACTGAAAACATGTTTTATATTTTAGATTTCTCAAAGTAGCCACTCTTTGCTTTTTTGATAGCGCTGCAAACTTTCGCTGTTCTCTCAATGAGCTTCATGAGGTAGTCACCTGAAATGGTTTTTACTTCACAGGAGTGCCTGAAGTAAGCCTGACAAGGTACTTCTGTCATCAAGAGCAAAGAGTGGCTATTTTAAAGAAACTAGAATATTAAGAATGTTTTCGGTTATTTCACACTTTTTTTATAAGTAAAAAATTCTACATGTGTTCATTCATAGTTTTAATGCCTTCAGTGACAATCTACAATGTAAATATAAAATATAATATTATAATATATGTCATATAAAAAAAAAAGAAAAGACATTGAATGAGAAAGTGTGTCCAAACTTTTGGCCTGTACTGTATATTAAATATTTACAGATTTCAAGCAGTTAGTGATGAATGACTTCATAATTCACACTCAAACTTCAGATGCAACTCTATTACCTCACTGAGCCCTAGATGTCCATCTATAATCGTCTAAATTGGATCAATCGGTCTAAATTTGATCAATCAATCAAATTCAATCAATCAAATTTAATTCAAATTAAATTTATATAGCGCCAATTCACAACAGTCGTCATCCCAAGATGCTTTTCAAAGAACAAGAGCAGGTCTAGACCACACTCATTGTTTGATAGATTATCAAGACTCAACCTAAAATGGGATTTTAGCCCGAATCTAGATGATAGAATTTAATCAATTAATTATTAAATAAAAAAACAACTGTAAGTGTAGTTTAGTCTCTAAGATGGCTAGTATTAGCTCAAACCACTAAAAAACGTTCATTTTTGGTAGACCAATTTTAGCCCAGATGTCTCAGGACCATTAGATGTCTATCAAACGTCTTTTAGACTGAAAAATTCTCAGTGGGGCAGATCAAAAGTGTTTTGACAGATTTTTTTTACAGACTGTTTTACTCGTAGAAACAAAGGTCTGCTGTTACTCAGACTATAGCGGAATTCAAACAGGGAGCAGAAACACTCTTCAGACCAAAATCCAGACCCAGAGTCAAGTTTAAAGTTTACACTCTCACAAATAAGTCAGTCGCAGTCTTTGGGAGCTGCAGTGACAAATCTGGGACAACATTAAAAAACTGCCTTTAACATGTTTCAGTGATCCATCAAAATAAAACATCCATGTTCTTCTAAAATAATGACCTTAACGGTGGGGTAGTCAGGAATCTGTTAAAGAAGCATCTTTTTTTGTGGTGTATTTACAAAAAATCTTTTAATATCAGTCATTAGTTATTAGTTATTGATGACATTTGGTAATTGAATTATATCTCTGTGTTCTGTCTGTGTAGTCAACATTTTAACATTTTTGAGTGGTCCGCTCTTTCTGGCTGTAAAAAAGGCCGTTCTCCACCTCCCCAACCTGATTGGTTGTGAGACAGATGCTGCTCCTTCGCGTTGTGAGGCACGCTCCATGTCCTCGAATAACATTCATGAGCCCAAACAAAGTTAGCGTGCTACAATATCAGACAGTAGAAACCAACCAGAAAGTACGGAAAATTGTCTGAATCCTCCTTTAGCCACGACTGCCAACAAAAGCAAGAAAAGGAAGTAAATATCGGAGACTCTGGCGGAATAACGGGCGCTTAAAAAGGTGGTAGACTGGACAAGAGCTAAAAAGCCGGGTCAACATAAATGATGGGGGACGCTTCTGGATCTTGGTGACCCTGTAACCTATCTGCTGGACAGGTAAACCGCTTTAACAAAGTAAGCCAAGTGTTTGTAACAGAAGTGTTTCTTGTCAAACGGGACCTGCTGTAGCGTGTTGTAGCGCCGCTAAACTTTTGACCTCGGGTCCTAGACTTCGTCACTTTATTGTGTTTGCTGGTCGTCTGTTGGCATCTACAGTAGCACCCATGCTTTTTACTTTCACCTTGACTGGGCTCCATTTGTAAATATCTGAAGTATTTATCTGCATTATATCTGAATTTAATTGGAACGATACGAGCGAGCAGGAGCGTCTGTTTGTGGGCGAGGCTTGCTGGAGCAGCGAGGGAGGGGAGAGGAAGAGCTGAGGGGAAAACTGGTTGGGAGGGGTAGAGTTTACATTCAAGATTTCTCCTAGAAAGTGGAACCTCCTCAGATCCTGACTACCCCACCTTTAAGTGGAAATAATGTCCTCAGATCTTTACATATTTGGGTTCGATGGCTGACAGCGTTAAATCTAATGTCTGTTTCAGAGTGAGGCACTTGTTTAAACAGTGAATTAATCTGGACTCTTATATTGTAATGAAAAGAAAACAAGCTGGAATAAACCTGCATGCGAAACTAAAGTAAGTGTGAGGATGATAAGATATAAAGAGGCAGCAGTCCAGATAGGAGAGGCAGAGCAGGGTAAGTCTTCAAGTGTGACAGAGTCACTTATGTAAGCCATTTATCTTTAATGCCGTCTCTAAATCTTGTGAATGGATGGAGCCAAAATCACTTATTCTAATGCATCACTTGTATGAATAAATGAAAACTTAGAGTCGGTTATCTGGAACATCAAAATAAATAATGAAACATGCAGGACAGGCAGTTTAATACTCGGTTTGACCTCACTGAGCAAGTCTGAGAGTGTGACAGGAACGACTCATAACCCTCACTACTGATTTGTTACAATCACTGGTGGAAGAGAAGTGACAAACACCGGTGACTGAAACCAATCCTTGAAGAAACAGAGGCGTCTAAAGTTATTATAGTATTCACTGAGAGGATTTCAGATACAGACATGTCTCTTTTACCTTTAACTGTCGGTCATCATCACCATAATGAAATTAAATGCTTTAAAACAATGAGTAAATGCTCATTTAGCTCCAACAGTATAATAATGTTTTTAATGTTTGAATGGTCTGTTGCTCCAATAAATAAAAAAAAGAGCATTTTCTGCTATTAACCATCATTTTCTTTGCTTAAATGTTCACACAGTCCAGGTTCAGCTCAACAAACCCATCCTTACGTATTAGATCCATGTTTTATTTACACATGTGCTCCTCTGAATGGCCGGTGGTGTGAGCAGGTTTAAGAAAAGATGGCATCCTTCGTCTTCATCCTTCTTCAACCTGGATGTCTGCCTCTCCAGGGCCTGAGTCAGCAAAAGTCGTAATCCAGAAATAAGCCTTTACTAATTAAAATAATCGTTGTTACATCCCTGAATTCCTCCTCTAAAAGCAGGGAAATAAATTAGAGAGTAGAGGAATCATCTCCAGTGAATGCTTGGAGTGTTTATCTAGTAAGAGCAAACAAAAAAGTCTTCATTAAACTTTAATAATGAACTTTATATTCAATGAAGTGTGAAATCACAGGCTGTGGCTGCATCTGTCTTCAGAGGAGACGCTTACAGTCGGAGTTTGACTTCCACTTCAGTTTTCGGTTAAAAAAAAACTTTCTTCGCTGATGTTTTCTGCTCTGTCACATCCGACATTTCCTAAAATAACAAAGAAGGAAATAAATATCTGTAACACAAATAAAGTTTCATTTTTAAACTTGGAAATGTGGGAAAACAAGTCATATAGATAAAACTCCAACACAGAGAACGATAAATGTCCATGTGACAGGGTGACTGCCTGAACTAGCACCAAGGCTTTGCTCCAGTTTTTGGCTGGTTATAAAACTGACAGGAATTAAGAAATGTAGGAACACTGGAGGAACTGCAGCCTGTGCACCACTCCATTATCGTGCCATCCCTTAATATTTGACAATATTTTATGGGAGTCGAATTCAAAAAGGTAAATTTCATTTTAAAAATGTTTGCTAATGTTATTGTGCGAGCTAAGGTGATGCTAAAATTCTAATGTTTAGTGTGGATTCAGTTTAAATGGTTTTAAAAAGCGTTCAGAGGTTAAGTTTAGTGACTGAATTAACTAAGGCAACATTCAACAGACAGCTAGCAGCACTCACCCGTCACTCAAAGAGGCCCCGCCCCCTTTATATTCATGTCTAATCTTTAATATAATGTATACTTATGAGTCCCCTATAAGTTTAGCTGTTTGCTTATTTCAGCTGTGAAAGTTGGACTTTTTACCATGGGGTTCTGTAGGGAGTGGCTCTCTTTTGAACACAGCCTCTAGTGGACACTGGAGGAACCGCAGTCTGTACATCATTCCATTATCATGTCATCCCTTAATATTTGACAAATACGTCATGTGACTCTTCTTCAAAAAAGGTAAACTCCATTTCTAAGCTGTTTGCTTTCGTAATTGTGCGAGCTAAGTTGATGCTTACATGCTAACATGCTAATGTTTAGCGTTTATTCAGTTTAATGGCTGTAAAAAGTGCCCAGAGGTTAAGTTTAGCGACTGAATTAACTGAGGAAACATCAGACAGATGGCTAGCAGCTCTCACCTGTCACTCAAAGAGACCCCGCCCCCTTTATATTCATATTTACCCTTTAATAAAATGTTAACATATGGGTTTTTCTCTAAATGTAGCTTTTATCTTATTTCCGCTGTGTAAGTTGGATGTTTTAACATGGGGCTCTATGGGGACTGACTCTTTTTTGGACACAGCCTCTAGTGAACTCTGGAGGAATTGCAGTTTGTACATCATTCCATTATCATGTCTTCCCCCAACATTTGACAAATACGTCATGTGACTCTTCTTTGAAAATTGTAAACTCCATTTATTAAGCTGTAAAGTTTGACTTTTTAACATGGGTTTCTATGGGGACTGACTCTCTTTTAGACACAGCCTCTAGTGGACACTGGAGGAACTGCAGTTTACTTCAAGTTCTGTGCTGGATTGGCTCGTGGAGAAAATTCCAGAAGCGATGGGTTAGCTTATTGATCATATGAGTGTCAGGTTCTTATGGTAGAGGCTCAAAAATTTATTTCTATTTTCCGTCCTGCGGAATGATTCTGAACCACACAGATTTTCAAGCATTCGTAGGGATAAAGAGACACGTTTAGCCACTAAACCTCAGAGATATTTGATTTAACTCTGTGAAGTCAGTCAGATAAAGCTGAACATGGACACAGAGTGAATCTATCAGATAAAAACCTGAGCTCACACAGAGACAGCAGGCTCAGCAGTGACAGCAGGTCACCTCAATCCTCTAATCAGCCTCACCTTTTGGACTCAGAAAAAGGCAGCGCACACTAAAGCTGTCTCTGCAGAGGCAGCGCTGCACCTCTTCAGCCTGCTCACTGTGTGCTCTTTGAAAGCCACGAAATGCCAGCTCGTACCCTTCAATCAGAAGCCAGGGTAATTTGACGGAAATGGTCAACACCGCCGTGTGCTTTTGCATTCAGAAGACATCTGTGAGGGGAATAATAAAAACCAAGAAGATACATGTAAGGAGTTTCGTCGATGTAAAGCTCGGCGGCAGCGATCCTTCAGAAAACCTTCAGCTGTGCTGAATCTCCTCAGTGATCAGGCAATTTAAGAGACAAAGAGACACCTGGAAGGTTAAAGCTGAGGACAGAGGAGGGGTTGAGAAGGGCAACCTCATATTACAGCAGCGAATCACTGAGTCACAGAGCGATTACTGTGACGGTGGAATAACTCAAATATATGAAGCAGCGGGAGAGAAGGAGATTGTGTATGAGAAAGAAGAAAGATAAAGAGAGATTGAATCTATTCCTCAGTGATTTTCCTCACTGTATGCCTCAGTGAGCTGGGTCAGCACTCTGTCTAATAAATGGATATTTCTGATCATTATTCAAGTTGCTTTCTGTCTGTGTACGTTCACAGATTTCACAGAGTTGCAGGAGGAATAATAATCCTCTGAGTCCTGCTCTGCTCAGAGGATGGATGGTGGATGTTGTGGCCTGAAATCCTTGTTTCTGTTGTTTCAGGGACTAACAGGATCCTGAGAGGAGTTTAGGAGGGCGGTCTTCAACAGATGGATGTCTTTGAATCCTTTCACTAATCAGGACAGTAAGCAGAGATGATGTCTGGTCCCAGATTCACCAAAAAAGAGAAACCAATGAAGAAGCACAAACTGCAGTTCTATGAGTGTCCACTAGAGGCTATCTTCAAAAGTGAGTCAGTCCTCAAAGAGCTCTGTGTAAAAACGTCAGACTTTAACAACAGAAATAAACGTGTTCACAGCCTGGTGTCAAAAAAATATTTGGGTCTTGGAGGATTGGCTTTGTCTCGTACTTGATTTTATTTAATTTTTTTCATTTTCTGACAGCAAAGTAATTCCAGGGAAAAATCAGCAAATCACAAACATCAAATCAAATCAATCAAGTGACACCTGTCATACAAAAGGATGTAACGCAAAGTGCTTTACAGTTAGTTTAAAAACCAAAAACTATTCGAGATCCCAACCCACACACAGGGCCAGTGGAGGGATGAGTCAGACACCAACCACCAGAAACCCTGTGACAAGCCCCTGCAACCACAAGGGACCACCGCTCCTGGTGATAAAAACAAGTAAAAACTAAAATATGAATAAAACACAGACCTAAAATAAACCTAGGCTAACTAGAATAAATGAAGATAAAACAAATAAATATCAATTAAAAGCTAAAAAGGTGGGTCTTGAGCCTGCTCTTAAAAACACGAATGTTCTCTGCGGCCCTGAGGTCCTCTGGCAGGCTGTTGCATAGATGAGGGCCGTAATATTGAAAAGACGCCTCACCATGAGTGTGTGTCCTGACTTTTGGAATGACTAGGAGCCTGCTGCCAGAGGAGTGCAGGGTCTGTGAAGGTTCATAAGGTAAAAGCAGTTCTGAAAGATAAGAAGGCCCAAGACCATTAAGACATTTAAAAACAAGTAAAAGAACCTTAAAATCGATCCCAACACACACAGAGAGCCAATGCAATGATTTTAAAACCCTTGTAATGTGGGCCTGCCTCCTGGTCTTGGTCAGGACACGCTGAATTTTATAATAATTGTAGACCTGAAATATTCCTTTTGGGAAGAGCAGAAAGCAGGGCATTACAATAGTCTATACGACTTGTGATAGAACCCCTAACCCCTCTTCTACCACCTCAGAAAACCTCACTTTAAAGAGCGAACTATCCCTTTAAGAATGTCTTTTGACAGAGCAGATTAGCAGGTGTCAGCTGTTTCTGTCGCCTCATTTTGATGGATCACGCCAGACCTCATAAATTTCTGCATATCCCCCCGACACCACCACCAATCTTCAACAAACTGAGATCTCGGCGGAGAATTAAAGCTCTCTGTCTAATATAATAAAAAAAAGTGATTGACAGCAGCGGCTACAGCAGCTTGTCTCCCTCAGCCTAACTTATATCATCTGGGAGAGGTTACACCGAGTCACACCAGTCTGCGAGCAGGAGGTTCAGGCGCCATCCAGCAGCCGGCGGCTACAGTGAGCAGAGAGAAAAGAATGTTCTGGATCAATACCTGCCTCTTGGAGGAGGTGTGCACGCTCGGCTCTCACCCACAGTGTCCGTGGGTGTCAGTCATCATTAACTCGGTGGTGACGGGTGAGGAGGCGGGTGTTCTGGGAGACTGGAGCACAAAGGTTGGACTGAGGGGGACAAGAAGAGAGATTTGGAGTGAGAGAAGTTTAGTTTGGTCAGAAAGTGCCAAACTTTCCGCCTCTGAGTGTTCGAGGACTCTGCAGCAGCAGCTCCACGTGACTATTGTCATTATCTGAGCAGGATCAAACCTTCCTGTCAGACTGTCTACACATGATGAATCTTGTTTTTGTCCCGGGCTGCCCTCCTCCAACACGTAAATGACCTCTTTTACATTGATTCATGACTTCTGTGTGGCTTCAGACATGTGAATAAAGAAGTCATTTGAAATCCACATGCACAGCCGAGGAGAGGTCCCGACATGCGCGCAGAAATCAGTCATATAAATGTAAGGTCAGGTACGAGGGGGAGAAATATCAAGACCCTCCCTGCTTTTTACTCCTGCGACCCTCTGCGGCGTTATGATTTACAGAGATGGCGCTCTGTAGGTGGAGGCTTTGTGAAAAGGCCCGTGGCGGCCTGTTTATCTGTTTGTTCTGAAATTCAATCTCCGAGTGTCAGGACATAGAAAAATAACCATCTTGTTTCCAGACGACAGTGCGGAGGAGAAACGCCGATGGCGAGTCAGGGTCAGATGTTTTTTTTTTCTGTGAGGCAGGAAGAATACAAACACAAAGACTGTTCCTGAGACGGCCTTGGGTTTGTAAAACATTAGCACGCCACAACAACAACCATGAGAGCGTAGAGCCGTGCAACAGGCAGACAAGGCTGTACTGAGCAGCTGTGTTTGCATGTAAATCATAAAAAGAGTGATAATGAATATTTACAATGTTTGTTGTTTTTAGAGAAGGTAAAGGAGAGTGTGTATAAATTCACGATCAGTGTGCACAGTTTGTACTCGCATGAGAAAAGGGTCACTACTCCACTGACCCAACTGAAACCACTGGAGCTGTGTGGGCTAGATGAAGCCCACACAGGGACCTGGACTGTAACAGAGCACACGGACATGTTTGAAAGACAAGTGTTAAGCCGAAAACATACAGGATCCGTATTGAGCGCATTCTGTATTTGCTCTGTAGAGCACCGTTGGGTGTCACATACAGGATCAGCGTATTTGGAGTGGAAATGACATGCTCTCAACATGTTTTTTCTTTTTGTGGTCGATTTCCTGATAATTTGGATATAATTCAGTGACTGTTGAGCCTCTACTATATGTAAAAAAGCTTGGAGTGATTTTCCAGTTTGTGTTTTTGCTGGTTTACTGGTGTTTAATAAAGTAAACTATGTTCCTTTATGCTGTGCCTTTAGATTACCTTTAGACAGAGTTAGCAGTTCAAAGTCCTGTTGTGGTCCACATGGATCAGATATTGACCATTAGATTGTTCTGTGTTTCTGATAAATCCAGAAACAGGAAAGATTTTTCATCTACACCAACTGATACACAGTCGGGAGTTCACATATGGCGTTCAGGGCTTGACACTAATTTTTTTCACATGTGCTCCTAAGTTAAAAAAGTAAGGAGCACACAAAAAACTTTAGGGGTCACAATGAAAATTCATCAAAATGTTTGTCGTATTGTCCGACCTTAGTAATATTATTTGAAATCAATTTTAGGTCAGCTGGTCACATGGAAGCTATTGAAGGAAAACAGTCTTTTTTGAGAACATCAACTGGTAATTTATTGATGGTCCCTTATTCAACACCCGACGTAAACAGCGAGGGTGCCGAGTAGATTTAATCGCGCTGCTGTTGTTATTCTCAGTTATGGAAAGTGAGAAGACACCGGTAGATCATCAGTGAATGTCTGACAAATATCCAACCTAAACTAACTTCACCGCGGTATTTAAAGGGAAAAAACATTTGTTGCCTCAGCCAATTTTTTTTTTTTTATGCCCACATGTGACCCTAAATACATTTGACAATTCAAGTCGCAAGTGCGAGTGAAACAGTCTCACTGTCGGGCCCTGTTTTTTTTTTTTTTTTTTAATACCAGATGACATGCTCGGTTTTCCTGCTTGACTTCCTGTCTAGAACAATCTTCTCTGTGTGGATTGACGCGTGTTGGAAGCGTAGAGCAGCAAAAATAGACTTGTTGCGTATCTTTAGCATTGCTGCTCTTGATACGATGCTGCCATGCTCCAAATACGCATCCTTTATGTTTTAGCCTTTACATATACAGTAACTTACAAACTTCGGCTTCAACATCTGAAAAATAGAGGTGCACCAGTCCTGATCCTGGTATCTTGTGTCAACTACTTACTGATCCTGGCCTTACTAAACTGTGTCTACACATGGATGAAATATGAAGTGGAAGATCAAAAAGCACCTTTTCTGGGTGTCTTCAATATATTGTTGTATTTTTTTAAAGTCCTTGTTGACGATCTGAGAAGCAATTGAAAAAAACTGAGCCGTTGAGGCAGATTTGAAAAGAAGCGTCCCATCCCCCCACACACAAACCTCTCCCCTCTGTGCTCCACGATAACTCTATAACGATAATAAATCCTACGCTAGCTTCAAATAGGATTCACTATGTCGGATTGTTAGTGACTAGCGGCAGTAAACGCCAGCTCTTATAGCGAGCGCCGTCTGCAGCTGTCTAGACAGCTACTGTGTTGACATTGCAGAGACTAAAAAGAGTTATTTATGTAACGTGCCATGATAAAATGACCTGTTCAACATAAACTCTGCTTTCTCAGCGTCTGTTTTCAGGACCAAATCCTGGCATAGCTTTCTTCACCGCTCCAAGGATGACCCGATGTTTATTTCAGTTTGATTCCTCACTTGGTCACATTTCCTCTCCGACTCCACCCTTTCTTCTGTTGGCTTGTATTTTCTTGCCACTTTTGGCAGTGGGGAGAGCAGAAGTGGTTTTTTTTTTCATCCCTCTCCATCACAGCTCCTGTAGCTAAGCTGCTACGCTACTTTTAGCCACTCAGAGCTCCGATGAGGGCTGGGAGGAGAATTTTTTTTTTTTTTGTAGGACGGTAGGGGAAAGTCCTGCCTTCTTCGCCTCTGATTTGCTAGAAAAGCTGGAAACATCATCACACGCTCAAGCCAGACGCGGGCTGTTGGCTCTGTACATCGAACAGAACATTACAGAACATTATCGCAATTCTGAATCTCCTAACCAGACAGACGATGACGTTTCACAGCCATTAGGAATAACCAATCGGAGCCCAGCACTTCTAGCCAATCAGAGACGAAGGAGGGACCTTCCCCTACCATCCTACAAAAAAAAAAAATATTGCTGCCGGGAGAGTGGGAGGGGACGAGTCGGAACTACAGGAGAGGGGTGTGTCAAATACAGCAAGGTGATTGGTTGGAGAGGCAGAGCAGGAGATTGACCAATAGGAGCTGTCTGGGATGAATGGCTCCCATTGGTCAATGTTTTTGCAGCCCTGCACCTGATAGGGTGAACGGATTTTTTCCATTCTTTTTTCTCTTCACTTTGTGGAGATCGCACCATAGGACCATGATCAACATAAAAACAAGGTTCATAATAACTGCCAATCTTTACAATCATCAACTATGCCTTTAAGTCCAGTTTCAGTCAGACTAATACAACATGTCACCACTCTGACTGTGTGTAAACAGCTGTTGCTCAGTGCAGTTTGCAGTGCATTAAACTCTTTGCATGTACTTCATGAATCAGATTGCATCTTCGGTTAAACAGCTCTGCAGAATTACTGATTTTACACGATGATTATGAACTTCATCTCAACTTGTGGTTCACATGCGGACTGAACCGTGGGCGGCGATCAGTTACATCAGCAACAGAAAAATGCTTGTAAATATGCAGATTTTTGGGGCGCAGTCAAACTTGAATCCACTCGAGTCTGATCATTTCTGGATCTTTCTGCAGGCCCCGTAAACCTGATAAAGAAAAGACCAGATTTTACATGATCCAGTTTAAGTCCAGTGATCAGCCCCTGACTGACCTCAGGGGTCACCCTGACATCTTGATTCCTGTACTTTAACTGATGATTAAGATTATAGCGGCGTATAATTAATCGGGCTGAAATACTCGGAGGGAGTCGGTTACAGAATATTTCCCATGGATGCTCCGTCTGCAGAGACTTAAAGGAGCTGAATATAAAACACGGATCACATATTTGATCCCCGGGTTCCTGCTGATGAATCATTAATGCTGAGGTGCAGGGTTCGAGCTCAGGGTCCCGCTGCCTCTGAACCCTCTGAATACTTTATGTTCACGGGTTCATTATTCAGGGAGGTCACCATGTTAGCACTCTATTTATCTCCCTCTCTAACCTTAAACTGTTCCCTTCGTTTGTGTGACACACACACACACACACACACACACACACACACACACACACACACACACACACACACACACACACACACACACACACACACACACACACACACACTTTCTCCTCAGACAGTATTCAGGTTGCAAATTCAACTTTTCCACTTTGCAGGAAACTTTTATTGAGCACTTTGCGCATATTAACACCTTAAATCATTATTATGCCCACTCATCCTGCTTTCATTAACTCTGTCTCATAAAGAGCCAGGAGAAGATGCAATGACAAGGAGACAATGAGCGGTGTCTACGTCGTGAGCGAGCAAGCGAGGGAGAAAGTATAAAATCAGAATTTAATAATCTCTGTTTAATATTAATGTATATTCTGCAGTTTAGGGACACCTACAAACACATTTATGGGGAGATAGAACCAAATCGGATGTTTTCTGAAATCTGCTGGCTCCTTCATGATAAATTCCCCCATGTGTTTGAGGCAAAGTGTTCTTGTGTTCTTATCAAAGCGGGGACACGTCACCTTCCTGTTTAAACGTCTCTTATCACGGCGGCTCACCGCAGCAGCTGCTGTGGTGTGTTAGTGTGATGAATGTGCAGTTATTACAGCCTGATGTATTACAGACTCCCTCTGTTGTTTTTGCAGCGCATGTGAGTTTTTATTCATAATTTGTCACACGAGAGGAAAGTAGAGGTGACATGCGAGCGACCATTTCAGCTCAGTGGATTCAGATTTGGAGGTCTGAACATGCGTCAAAACTCGTCAGATTTTGAAGACGTGTCAGGCCTGGTGAAATCACAGCGCCCCCTTCAGTTTAAGCCCTGATCATGTCCTGCCAGCATTAGACATGAAACAGGAAGTTAATTCAACTCCAATACAAACGTCAATCACTTTGATAGTTCATAATCATGGTTAAGGTCCACCCCTAAACACCTCTACGTACGTGCCCATTACTCTGTTACAGTCATAGCGCCACCCTGTGAAAATACACGGCACTGACTCACTGATTCATATAAATTTTTGACATAGTAATAGTGCCACTTGCAGGACAGAAGCAGTATTAACTCACATATATGCTGTCTTAAAGGTAAAACTAATTAGCAGAACAGACTTGATCACTACGACAACGGTATAATCACATGGATATGAAAGTCATGTTGTTTTTGGTAACCCTTACTCCCAATTTTCACTGCATCCGAAACGGCTCCAATCTGGAATGGCAGCGATTTTTGCCGTCCATCAATTCCTACCGGATCCGTTTGTGAGGCGAATTTTTGTGGCAGATTACGGACAGCGGTAATCCCAAGAACTCACTAAGCCCACAGATTCACATTCAATCGCGCGATAACAAGTTGTCTCTATAAAGACTGACACATAGACATATAAGGAGTAGATTGTGTTCTTCCAGAGGAGGAAATCTACCTCTAGACTTCTAGAATCAGCATCTCCTCATCCATGGTGTCATCGGGGTGAAATGATGTCTAAAAACCTTTCACTTGTTCATTTCCGCCCATTTGCATGGTGTGAAATACGATCCTACGAGTGTTTTATTTTGAAAAGAAGCCGGATGTTTTATTTTGGGTCTGTGCCCGACTTCCTTTCCAGCACAGGTTAATCCATGCTGAATTTTTCCGGCATGCTCCAGCATCCAGAAAAAATAGAATTCCTGCGATCAGCTGTGGAGTCCGGCAATCTGCAGAGGAACGGAAAGAAGTCAGTGGAAATTGACACGTTAACTTGAATTTTTACGATCAGCGACAATCAGCAGATACGACCTTTTCGTATTCGTTCTGGATGTGGTGGAAATTGGGGTTTATTTCAGCATAGTCCCTTTTTACGTGGCTGCTATATTGCACCGTCACGTTTCTATGGTAGCTCAGAATGGACAAACAGTTAGCATGCACCTTTTAGTATTTAGTGTGAAGAAGAAGAGCGGTTGTTGTGCACCAAATGATTTGGATTAATTGACATTTTAATATTAAAAACTTGACAAATAAAGGATCCTAGTTATTGTTCATCACGGGAGCTTTTGGTCCTCAAAGGCCACCATCATTTCACTGAGTGGAGGGGTAAGCAAAGGAGCTTGTCAGTGCAGATGATAGATATTAAATAATTATCCCATTTCTACACACTGTACCTTTAAAAGGTGGGGTAGTCAGGATCTGAAGAAGTTCCAGTTTTTGAGAGAAATCTTGAATGTAAACTCTACCCCTGCCAACCAGTTTTCCCCTCAGCTCCTCCTCTCCCCTCCCTCTCTGCTCTAGCAAGCCCCGCCCACAAACAGACGCTCCTGCTCGCTCATATCGTTCCAATTAAATTCAGATATCGTGCAGATAAATACTTTAGATAATTACGAATGGGGCCAAGTCAAGGTGAAAGTAAAAAGCATTGGTGCTACTGTAGATGCCAACAGACTACCAGCAAACACAATGTTTTCAGGACTTCTACAACTAGGATAAAGTGACATAGTCCAGGACCCGAGGTCAACAGTTTAGCGGCGCTACAACACGCTACAGCAGGTCCCATTTGACAAGAAACACTTCTGTTACAGACACTTGGCTTACTTTGTTAAAGCGGTTTACCTGTCCAGCAGAAAGGTTACAGGGTCACCAAGATCCCGAAGCGTCCCCCATCATTTATGTTGACCCGGCTTCTTAGCTCTTGTCCGGTCTACCTCCTTTTTAAGCGTCGTTATTCCTCCAGAGTCTCCAGTATTTACTTCGTTTTCTTGCTTGTGTTTGCAGTCGTGGCTAAAGGAGGACACAGACAATTTTTCCGAACTTTCTGGTCATTCTACTGTCCGATATTGTAGCACGCTAACTTTGTTTGGGCTCCTGAACGACACGGGGAAGCAGCATCTGCCTCACAACCAATCAGGTCAGGGAGGTAGAGAACGGCTTTATCTACAGTCAGATAGAGCAGACCACTCAAAAATGTAAAATGTCGACTACACAGACATGAGAGAACACAGCAATATTGTTATATTACCAAATGTCATCAATAACTAATAACTATTGACTGATATTAAAAGATTTTTTGTTTATACAACACAAAAAAGATGCTTCTTTTACAGATTCCTGCCTACCCCACCTTTAACTGACTGGAGGGGTGAGCACCGGAGCTCGTCGATGTAGATTCTAGATATTAAATAGTTATCCCATTTCTACACACTGTACCTTCAAAATATGTCATCATTAATCATGTATTCATCGACACTGGTCGGAGCTGTAGCAGCTAAGCTAACTCACTTTTACGCTGTATTCAATAACATCATCAGACGTTTGTCGTCGTTCTGACAGTGCGTTTAAACCAGTAGGAGGTTTTTTCATTCACTGTCTTTGGGTTCTGGTTTTTACAGTCATGTGCACAGATGGCTGCCAAGTATCATCTGGAACGAACTCTTTTAAACCACAGGAGTGAAAAAATGAGAGCCAGGCCTGATGGATAAACACTGAAGAAAGTTGGCAGAGAGAAAAGAAGGACGATTGTCGGATCTGTCTGTGTGTCTCATTTTCTCCTGTATTGAACAGACGATGATGATCTAAGAGGGTTAATTATCCGTGAAATTACACAACATAAGCATCAGATGAGTGAAAATATGGGCTGCTGTTTTAATTATGAGGATCTTGTCTTGATGCATTTTTCTCCTTATCTTTGCAAACAGGATTTTTGAGAGTGATTTGGTTCAGCAGGGATCTGCAGCACAGTTTTTCTGCCATTTCCTGACTCTTACATACAATAATCACACAAACAGGACATTATATTCATAATTTATGCATGATTATTATCTCAAATGGAACAAACCCCGTCCTGTACACCATCAGCTGTTGGTTCTGGGCTCCACATATGACCACTAAAGGGCTTCCCGGGCTCTGAGCCGTCACCCAGACCTCGCTGAGCTGCAGCTGCTCAGTTTGAAGCAGGCCAACGGTTCAGCAGTGAAAATGATTTTATCTGCTGACTGTTTAGAGTCCAACCTGGCCCAGGTATCGCTCACTCAGCTCCTGCTTTATGAGCCCATCTGTCTCTATCCTGAATGAGGATAAAGGTAAGTGAAGAGGATGAAAAATGAGCCACAGGTTCTTCTTCCTGTGTTTGGAGAACGAGAGTCTGCAAAAAAAAAACACACCGAGCATTCAAGATGTTAGAGAAGAGCATGATGGGATCTATCTTTCTGCTGCTGCTGATGATGATCTTGTTGGCCTTTGTAGCTCATAAAGAGATGTCAATATTATTTCAGTTTCATTAGAGGAACTTGACTGTACCAAACATGGATGTCTGTTTGAATTCACAAAGAAATACTCATACATTTGTTACTCCTAAAAACGCAAGCATACAGCGCCCACCAGATCCAATCCACCACCTCAAGCGGAAGGGAACTGCTTGCGATGCTACAGATATTTCTCGCGAGACTGGACAAGATCTCACAGGTTTCACAGTGAGACATTGAATGAGACTAGCGGTAGTGTTGTTTCGTTCATGAACGTTTCTTTCAAAAGAACAGAACTGCTGAGTGAACGACGTGAATGGAATCACTCCAAGTCCTGATTCGTTCCTTTCTCAGTTTAGTTGAGCTCAGCCGTGAGCCTGGCATGTCGGTCAGGAGTGGAACTGCCGGCTTTGACTCTTTGGCGAACGACACACAGCCAGCCAGCCAGTTAGCGAGCAGGCGGAGTCTTATAATTTGATTTGATGCAGGCAGAGGAGGGAGGGGTGTAGCATCGTTCACTTCCTGCCGAGCAGCGGTTGGTTGACTGAGGCTAAGATAAAACAGATCATTATAGTGCCTTTACATTAATACATGTGTATTAACGTTCCTGTGAGAAGGATTTAATTTCAGTTGATTTAAAGAAATACAATATTTGATATCTTTAAAAGTATCAGAATTCCTGCTACAGCTGACATGTTTATTTATTTATTTATTTTTAATCTCTCCACTTTTCCGCGATATTAAAGAACAATGACTTGCACTTGTTTAGCGGCGTGCTGCTCGCTGTTGTGTTGTTTCTGCCGACAGCGACACACAGAGAGGTGAGATTTGCCTCTCACCTCTGCGCCGCACTGAATCGATGCTGCGGCATCCGGCAAAAATAGAAGCCTTGCGTATCTGATTGGACCATAAGTTGCTTATCAAACCATTAACCTAAAAGTTAGGATAAAACCTTTAAAAACATTTGAAAGAGTTTTATTGCTTAAAAACATCTGAAGGAACGTCTACATCTAATGAGGTGAATGTCCAAAAGGTGAGTCACATGACCAGGTCTAAAAAAAACATTCAGAGAGGCTGAGTCCAGATCTTCAGGACATTAAAAACAGACAGGACTCTGGAGTAGAGCTGCAGCTATCGAATATTTTAGTAATCAAGTATTCTATCGAATTTTCTATCGATTACTCGAGTAATTGGATCCAAACGGCAGACTCACATTAAGTTAGATTTCCTATAGCCCCGCAATGAAGGCCAGACTCGGAAGAGTAGAGGACAATCGCAGAACAAGCATATGCGTTAGCGGATTGCAATGCTCGTAAGAAAGCTAAATATGATATTAACTTTCATCATGCCCCCAAAGACACGTGTGTGTCCAAGAGCTGAATAGCTCCAATGTTACCTGATTCTGCTATGACACCAGCAATGTTAGGCTGCAAGCTAGCGTGAAGAGAAGTGTGCTGAGCAGCGCTGTCCCCACCCACGACTCAGAGGCCAAGTGCTAATGAGCTACTAGAGCTCTGCACAAGAAAACAGTGTTGCCAACTTCTCAGTGAGGAAAGTCGCTAGTGGCTGTTGTAAAAATAGCTAGAAGTTGCATGACGCCATCGCCTAATTTGCATAATTTCTCAGTCGAACTCACTACCCCCCTTCTCCCCACCTTCCCCCAGCCGGTTAGAAGCAGGAGGAGAAGTCTTTTTCGGGGTGTCTGTCTGTGTCTGTGTTTTAGAAGAGTAATAATGATACCTGCTTTCATGTTAGAGTCTCTAAATTCCAGAAAAAGTTGCTAGATTTGTAGCTAGGTGCTTTTTGAAAATAATTCACCAGGGGGGTCTAAAAAGTCGCTAAAGTCGCTAGGCTGGCAACACTGCAAGAAAAGCCCCTCTCATCATTTATTTTTCCTGCTCCGCAAAACCAAAACAGCTCTTACTCCTCCTTCTACCATAATGATGTAAGCGCATTGTGTCACCTTCAAAAGAATCAGTGCGAAACAGTGACGATTTGAGCTTATAAACGAGAACTCAAGGCAGAGAAAATTCCTTGATCATTATTTGTAATTGAGGTACACGAGATATTGGAGACATCGTTTCAGCCCTACTCTGGAGTAGGAATCACTGCATAGAAAGGACAACTGGACTTACTTGAGACCTTTCACCTAACGAATGAAGAATCAGAAATCATAGATGCCGCATCCTCAGTTTTGTTGCTGGCATCAAATTAAACAATTAAAATTTTCTGGTTCAACATTATATTTATACAAAATCCACCTTTAGGAGAAACTTTGATTCTATTTCTCTCAAACTTTTGCAAGTAGGTGAGTCAACCTGCTGTTTATTAATAATTACCTGCAAAAAACTTTCAATACATCATTCTTATTCCTCAGACTGGAGTTTCTAAAAGCATCCAGAGTTTCTAAAAGAATCTGTACTTTAGGTGACTCCATCTGTGGGTGAAAACCAGGATAAATTCTCCTTGTTAGGAAACCTGGTGGATCCTGAGTCCTACTTTTACTTGATTAAAGAGATGGAGGAAAGTTATCCCCACAAAACAAGTGAGATATTTTAGTCTGTCAGTCTGTTCTTCTGAGAATGTCATCATCTGAGTCTTATCTGAAAACACCCAGAAATATTTTCTCCTCGTTCGTATTTGCGAGTCGACAAAGAGAAGCAAGAGCTCAGGCAGGATTATTATCCAAACATCAGACAAAGTCTACCCAGCTGATTAAAACTGTGAGGAGAGTAAAGGTGATCGTACGTCTTCTTTTATTCGGACATGTCCTCCTTTTGGAGGACACCCCCAAGGACACAATCTACTGCTTATATGTCTATGTGGCTGTCTTTATAGGGACAACTCAATATCGCGCAATTGAATGTGAATCCGCAGGTTCTTGTGAGTTCTTGTGATTCCTGCTGTCCGTAATCCACCACGAAATTCGACTCACAAACGGATCCTGTAGGAATTGGTGGACAGCGAAAACCATTGCCGTTCCGAATCAGAGCCGTTCTGGATGCAGTAAAAATTGGGGGTCACATTGCCGGTGTAGTAGAAGTAGCAGGTAACATAGGAGCTATTCAGCTCTCAGACACTGATGTGTTTGGGGACATGATGAAATCTAATATCATAATTTGCTTTCTTACAAGAATTGCAATTCACTAACGCACACGCTCATTCCGCGGTTGTCCTCTCTACTTCTCCGAGTCTCTGGGGGCAGAGCTTGGATTTGCTACGTAGGAAATCTCACTGTGTCTGATACTACCGTTTGGGTCTGTTAGAGATTCACAAATATTTGAATGCAGAAATACCCAGAAATGCGATTTCACATTTAGTTTTCTCATGATATGTCCTGAAGCATCAGAAAAATGAACATGTAGACAAGAAGAACAACATGATTTCCACTGGAGTGGGTCTTTAAGTTCTATTTGTAAACTGTTCATAAGTTTTGCATTTTTAACAGAGAAGATTATCAAAGGTTTGAGTTCAAGTCAAAGGGCGTGGTCGTAGTGAGCCCCTAAACTCAGGGTGTTTAACTCAGACATTCAGACTCCGATCTGAACCGAACTCACCTCGTATATTAGTGACCAGACATGAACACGTTTATGTATTAGTCTGTTTACATGTATGGACTCTTGAATAATCCTGCTATTGTTAACACATTCATCAAACTGAGAAGAGGCCGGACTATAAAAACATTCAACATAAAGTTTGAGGTTGAAACTTTTTAATTTTATCCACAATTTTCACAGTCTGGAAAACAGAAAACCTCTTGGACATCTAATATTTCTATTAGCACACTGTAAACAGAGTCCTTTACTGAACTCTTTATTTAGTTTGTTTTCATTAGCTGCTGTGCTCACTCTGTTTACTTTATCTCTATGGTATACAGACACTTCTCTTTGTTTAGAGTTCGATCAGGTTACTCTGAGGTTTTAAATGTCTTGTTTTCACACGCTTTAGTTTCTTCACCTGTCTTCTGGGTTCTTCTGTCGTTTGTTTCCTCTCAGGGTTTTGTTTTCTTATGTCAACTGTCAAAGCACTTGTTTTATATCTACTTCACTTGGTCGACAGAATTATTACGGACCTTTTTTTCCAATATTTTTGGACTTTTTGATGAAGTTTTGAAGTTTGAAAGCATAAGCTATTGAGACTCTTCACCGGCATCTAATTTTCCTTGAAACAAAATCAAGGATGAGTCAAATTTCAGCGGAAGATTATGATAATTAAACATCTTTGGTGATTTTAAGTTAAGATTGACAAACTGATTTATCGTTTAAGAGCCTCCACAAGCAGATTTATGTACCTTTACCCAGAGATAGGAGGTGTCACACTGAATAATAAATAAATATTTATAACCTTTCTGTTTGTTGGGGTTCAGCTGAGTCATGGCTTCAAGAATAGGTACAGTTTTCATCAGAATATCAATGTGTCTGCTTTGTGAAAGGAGCATTTTAGAGGGAAATCTGAAAATTTGGACAAATATATAGAATATATTCAAGTATTCAGGTCGGCCTTTCCCTTGGAGAATAAAAAAAAACTATTCTCATGGAAATTTTTCATACCTTTGTGATGTCTCAGAAAACAGCTGCAATTTTTGACCTGAGTGGCAACACACACTTTAAAACTTAAGTGATCCAGAGATTCATTTATCTGGAGTCTCGAATACTAGAATGAATGAATTTCCTATCAGGGATCAATCAAGTTCTTCTTTCTTTCTTTCTTTTTTACTATTTACAGAAGAATTAAACAGTCTAATGGCTTTGGGTAAGTGAGAGGAACCGTCCACCACCATTGGTCTATCATGGTGTCATGAAGTAGATGATCCATGTTCTTCAGAATAACCTCAGTGAGCATCTCTCCACCACATCCTCCAACCCCAGAGCCAGCTTTTCTCACCAGTTTGTCCAGACGACGGTGGTTTGATGGTCGTTTACTTACAATCTAAACTCGAATATTTATCTGAATCTGGAGAGGTCTAAGTTAGCAGGACACAAATAATAAAGTATGTCATTTACAGTCACAACAGCCTCCATAACAAATCTTATTCCCAGCACCCACTACTTCGTAAAAGAGCTGATCTATTGGATTCTATTCAGCATGGTCAGCTAACAACAAAACTATGACTATTTTACCAAAATTAATTCATAAATCATCACAGGTTTCCTTTAGTTCAGGGGTCAGAGTCTCAGAAAGTCTCAGAGTTAACCCCAGACAAGTTGTCGGCCCTTACAAAGCGATTGGGTTTTACAGAAAGCTGCTAAATGATGCAGTTTCATGTTTTTCCTGATATTTGATATATTAAGGTTAAAATCTTTCACAGATTAGCATCATTAAGGTTGTTACACTCCGTGAGGTTTTTCTTAAAACCTCATGAAGTCAACGCAACCTTCCACACTGGCTACAAACTTCCGCAGAGTGAAAAAGCAACTGTACTTTTTTGGCCCTGTAGTGAATTTTGCCAACATTCGCAGGCGAACTTCTAGACCTCTGGCCAATCAAAATGCAAGCCGTTGCTCTGGATCAATCGGCTCTCTGTAATTTGTTCAATCCTTCTGCAAACTTGGAGTCAGCTGATGGAGCAGGTCTTGACATTGTCCGAAGTACTGTCGTAATTTCTCGGGAAACAATTTGAGCTCCTGGTTTGTGCAGAACTCCCCCATTTTCTGTCGCAGAGTCAGTGGTCATTACACACCGGCGAATTACCGAAGGGACTTGAAAAAGCGAAATATTAGGCTTGCGCCTTTTCCTTTACACACCTGGTGCAACGCAAATAGAATTAGCATATTCGCTAGAAAATATGGTCTGTGGCGCATATTCACTATGGGAGAAGAGTGGGGGGAAAGAGAAGCAGGGGAAACAGGGGCAACTACAGCCTCAAGTGAGGATGACCCGGTGATAAAAAGAAAAAGAAGAATCGACGTGTCTAAGTACATCAGGGATGTGCACATACTGTGATTGAAGGTGGGGCAGGCAGGAATCCCTTAAAGAAGCATCTTTTTTTGTGGTGTATTTACAAAAAAACTTTAAATATCAGTCAATAGTTATTAGTTATTGATGACATCATATAATGATATCTCTGTGTTTTCTTATGACTGTGTAGTCAACATTTAACAGCGGCCCGCTCTTTCTGACTGTAAACAAAGGTGTTCTCTGCCTCCCCCAACCTGATTGGTTGTGAGGTGGACATTGCTCCCTCGTGATGTGAGGCACACTCCACATCCTTGAATAACATTCACGAGCCCATACAAAGTTAGCGTGCTACAATATCGGACAGTAGAAACCAACCAGAAAGTTCGGAAAATTGTCTGAATCCTCCTTTGGCCACGACTGCCAACACAAACAAAAAAACGAAGTAAATACTGGAGACTCTGGCGGAATAACGGGCGCTTAAAAAGAGCTAAAAGCTGGGTCAACATAAACGATAGGGGGACGCTTGGGGATCTTGGTGACCCTGTAACCTTTCTGCTGGACAGGTAAACCGCTTTAACAAAGTAAGCCAAGTGTCTGTAACAGAAGTGTTTCTTATCAAACGGGACCTGCTGCGTGTTGTAGCGCCGCTAAACTGTTGACCTCAGGTCCTGGACTATGTCACTTTATCCTAGTTGTAGAAGTCCTGCAAACATTGTGTTTGCTGGTAGTCTGTTGGCATCTACAGTAGCACCAATGCGTTTTACTTTCACGTTGACTGGGCCCCATTTGTAATTATCTGAAGTTTTTATCTGCATTATATCTGAATTTAATTGGAACGATACGTGCGAGGATGAGCATCTGTTTGTGGGCGGGGCTTGCTGGAGCAGAGCGGGAGGGAAGGGGAGGAGCTGAGGGGAAAACTGGTTGGGAGGGGTAGAGTTTGCATTCAAGATTTCTCCAAAAAACTGGAACTTCCTCAGATCCTGACTACCCCACCTCTGAGCGGTCTGATTTATTAATATGTTGAACAATAGTATAATTATTTATATAATGCAGGAAGCAGGAAGACACTGCAGCAGCTCAACTATGGCGTCCAGGAAGCACACCACTAAAAACATTAATTTTTCGCTCCAATCCTAAGAAATCTTTAGACTTTTTGGGGTTTAATCGGAAAAGCATAATTTCAAATTTAGTCTGTTTTCCTCGGTCTCCAGAGGATGGTCCTAAATTAGCAACAACCTGACTCTAGTTAACATGTTTTGAAGAAGATCTAATTTTACATATTTGCTCTATGTTTAAAAACTGTTTAATAATGTAGTAATACTTGGATAGATCCGCATGACATGACTGAAGATTTCTACAGATCTTCATGGTCCCAAGAGGATGAACCATGGTCAGTCTGCAGATCTCTTGACTTTTTCCTCCTGATAACTGACTTTCAGTTTTAGTGAAAATATCTCAGCAACAATAAAAATCCCTGAAATTAAGTGTATGCATTCTTGGTCTGGGGAGGATACACCCAACTGACTTTGGCTTGTCATCGAGCAGCGAACGCAGTTTAACCACTCCCCTTTATTTAAGAAATGTATCTTCTTATGAACAGTTTATCTGTTAGTAGGTATAATATCAGAAGAGTTGAACTGTTCAAAACCATTTTACTCCCTATAATACAGTTTATCAGGGTTTTACTGCAGCATTCAGTGTGTTCATGCTCCATATTTTTCTATACTTTTATATTCATTATATTTGTCTCTACCTCATGTTCTTGTACTCTCATCTTCATAAAATCGTTATGCGGTGAGGCGCTGACTTATTTTATTGCTCTTTTTATGAATTTTGTATGAACATTGTTTGGAGGAGCATAAACTGACTTTTACTGCCGTTTGAGTCGCACAGTTTGTGGAAATGTGGCTCCATTAAAATCTGTCGAATCGAGTCTCAGCTGTTTCTGTTTGCAACGTTAAAGCAGTGTTGCTCTCGCTCTGTCGAATCTTTGAAGAGATTTGTAAAAGGTGTGTGTTATGAGTGTGTTGAAGTGTCTGTCACAGTCTGAAAACTCTTGAAACTAACCCTAAAAGTCTGGATTTAAAGTGCAGATTTTGGTGCATTTCTTTATTTTTTTGCCCACTAATTCAGCAGAGAAAAGACGGTAACTACCCTCTGTGAAAGAAAACGACTTTGATCAACAACCGGGGTGATTACTGATCAATAAAATGAGATCAAAGTTTGCTCTGAGACGCTGCCTGCAAAATAAGCATTTACAGTTATTATTATTCTGCAGTTTAAGGCCGATTTAGCCGAGTGAAAAGACTAATATGATGATCGTGAAACAGAGCTGTGTGAAACATTCATCTTTTATTAACGACAAGGAGGAACAGCGGCGGCTTTGTTGGCCACTTGAGACTTGGAACTGGAAATCTCAATCTTATCAAACGCTGATATGACGGAAACACACATGCACACATCGGGACATTTGGGCCCAGGCGCACATATTATGTCACTTTATGTCCCATTAACAGCTAATTAAGACGTGAATGATCTCCTTGAGGGGAAGTGTTCTACTTAACCGCCTTTCGAGCGGCTCCTCGTGCCACATTAATCTCCTTCCCCAGGGAAACTCGGATATTGATCTGCTTTTTCCCATGACATCAATCTCACTTTGAGGAGATGAACAAGATTAAAGTGAGATGAGCATCACATCCTGGAAGAGAGGAGGAGGAGGTGATGACGAACTGCGTAATACTGTCAGAAAGAAAACATAAAAACAACGGAAGGGCGAAACTCATTCATTTCTCAAACCGTAAATACTAAAGAGTCATCCTTTAACTTCGCCAGCTCTTCTCAGATACCGCCACCGCTGTGCGTTTCTCAGGATTTTAAAGCTGCTGTCATTTTACGAGATGGAACCAAATACAGCCAGCGACATAAAGCTGATGCTCTGTCATCTGTCTGTGTTAAATTTGATTATCTGAGCCAAGAAAGTTTCAAAGGAAATCATTTCCCCATTTTTAAAACAGTCAAAACTGAACACAGTTACATCCAGGTAGTCAAGTTTTTACAGTATTACTGCAGTAAACATGTCCTGGAGCTACAGCTCTGGCTACTAGGGAAAACAGTGTCACTGGTAATTCTGAAAAGTAAGGGCGATGCTGTTGAACCATATAAAGGTGGTGTAGTCAGGATCTGAGGAAGTTCCAGTTTCTAGGAGAAATCTTGAATGTAAACTCTACCCCTACCAACCAGTTTTCCCCTCCCTCTCTGTTCCAGCAAGCCCCGCCCACAAACAGACGCTCCTGCTCACTTGTATCGTTCCAATTAAATTCAGATATAATGCAGATAAATACTTCAGATAATTACAAATGGTGCCCAGTCAACATGAAAGTCAAAAGCATTAGTGCTACTGTAGATGACAACAGACTACCAGCAAACACAATGTTTGCAGGACTTCTACAACTAGGATAAAGTGACATAGTCCAGGACCGGAGGTCAACAGTTTAGCGGTGCTACAACACGCTACAGCAGGTCCTGTTTGACAAGAAACACTTCTGTTACAGACACTTGGCTTACTTTGTTAAAGCGGTCCAGCAGAAAGGTCACAGGGTCACCATGATCCTGAGCATCCCTCAAATGCGGCTGTTTAGCTCTTGTCTGGTCTACCTCCATTTTAAGCGCCTGTTATTCCGCCAGAGTCTCCGGTATTTACTTTGTTTTCTTGCTTGTGTTGGCAGTTGTGGCCAAAGGAGGATTCAGACAATTTTCTGAACTTTCTGGTTGGTTTCTGCTGTCCGATATTGTAGCACGCTAACTTTGTATGGGCTCGTGAACGACACGGGGGAGCAGCGTCTGCCTCACAACCAATCAGGATGGGGAAGATGGAGAATGGCTTTGTTTACAGTTAGAAAGAGCGGGCCACTCAAAAAATGTTTAAATGTTAACTACATAGACATAAGAGAACACAGAGATATTGTTATATTACCAAATGTCATCAATAACTAATAACTATTGACTGATATTAAAAGCTTTTTTGTATATTCACCACAAAAAAGATGCTTCTTTAACGGATTCCTGCCTACCCCACCTTTAATCAGACAACACATCGTGAAAGTTTGATTGTTTTTGCATTAACAATCACTGGACATCAGCGATTTTACACCAGCAGGAACAACCGTCTACTTTGCCTTTTTAATATAGATTTGAAAAACTGTTATAAAATTCAAAATGCTGTAATATGAAACAGAAAGAGTCACAAGTATTGAAAAAATGAAGAGAAAAACAACAATAAGAGTGTGTAGTTGTTTCCACGTGTGTGAACCTCCTCCACACCCTCAGCTGATATTATACAACAGATTCGAACATATGTCCAAACACATCTATTCACCATAGCTCTATTTTTACATTCACCTGCATGTCACTGAAAGCTTCCCGGCTTCCTGTAGACATGAAAAGAGCTTCCACGGACGCCCTGAAGAGGCCCACTCAGAAATGTACAGTACTCCACCATATTGTCAGGAGCGTGAGTCATGTGCTTACACAACACTTAGTCCAATAGAAGCATTGTCAAGTACATCTGGATCAAAAGAGGCTGTTTTCCTGCTTTTGTAAAGGGTGTTATTGTCATTCTCTGCAGGCTTGAGCTGGAAGCAGCCGGGGCAGCGCTGCAGAACCAAAACCAGCTCCATCAGAAAGAGTGGGAGGACACTCTTGTTTTCCAAAACCGAGTTTGTCAGTCTGCGTGAGTCAGTCTCTGCTGTCATGTAACAGTTAAAAAAGCCTCTTTGTTTTATTCCCTGGAGTGAGGCTGTGTTTACAAAGGTGATTAACACCAATTAATGCTCCTGGGAGAGGACGATGTGTAACCAGCTGTTCTATTTTTACAGGATTTAAAAATACTCTCAGTTATTGGAGACGAAATCCAATTGTTTCTGCAGATATGATCAAACTCGGCGACACTGATTGCTGCTGATCGGAACTTGGCGCCAGGTCCCCACTGCTGCATATCAATTTATATGAGTGCATGTGTCCATTTGCATGAGCTATTTACATTAATTTGAATCCATCCAGTTTGCAGCATGCATGATGCGCTCCAGATATCCTGTGAGCACCAGAATCTGATTAAAGCAGACCAAAAGGTTAATCGTGAATGACATCATTGCTTGTAAGAGCGGGGGAGACGTGTAATAAGATTGTCTGCTGATATTTTACACCACAACTTAATCCTTGATTGTCCCTCCTTATCCTGGTGCCCCCTCACCCCGGGCAGCTGTGGCTCTGAAAGTGAACACTGATTATTACAATCAAAACAACATGGAGTCAAGAGAGCGAGGAAAAACTATAAATGACATCTTTATACTATTAAGTATTGAGAATAAACGTTTATACATGTGTGCTTTGTTTCTTAGACTGATGTTGTATTTTCAGGAAAATCTTTGTAATAACTAGACGGGTCGGCATTAATTCTTGGTCCTCAGAAGACGCTCCTTTATTACCGTATTTTTATAAGGCGCACTATGAGGCGCACTTAAAATCCGTTTGGCTTGTTGGAGCACTGCAGCTACCGTAGCTTCCCGGAGTTATTGAATGAGTCAACTAATGTTTGACTTATCTGACTGTTTTGTTTGGTTTAATGCACTTTATAATCTGGTGCGCTTTATGTATGAAAATGGACGCAAATAGACGTGTTCATCGATGGTGCGCCTTATAATCAGATGCGCCTTATAGTGCGAAAAATACGGTACTTTGGAGATCTTCCAGCTTTTCATTGAGCACCAGATTAAAGTCAACCTTGACCCAACCCTTATTAATCAACTTTACGAGGTGGACTACTGTTAAAGTCATGGTTGACGATTGTAGAGATTGGTAATTATTATGAACCTTGTTTCCATGGCGATCATGGTCCTATGGTGCGATCTCCACAAAGTGAAGAGAAAACAGAATGGAAAAATCCGTTTACCCTAGCAGGTGCAGGGCTGCAAAAACATTGACCAATGGGAGCCATCCGTCCCGGACAGCTCCTATTGGTCAATCTCCTGCTCCGCCTCTCCATCCAATTACCTCGCTGTATTCGACACACCCCTCTCCCATAGTTCCGACTTGTCCCCTCCCACTCTCCTGGCCCTCCTTGGAGTTCTTAGTGGCTAAAAGTAGTGTAGCAGCTTAGCTACAGGAGCTGTGATGGAGAAGGATGCAAAAAAACACTTCTGCTTGCCCCATCTGCAAAAGTGGGAAGAAAACGCAAGCCGACAGAAGAAAGGGGCAGAGACGAAGAGGAAATGTGACCAAGCGAGGAATCTAACACGAATAAACATCGGGTCATCCTTGGAGCGGTGGAGAAAGCTCCGCCAGGATTTGGTCCTGAAAACAGACGCAGAGACAGCAGAGTTTTGTTGAACAGGTCATTTTTTCGCCTTTTATCGTGGCACATGTTACATAAATAACTCTTATTAGTCTCTGCAATGTCAACATGGTAGCTGTCCAGGCAGCTGCAGACGGCGCTTGCTAGCAGAGCTGGCGTTTACTGCCGCTAGTCACTAACAGTCCGACATGGTGAATCCTATTTGAAGCGTACGATCTTCTGCCGGACGGCTTCTTGCTCTGCCAGAGGGGGGGTGTTGTGGGGGGTGGGATGCTTTTTTCAAATCTGCCTCAACAGCTCAGTTTTTTTCTACTGCTTCTCAGATCATCAACTATGACTCTAAGGCTACGTTCATACTGCAGGTTATGATGCACAATTGTTATATCTGATCTCTTTGTGTGGTCACATTACAACAAGAATGCGACATCTAATGTGAACGGAATGCGTCCATGAAGTGACCCGCATGCGCACAAAGCACAAATTGTTTTCCGCGCCTGTTTGTGTTGTCGAACAATGATGACGTTTGTCGCATATTAATGACGGATGAACATGACCTGAGCATCCACACTGCAGTCACATCGGATACATATCCAATTTATATCCACATACAAAAGAGGCCTGGGTCAGATTTGAAAAAATCTGAATTGCACTGTTCACACTTACATGAAAAATCAGATATGTGTCACATATGGTTAAAAAATCGGAATTGACCTGCAGTGTGAACAGAGCCTAAGTTCTGCATAGACCTGCATGATCCTCAAAGGATGAACTCAAAATCATCTACAAATTTCATTTTCACTTCCTCTTAAATGTTGATTCATAAGGTCAAACAAAATATCTCAACTACAGTTGTAATTGCTCCTCTAAAATATAGATGATGCATTCTTGGTCCACAGAGGATGCAACTTTACAAGTTTAATGGTCATTGGAATATTTATCATGATTTTTTACTCTTGTCCTAAAATTTCAACATCTTCAAGAAGGACAAGTCCAAAGATATTCATATTCCCAAAGGATGAACCAAAAAAAGTAATATAATTCAATTAAATTGTTGGCAAGTTCAATTGTTTTTTATAATTCTTTGTCAAGGTTGAACCCAACTTGGTAAGTTTCATGTTTCCAAGTGGATGAACCCCCCAAAATTCTGCAGATTTCTCAACATGTTCCTCTTGTTTATTGATGTTTCAGTTTAAGTCAAATTTCTCAGCAACACCTGAAAAGCATCTTTTGAGAATTAGCTGAAAAAGTTAGCATGAAGTTCTGGTTCGGTCATGCATGGTCCAAAGAGGATGCATCTTTATGACTTTGCTTATCATCTGGGTGTTCCACTAACATCAACAGCAAATCCAAACTTTAATTACCTGGTTAACTAGCTTAGAGGACAAACCTGAATTATTCTATAAATTTCAAGGTCCTCAGAGGATCAACATAACTAATTTGACATAAGTTTGACTGTTTTCTCTTGAGAGGAAAGAAGGATCTACAAAAATATGTCCTGACCTTCGTGGTCCCCTGATGATGATCACTTTCTTTCCTTGACTTTGTCGTCTTTTACATCAGTAAAGTTTTCATATCCTGGTTGGAGTAAAAAAAAGGTCTCAGCTACAATAGAAAAAAGTTACAGTCAATGGTTCAACTATTCCTGGTCCAAAGAGGATACACCCTGTTGACTTTGCTCATCATCTACATAGGTGTTCGACATTTGCCCTGAGAATATTAAATATTAATATCTCGACATTTACACGATGTTTGAAAACAAAGCTGACTTCAGGATTCATGGTTCCCAGAGGACAACCTCAGGTGTGTGACAGGTTAACGTCTGTCACTATTAAAGCGTCACTGAAACGTCCTTTTGTGTTCAGACTCTCACAGCTCTGAGGGATCGTACTGAGCTGTTTTAAATTCAGAGAAGTCAACAGCATTAAAACTGAATATACTCACTGAATTAAAGTACAATCAAAAACACGTTTTACCCGAACATTAACTGACATATTTTATCGATTATATAGCACAATCACTCGAATTGACGTCCTGCTTTCATGTGAACCTCCCTCTGTGACTTCAGAGCTCATGTGACTTCTGATCGCCTTCCAAGAAAAAATGATGTTTCTCATCACAGAGACATCTGATGGAGCGCCTACAAACATATGTGGAGTCGTATAATAATCACTGACATGCAGAACAACAATCTGACATGTTCTTCTTCTACACAGGAGAGAAATAAACTCGATCACACACTGAGACACACTGAATCAAAACTACTTCATACTGATACTGATCAGACTTCATGAGTCCTGGTTTAAGGAGCGCGAACTTCCAGAAGAGAATCACATCTACATTTGTCCTTGAAAGATTGACAAGGACAGATCAATCAGGCAAACTTTCCATCCGTCCTTTATGAAACAGAAAATCAATAAAAAATAATTATAACCCTGAAGGTTAAACACAAAAGACCAAAGCTGGGAACAAAAGAGTCAATAAACCAGGAAGTACAGCACTGAAGAAACAAAGTATTTTCATAATGAGGAAATATTGAAGTAAAATGAAAATATAGGAAATCAAGACAGAATATTTAAAGATAAATACAAAAACAAACAATAAAAGCAGAAATTATAAGAATAAGTGAGATAAAACACCAACAACTCATTTAAGAAATAGTAGAAAAAACACTGCAAGACATAAATAATGTATGACTCAATAAAACAGAATGAAGTTTAGAATAAGTAAGTAAACATTTTCAAAAAGGGTTTACCTAAAACTTTACCAATGTAGAGTTTCTTAAAATCAAATTAAAACTGGGTTTAAAGTGAAGAAGAGATGATAACACGCCAAGGTTAGTGAAACCTTCACACTGAGTTCACACAGGTGAGGGAAATAATGACGTCTCTGGAGACCATTAAAATTTATACTTATGGAGAGATAAATTATTCAGGTTATATTTCACCTCTCGTTTTTTTTAAATAACAGATTTAAAGTATTTCAAAAAAATAAAAAGAGCCCAGGAAGTACAGAACGAGGACGCCATGGCAGTAACGAGCAGAAACTTGGACCTGGTACGAGAAGCTTTGTCTGATATGATCCACGTTCTTGAGCTGTAGGGGTCAGAGAGTAACGTGACCTGTAAGGACACTTAAAGTGATATTCCAGCGTAAAATTAGATTAGGGTCAAACACACTGTAACACCGAGTTAGACACCCCCTCCAGAGATGAATGTTGCCAACCGCTTGCTTCTCTAGTTATACCAACTTTAGTAACACAGCGGTCTGAGGAGCCGTAAACAAACCTAAATCAAAACGCCACTCCATAGCCACAAATAATGCTCAGAACAGCACCTAACTTCATCAACAGTACATATAGGGTCCCAGCCATAGGACAAGCCACTAAACATCTTTTTAACTTTGACTAATTTCTTTAGCAAAGAGACTAAACACAACTCACCTACTCTCTTTAAGCAGCCGCTTGTTTGTACGGAGACCTCAGGCCAGTTCATGATGGACTACAGCTGGGTGACGCAGCTCAAGGAAGAACATTTACGATCATTTCTTCATGGAAATGCAATCAGGGTCCAGAATGGCAGGCGGATCAGATCCGTGAGCCCACAGCATCCACTGGATCCAATCCACCGTGGCCATCGGAGGAGAAGCTTTCTCATGAGCTCTCGCGTGTTTCCCCGGGAGTCATATAATGAGATCTGCCAATCAGTGTTTATAAACGGCACATCCCAAAACCCTGGCCTCTCCTTTTATCAAGTTAATAACAGTTCAACTTATTTACTTTCTTTTATTTTGAAATTAACCTGATATTTTACTCTGTAACTGCATACAACTTCCACTGCTGCTCGTGCTGCACTGAATTGATGCGCCATGCTCCGGCATCCAGCAAAAATAGAAGCTTTGCGTATCTGATCTGCAGCGGAGCCAAACGCCAGACGGATTCTGTGGAATAACACACATTGATTACAATGCTCGTGGATTTGATCCGCCGGCCATGCCGGAGCGGAGCGGAGCCGTTCTGGACCATGTGGGTCTTGCCCGTAAGGCAGAAGAACTACTGCGTCTGCAGTGCAAAATGATAAATATGGTGATTATTACTTCAAGGAAATGATAAAGAAATTAGTCAAAGTTAAAAAGATGTTTGGTGGCTAGTACTATGGCTGGGACCCTATATGTACTGTTGATAAAGTTAGGTGCTGTTCTGAGCATTATTTGTGGCTATAGAGTGGCGTTTTGGTTGAGTGCGTGGCTATCTGTATTGCTATCCTGCGTAGGGTGACCAGATTTCTGTAATGGAATCCGGGGATCCTAAATTAATTTTACGCCAGAATATCCCTTTAAGTTGACTTCAGATAAATGCATGAACCTGTTTTCTCCGGTGTCATCTTAAAGGTTTAGGTCTGAGTTTACAATGACATTGTCAGTGGTTTTATGGTTAAATCAGTGGCTGTGGGAAATTGGGCTGCAGCTTCCCCTGTTGGAAGAGGCAGATATAAAATTAATAAATAAAATAAACACATTAAAAGGTTTTTATTATTTGCACACTAACCTGTTCAGGAACGTGTTGTCTATTTGTAGCCTAATTGTCTGCTGTGCGGTAAAACTGGCGCACTTCATAATTTGCTGACATTAAAACCCCAATACCCAGGCCCTGTGTGTGTGTGTGTGTGTGTGTGTGTGTGTGTGTGTGTGTGTGTGTGTGTGTGTGTGTGTGTGTGTGTGTGTGTGCGCGCGCATGTGTGTGTGTTTGTGTGTGTGTGCTGTAAAATGAAGTGCACTGGGGTAATTTCAGTTCACTTTTGGACCTGCTCCATCTGTTTGGTTTGTAAGCCTCTGCCTAAAAGGGTGTGGTTGTTGCAAACAGGATATTTCATACGTGTCACATTACATAAGGCTGGGGAGTTACAAACATAGCGTTTGTTTTAAAGCTTGATAAATAAAAAAGTGTGTGCATCATCATCATCATAACCTATCAGCCAAAACATGCACATCAAACTCAAAGCCTCTTTTTCTGATTGCGACAGCTGAACTGTTTTTCTGAGGGTGTTAAAAATAAAAAACTTTGACTGCATCGGTTATGTGCAAAGAAAACAAGCCCAAATACTCCTGATTTTATACCCAAATGCACAGAAAGCCAGTAGAGGAGCACTGACTGCCAGTGGTGAATATGAGTGACAGAAATTACTGGCAGAAAAACACCCCGTTCACACGTTTTAGTGTCCTGAAAAATATTTTTCCTCACTATGTATGAAAACCAGTAAAAAACCCAATCTGAGCAGATAAAGCTGATAGAAAGTGAGAGGTTGTAAAAGCTCATCTCTCTGTTTTTAAGACATGAAATAAAACCAGCATGAACAAAAAAGCAGAGATGGGATCTGAGAGGATGTTTCCTCTCTCTTTTGTCTGAGACAAACCTCATTCAGGCCTCAGTGAAAGGTTTATCAAAGAGGGTCAGAGAGTCGGAATAACCTCATAATTTCACTGGAATAAATCAACAGAATGATTTCAGAAAGTTAATTAAGTCCGCGTCTGGTTCCCAGCTGTCTTTTGTAAATGTGGTTATGCAGGAATTGTCATTCAGTTTGCATAAATGAACAAACTCTTTCACTGAAGAGACCTTTTAACACCGAGAGCTGACCTAAGGCTCAAACTCAGGTTTCTACAGGTGAGGCTTTTGTTTCCTCCTCCTGATGGAAGTTCAGAGCCGCGTTGGAGAAAAGATTCACTCAAAGAAACGTGTTTTTCTTTCCCCTCTGGCGTTAATCATGAAAAATTACTCGTTTAGCTCTAAAGGGCGTCTTTGCCTTTTTTCTCTCCCTGCGTATGTGTTTTTGGCTTTATTCCACTTTCCTCAGTCCTCATTCATCATCCTTATCGTCAGCTCTGCACCTTTTGTTCTTATAAGACACAGTTTATATGTTTTTGTTCGGAAGGCTGACAACTGTTAAAGGAAAGGTTTGAGGACCAGCACATAGTCAGAGCCTGTCTGTTTATCACTGCAAATATAAAACCATTAATCAAGTAATGAGTGGGTCAATGTGTCGGTCATGCTGCTGTTAAAGTTGAACAATATTTACAGGTTTAGGCGCTTCAGGACTCTGTAGTTGGAGTCACCACATGGGCTTAAAGGGGTATTCTGCCATATGGTGAAACACACCTTAACACAGAGTTAGACTCCCCCTCCAGAGATGAATGTTGCCGACCGCTTGCTTCTCAAGATATACAAACTTTAGTAAAGACCACAGGATAGCAATACAGAGAGCCACGCGCCCAACCAAAACGCCACTCTATAGCCACAAATATTGCTCAGAGCAGCACCTAACTTCATCAACAGGACATATAGGGTCCCAGCCATAGCACTAGCCATCAAACATCTTTTTAACTTTGACTAATTTCTTTAGCAAAGAGACTAAACACAACTCACCTACTCTCTTCCAGCAGCCACTTGTTTTTAGCAAGACCTCAGGCCAGTCCATTACGGACTACAGCGGGGTGACGCAGCTCAAGGAAGAACATTTATGATCATTTCTTCATGGAAATGCAATCAGACCAAGACGCTAAGACAGAAGAACCACCGCATCTGCCGTGCAAAATGATTAATATTGTGATTATTACTTCAAGGAAATGATAAAGAAATGATCATAAATGTTCTTCCTCAAAACTAAAGATAAGGAAACACCGGAGGGTTAGGTTAAAATAAATAAAATGAAATAAAAACAACAGTAAAAGATACTAAAATAAGAGCACCAAAATAGCACAATAAAAAACGATCCTGTTTTTAAAAATAGAAAGAGATAAATGCTAAACACTATGATAATAATGAGATAAAAATCTTAGATGGTAACAGCCCAACCAAGTAAGCTTGTTAAAAGAGAAAAAGATCACATGGGAAAAGTGAGACGACTTGGACCAAAACCGTGTTAAATTCCACTTTAAAGATCAGCATTTTTAATGGTTGTTATGGGACTCCTTGGCTTTTGGTGCCAGCCTCTTGTGGACACTTGAGGAACTGCAGTTTTTTATTACCTTTACTTTGTCAGGACCTGAGACCTACAGTAGAAGAAACTGATCTAAAGTCCTCTTTCTTGATCATGAAAGTACTCTCACCTTTAGATGACAGTTTGAACTTTCAGATGTTTTTCCAGTGTTTCTTTCAAATGTTCATGCTGCGCCCCGTTAGTGAAGCTGCTCTCAGTTTTAATGGCTCTAAACTGTGGATCACCCTCCCTTTGGATCTCAGAAAAGAAAACAACCTTTAAATTTTTTTAAAAAGAAATTCAAGACCCAGATTCAGACACCGCTGAGGCAGACAGAGCCGTTATCGGGAAGTAGATGAAAAATGGCAACACATCCATTCAGGTTATCTTAATTAGTCTCACTAGACATCCCAACTGGCACTGTAAAATGTTATTCCTGTATTTTTAATTGTCAAAGCATATGTTAATCAGCAGATACAGTAAATGATTAATGTTTGCTGCCTCTGATAATAATGTCAGTAATAAATATGAAACAGAAACCAGCCCCAGTGCCGGCTCTGCATGAACTCGTATTCGAACATGTTCAGCTCATTCAAAGGCTGCGAGTCACCCTCTAATCAGATCCTTGGGCTTCACCTTGACACTCACATCATGTCCTTGTGTTTATGGTTCATATATCAGCGCTCACTGATGTGTGAGCTTTGTTATGGTCGAAGAAACACCAAAGGTTGTTGTCATCAGTCAGGATTTACTGCTGATTTGTTTTCATTAGCCTTAGGTTCAGTCTTAATAAATGTTGGCAAAGTTAATTAATGTTTTGGGGTTTTAATTGCTTAAAGTGCAGCATATGCAGCTTGTTTAAATATGTGCAGAGTGCAGACAATGCTTTGGCAGGAGGTTCAGTCAGTAAACATCCAGTCTGGACTGAAAAAGCATACTCATGAGCAGAATTCAGAGTTTTCTGAAAACATGCTGAGCAATGAAACAGCCAGGGAGCAGCGAACAATAAGAACAATATGGGGTTTGAATTCAATATTTAGTGTTCATATCACACAGTAAAGTCCTTTAAATACTGCTGAATCATCACAAGTCATGTTATCGTAGTCATCTGCATAAAGGACGCCTCTGCTGACGGCGACTCTGATGGCCTCAGGGCTCAGGACTGCTTTATGCTGATGTGATATTAAAAACAAAGAGCATGCATTTTTCTCTTTAGTCTCACTTTTGCTGCTAGAAGAGGAGGAAACACTTTTTTAAAACACATGTTGAACTTTAATTGAAGAATTTCTGGTAGTTATCTCTGAACGACACAGATGTAGTTTGCAAACAAAGAGTGTGCGCACAATCTCGTTTCCACAAAATCAAGGCCTTTTTAAGGTCATGTATTTTAATTGTGTTTCTGTTGGGTTTAGATCGCGGGGTGGGAAAGAGGGGTTAGGTTGGGGGAGATTTGGGTTTTCTTTGTCTCTTTTATTCCTTTTTCTGCGTGAAGCACTTTGTGCTACATGGTCGTGTATGAAAAGTGCTAGATAAATAAAGACTGATTGATTATGATGGTCACATTATCGACATTATTACATTTTTTAAAAAACTAGAAAAAAACAATCAGTCAAATTAAGTTGAAGCAACACATTACTTCATAAACCTTAATGACAGTCCTGATTAACTGATGTCACGGTCTATTTCTAATAATGGTCATATTTATAAATTATCCACTTTACATTTAACATTTTTTTGTGCTTTTATTTTAATGTTTTTTTTCTGCCTTGCATTTCAGTCGCTTTATTTTTTCACATTACACACAACCACCAAACTTTAGTTTTCAGTAACCAATCAAAATAAAGGTAACATTTCTAGAGCTACAGTTTTAAAACGTGTTCAGATTACCAGCTGATTCTTGTGTTAATATGCGCATTTTATTATAGGCGTTAACGGGCTCCCTGGGACTTTTGGAGGTAGCCCCCAGTGAACATTTGAGGAACTACAATGTAGCGACTGCTTTCCTTCAACAAAAAATGCCACTGGTGTAAATGCATCTGTGACACGTTCAAATATGAGTCTGGTTTGAGCGTTTCAAAAGTGATTTATTGTTCGTAAAAAGAAAGAAAATATGTTGATCCAGGTCCAAAACCTTTGACTTCAAATGAAAAAAGTGGTATGCTGAAAAGAGGTCAAAACAGGACGAGTGAAACAAAAAAAAAATGATGAAAAACTGTCAACAGAAAATTATCAGAGCTTACCATACCATTGTCTGACTACACCGGTGACAGTTAAATAACCCGCCAAACATCCAAAAACCACACCCCTCAGTGACGATCCCCGGTACCTAGTAGAAATCAAACTCAACAAATATATTTTGGCTCCTACATACAGTTTTAGCTTCACTACATCGGCTTGACTTTATAATTGTAGAAATTGCCTCTATGTCTTACCTAAATTTGTCTGTCTGTGCAGTGATTGGCTGGTAGGTCGTCAATCAATCAATCAACCAATCAATCAAACTTTATTTATATAGCACCTTTCATGCTTTTAGGCTGCAACACAAGGTGCTTTACAAAAAGGTAAAAACAAACAACGGTAAAAAACAAACAACAGTAAATATAAGGCAATTAAATAGGCATAAAACCCGTCCCTTCCGACCCACAGCAGCACATACAGGCAAGCACAGCAGCCCCCCCCCCCCCCACACACACATACACGCACACACGTATCCACACACCCACACACTAACTGTCAGTAAAAACATTGCAAGGCACTGATGATCCTGGTAAGGAAAGACCACCTATGGGAGCCCACCCCCACAGGGAGCACCGCCCCCGAGACCCCCGAACCCAGACAGCCCGGGTGCACCCCGCACATAGTGCAGAGCCCCCTAACCGTCCGGGCCTGGACGATCCCAAGGACCGAGCCCCCCGGGGGTGGACCAGACACACCTCCCAGTGTGGAGGGCCCCCACGAGGAAACTCTGGAGCTAAAAAGACTAGGGCATAGAAGGAATTAAAATAATGTTAAAATATCTAAATGACATAAAAATGTGATAAAAGTAAAGGATGAAATAAACTAAAACTAAATTAAAATAATGTTAAAATATCTAAGTGACATAAAAATGTGATAAAAGTAAAGGAGAAAAAAAGTAAAGGAGAAAAAAAGGACAGGAGACTATTTCAGTTTCTGTCCTAGAGTCAAAGATGAGAGTAATATTGCCTACAACTTACAAAGCCACAAATCTTTGATGTTACCATGACCTTTATTAAAAGTAGACTCTAAAGCGAAGAAAAGCTCAACAGTTTGGTGTCATGGAGGGCCAAACATCGGGGTGTTATGACAAGCTAAGCTACGTGCGTTACCTCTCATTTGACTGACAGAGTTTCTGTGACACGTTAATCAAACTGAAGGTTGATTCCTGTCGAGCCCGTACTGATTGGAAACTCTCTCTCACCTGGAGTCGTAACCTCAGGTGAGCAGCTTTTCTTGGCGTGACAGCAGCCATTTAAGGAAATTGAAAAGCTCCCTCTGTTTTAGTTTGGGTATTTACCAATGGAGGGGTGATAATTACTTCAATATTTCCTTTAGAGCTGATGTGTTTAAACTAGGTTGTGGAGGATTAGATGTTTACCTAGATGTAGATTTAATTTATTCTCCTATAAAACACACCCTGCTTTAAACATGCCCTGATGAACTTCTGTTGAGGGTAACGGCTGGTTGGGAAAAAAAGATTCCAATGGAAAATTTCTTGTCATCGAGACCAGACCAGCTTGTGAGGAGTTATCATTCCTCACCTTGGTTTCCTCACAGGGGTTAAACTGTGGCCTCGTTATGGCTTACACCCTTCACAAATACTCTGCCACTGTGTCAGGCCTCTACAGTTAATCTGGAGGAAATAAAGTCAAATAAAAAAAGAAGTTTTAAATCACAAACATCCGCTCACAAAGACCCTAGCCTTCTTTTTCAGGTGGTCAGAACTCCAAATAATGCAGAGTAACCCCCAATTTCCTCCGCATCCTAAACGGCTACAAAAAGGTCATATCCTCCGATCGTAGCTGATTGTAACCATTCAAGTTTTGAGCTGCGTCCGAATTGCCAAGTAGTAGTCGAAGTAGTAGTCGAAGTAGTATCTAGCATGTCCGAATTGGCCACCGGAGCGAGTAGCATGCTACTTCAGATACTACTTCAGATACTAGACACGCCCACATTGTAGGTTGGTCTCGGTGCATCCTACGGGCATGCTACTGACCCAAAATGCACCGCGGGCTTCTTCTTCGTCCTCTTAAAAGTTGTAGAAGCGCATGTGATGCTAGCGCCACCAGCTGCTCTGCCTATTTAAATGTGTCGCGAATGCCGGCTGGCCACAGCAGCACGCACCATGTCGGAGCAGCAGCAGGCGGGACCGCAGTAGTACAGATGTAAGTTTCATGTAACTTCACACACTGTCCTAAAAAATGTCCGGTTGTATCTGTTTGTCATGTCATGGTGTCATATTTGCCCAAGTAATCATTTTATGAGCAAATACGTGGCGACATCATGGAGGTAAAGCTCACTTATTCCATCATTAAACTGCACAGCTGCAGTACTACAGCCAGGCCCGCAGATGAGGGGCTTCAGTTACCACTGTCTGCACGGGCGCAGTACCTACTCTGTGCCTGCGGGGGTCGTCTTTCCCCACCGCTCGTCTAGTGTGTCCGAATTGGGCCAACGTTTTTAGGATGTAGGAGTGGGATCTAGCAGTAGTATGTAGCAGTAGCATGTAGTATCCGAGTGGGCAGTTCGGACGCAGCAAATGTGTCAATTTCCGCCGGCTTCTTTCCGTTCTGCTGTGGATCGTCAGACTCCACAGCTGATCGCAAGAGTTCTATTTTTTCCGGACACCGAAGACACCGGATAAATTCAGCACAGACTAACCCGTGCTGGAAAGGAAGTCGGGCACAGACACAAAATAAAACATCAAAAATCCATGTTTCAGGAGGATCATATTTCACACCATGCAAACGGGCGGAGACGAACAAGTGAAAGGTTTATAGACATCATTTCACCCCGATGACACCATGGAAGAGGAGATGCTGATCCTAGAAGTCTAGAAGTAGATTTCCTCCTCTGGAAGGTCACAATCTGTCCACAGTCTGTCTTTACAGAGACAACTCGTTATCACACAATTGCACGTGAATCCGCGGGTTCTTGTGAGTTGTCACGATTCCTGCTGTTCGTAATTCGCCACGAAATTCGCCTCACAAACGGATCCGGTAGGAATTGGCGTACAGCGAAAATCGCCGCCATTCTGGATCAGAGCCGTTCCGGATGAGGTGAAAATTACAGGTGGTACCGTTTTATTTTAGAGGCCATATTGTAAAAAACAATCATATTATGTTCTATACAATATAAGTTTGTGATGCTCCTGTCTTCAGTCGACCATTTTTATCTCTTCAGCATCATAGTTGGCTGACTGAATGACTCACAGCGCCCCCTACAGAAAGGGGGCTTCATCGCAACAGAGGTACTCAATCCTGGGCCTGTCTGGGATGATATTTACTTTTATAAAAGCAGCTTGTTTTCTTGGCTGTCTTCTTAGAGACAACTCGTTATCGCGCGATTGTACGTGAATCTGCAGGTTCTTGTGAGTTCTCGCGATTCCTGCTGTCTGTAATCCATCGCGAAATTCGCCTCACAAACGAATCCGGTAGGGATTGGTGGACAGCAAAAATCGCTGCCGTTCCGGATGCGGTGAAAATTGGGGGTTATACTGTCATGTAAACCATGACAGATAAAATGACAAACTTCAGTAAAAATATGTTTATATTTACTTTAAATTTTTTGATATTTTTAGATTTTATGTAGGATAAGTTCAGATATTTTGAATCTATCATTTCAGAAAACTTCCAGATTGGATTCTGGGCTGAAAAGCTCCCTTGCTTACCCCCCCATGGGTGAAGTGATGGTGACCTTTGAGGACATGAAGCTCCTGTGATGCTAAGTTTGTGGAGTTTTACCACACAACAACAACAACCCCCCTCTTCTTCTTCTTCTTCCATCTTGTGCGTTTGATTTACCACTAAACTGTGCATGTTACCCGTTTGTACCATAGAAATATGATATCAATCTGGGATAAAAATGATCCAGACACAGTATCCCCTGGTTTTAATATGTTGGTTAAAGTTTACTCAGGGGTTCTTTTATTTGTACTCGTGGTTAAATTTAGTCTTTACAGTCTGGACTGAGGCTAAAGTGTTTACAAGGCCTCTCTGAGAGCTTATAATAAACCAGAGGGACCACTATTCATGCCCCAAATGTCCTGATGTTTATCACACACTCGTATAAGTGGAGGGCATTTTATTTGGCACTTTTACAAGAGTCAAAAGAGGATCTACTGCTGCAGGAGAAAGAGTCTGTGCGGATGTTTGGGGACAGGAACTGAAGCGTCCTCAGACTGAGATCAGATCACGTTAAGGGCCCCTTGCGTCCTCGTAAATCTGTCTTTGATTGTTAATCTTTCAATGAGTCTTTAGATGAAACACAAACAGAATGTACCAACATTTTGTTTACCCTTTAATTTCTAAATTGGCACTTTGCAAGGGAGTTTTACACTGAAAATCTAATCACAGGAGCTTTGTTTGTCACGTCGGATTCATGCACGACTGAAAGAAGAGGAGAAATGAAGCGAAAACCAAACAAACACGGAAGAAGGTTTTGAAGCTGGTCCTGATGTTTTATTCTTACTTCTTCTGCAATGGTTATGATGAATTCTGAACTCATATCTCTTCACACAGAAGCACTGCCCTCACCTATTGTTCAGGTTAAAACAGACCTAATTATCCAAATGTACTTCATTGTGCGGCTCTCCTTCTTTCTGCCTCTGAATCAGCTGCAGCTTTGAAAACATTTTAACAAAGAACTTTTTCTTCAGCGCCGTCTGCCTCCGTCACCTCTCCTCAGAGCAGGTCACAGGTCAGATTGAGTTTTTCCACCATTTTTCTGCTTTGTTTGAAGGTTGACAGTGGAGAAAAGAAAAGAGTCTGACATGCAACAAAAGTTGTCGGACAAAACTCAACCAGCTGCAGTCCTGCTGAAAACTCACGTCTTCAGTTCCTCTGTGGTTGAGTATAAAAAAGACAGAGGCTGTAGTTTATTTTAATGTTTTTTTAATGCATTTACAAACCTATAAAACCATAAACACAACATTGTTTTTTATTACGTAACTCAACGATAAAACATCTTTATATTTGGTGTTTTCAATCTGAATGTTAAAGTTTTAAGGGTTGATTCAGCGGTTAAAGAAATCCCCGAGCTCTAATTTCTTTATACATAATATTTATTTATTTTTAACCACAAATCCACAAGACTAAGGACGCCATGGAGAGGTTTGGATTGTTTGAAGTCAGGTAGGTTATGAAAGTTTGCAAACAGTGCCGAGACAATCAATCAATCAATCTATCTATCTATCTATCTATCTATCTATCTATCTATCTATCTATCTATCTATCTATTATTAAATAATACTTAAGGTGGTCTATGAACTATTTATCCATGATTCAGTTTCCTAAAAACCCCAAAAGTTGACCATCTTTTTTTTGTATTTAACTTTCTTTATTTGAATTTATTTGTTGAACGATTTCATTTTATTTTGACTTTAATATTTTTTTCTTGGTTATTTATTTATTTATTTTTAATTAAATAACTTTCTTTATATAAATTTATTTGTTGAAAGATTTTATTTTATTATGAGTTTTATATTTATTTCTTGTTTATTAATTTTTTTATTTAAATGTACTTTATTAGAATTTTTTGTTGAAAGATTTTATTTTATTTAAATTTGTTCTATTTTTGTTTTTATTTTTTCTTGTTTTTTAATATTTAAAAAAAGTGTTTAATTTACTTTCTTTATCTGAATTTATTTGTCAAAAGATTTTAGTTTATTTTGAGTTTTATATTTTTTCTTGTTTTTTTCATATTGTTTTTTTAAATTTAATTTACTTACTTTATTTGAATTTATTTGTTGAAAGATTTTATTTCATTTTGAGATTTATATTTTTTCTTCATTTTATAATTTTATTTAAAAAAAAAAAATCTTTCTTTATTCGAATTTATTTCTTGTAAGATTTTATTTTCCGAAAAAGGAAACCGGAACAAACCCGGAAGCACGTGTCAATGACATCAGCAGTTGAAAACAAAAACAAATCTCCGTCTTACACCATCCCTGTCGTTGTCTTGTCTCACGCTGTTTGTCCAATTTATACGTTTTTTAAACCTCGGCTTCGTCCCGTTTCTTCGTGTTGATGGTAAGTCTTGATTTATTTCTGAACTGTTGACAATTAAAACAGAAAATCAGAGTTTTTATAGCGATTTTGTCTGAAGCTACCGTGTGTAAGCTAACTCCGGCTAACGCTGCCTCACTGTCAGCTGAGGAAATCCAAGTCTGTCCTCCTCTGTCTCAGGTATGTCCTCTATCACGGGTCTACCTTCTGTCTCAGGTTGTCCTCTGAGTCCAGCTGAAGGTTCACCGGGTTCTGACGGTACCGGGTTCTGGCAGTCATGGCTCAGCAGAGAGGAGTAAACAGCCTTCAGTTCAACCAGGACCAGAGTGAGCTGCAGCTAACAGGAGGAACAACACAGAGCTGTCTGTTTTTATTCTCTTAGTTTAACATGTTTTTGATTTCTCTTTTAATCCATGTTAGGCTGTTTCTGCTGTGCTATGGAGACCGGGGTCCGGATCTATAATGTGGAGCCCCTGATGGAAAAAGGACACCTGGGTACGAGGGTTCAAGATCTCTGCTGTCTTAGTTTGGTTTTTAATGATCATGAAGGTTTGATTTCTCTAAAGGAGCTGAAGCCAATTTCACCTGTTCTGATCGATTATATGATTGTATAATTACAGTACTTATATTTAGTACAAACTCCCACTCTAACTTGACTTATAATAATGATAACTTTATTTGTATAGCACTTTTAAAAACAGAAGTACTTTGACATAAAGTCATAGAGCACATAGAAAAAGACAAAAACAAAAGCTCAGTTGAAACGGAATTAGATTAGATTAGATTAGATTTTTCCTTTATTCATCCCTCAGTGGGCAAATTAAGTCATTAACAGCAGCAGTACACACAACATACGCATGTATTATGGGTATAAAGAACAAATAGATAAGATAAGGAACTACGGTAAAAGAAGAAAAAAAGAGCAGGGCAATTGAAGAACGGTATTAAAGACAAGTATTAGAAAAATACAAAAGAGAAAGATAGATCAGTGCCAACAAAAAACAGGTATGGATGTGATGATGATATTGATATTGAACATGGTTAATAAATAGTTAGGGGTGTAGGCCAATTTCATTTTTCATAAGAAACCCAGACAACACAAGAACCACGCAACATAAAATGAGACCGTGAGGACCAAAATAAAATATAAAATAGTTACGAAAAAAGGGGGTCAAAAGCGGAAACAGGATAGTAAATATAAAAGGCAATATCAACAATGATAATAAAATAATAACAGGTAATACTGATAACAATAGTAATGATGAAATAGAGCAACAGAAAACAATAAAAGAAATAAAACATAAAAAGCCAAAAGGGGACCTGCCATAAAAATGTAATTTTGGGGGGTTTTTGTGTCAGATAAGGTTCATGTTTTGTTCGTCTTATGTTGTAAATGTGAAAACAAACCGTTACGTCGTTTGCATTCTGTAAAGGTTTAAAATAAAGGAACGAGTAAACCAGGCCAATTGAAAAAGCAGGTCAATCTGACGTTGCGTTGACATTGCTCATTATTATTCACAAGCGCGTCCTCGGTGAGCCGCGCCCACTCTCTCGTTCTCGTACTCAGTCACAGCCAGAGCGAGACCCAGCTACCACTGTATCCGCTATGGGTCTCTTCCAAACGACCGGTGTTTCCTTCGGTTCACTGCCGGGAAAATGAACTTAAAGCTGGACAGAATGAATGAGAAAACACAGCTGGAGATCTCCGGCTTCTTCCTCAACTTCCACCTCCTCTCCGGACTAGGGGTCTAAAATATATGGTTTAATACCTGCCGTTTTTTGCCTTTAGCATAAGGTGACCAGACGTCCCCGATTTCCGGGGACAGTCCCCGTATTGGGTGACCTGTCCCCGGCAAAAGCTGTCCCCGAAAATGTCCCCGATTTAAGCGTTTCATGAATGAGAGCAAAAATGTTGTGTGTGGGCTCGAACAGCGGTTATTACAGGAGCCGAATAGGTAGGAAGCACAAGTAAGCAGTCCTGAACAACAGTTCTTACGGGGGTTATTACAAGGGGCATGCGCTGCTACTAAAAAGTACCGAGACTTTGTCTGTGATCATGCAGCCCCTGCACCGCCGCACCGAATATCCCCAGATATCATTACAGACATCTGGGCACCTTACTTTAGCACACATTAGCATATGCTATTAGCATTAGCATAATAACAATGGATAAAGCGAAATCCGAACCTCCACTGCTGAGCCAATCAGAGCACAGCAGGCTTCACAGCAGCGATCCAATCAGAGCAAAGCTCATTACCATAAATGTTAATGAGCCCAAACCAGTTGGTTTTCCTGTAAGGTTTTTTAGGCATAATAAAACAAACCATCAAATAACTTTTCAGCTAAAATTATGTTGCAAACATGATCAGAGGACATCAAGGATTATGAAAAAATGATAAAAATGGGTGTGAAATTTTGGTGGCAGGTCCCTTTTAAGAAAAGATTCTAAGTAAAACGAAAGCTAAAAAGACAATAAAGCCAAAATAAGATAGATGTGAAAGAGAGAAAAGAGAAAAGACGGCATCACATAAAATCTAATTTGTAAAAGTGAGTTTTTAAATTTAACTTAAAAGAAGCGACTGTCTCTGCTGTACGCCTTATCTCCTCTGGCAGGTCGTTCCAAAGTCGAGGAGCTCTGATGGAGAAAGATCGATCACCTTTAGTTTTGAGTCTCGTCTTTGGAACGACCAGGAGGTCTTCGCCAGAGGATCTGAGGCTGCGAGTTGGCTCAGAGGGTAGTAAAAGATCTGAAATGTAGCTTGAAGCGAGTCCTTTGAGCGCTTTAAAAGTTTTCAACAAAATCTTAAGATCAATTCTAAAACTGACAGGAAGCCAGTGAAGGGAGGTTAAAACTGGAGTGATGTGACGCCGTTGACTAAAACCAGTTAAAAGCCGAGCTGCTGCATTCTGAACTAGTTGGAGGAGGAAGATTTCTTATTTTCTTATTTTAAATTTACTGATTTAGGACACAGTTACAGTCAAATAAAATGATCATGAACAGAGATCACTTTGTTTGTAAAATAATAGTCTACAGGACAAACTAACAACACAACTTAAACCACCAATAAACTGTCCTGAGTTTTAGGTTTGCATGCGTACACACGTGACCTGTCATTCTGGCAAAGCAAAAAGCTACAATGGCGGACTTTCAGACCTTTGCTGACGTGGATAAGATCAGAGGATAAAATCTGTTTCATATGTAAGGATTAGCTGATCACTGATCCCCCAAAGTTGAGGAAATCGGCGTCGATCGATCAGCCAGCAGATTTATCAGTGTATGTTTAGTAAAAAATGGCCTCTAAACTTCTGTTCACTGTGGTCGACATCATGAAACATTACAAGGATGAAACCTCCATCAGAGCAGATAGAGGATGTGTGTTTGTTGGTGTTTTCTAAACTCTTATTTATATTCAGGATGATGCATTTCTCTCTGCACACAAAAAAACAAGAAGTCATTGTAAAGAAATCATTTTTTAATTAGGTAGCTGAATAAATACAGACGTGTTCATCTGAGAAAAAAGACAACTGCATATTTTTCTAATTAGACCTTTTATGTGTCACTCACACGACCAAAGACGAGCGGATTTTCTAAACCTGTTCAAGAAAAAACTCTGAATTAATTATTCAGTAATCTGTGATAATCCTGTGAGTAAATCCTAATACATCAAACTAATATTGACAAGAACACTGAGCCGTCAACATGGTTTTCTCTGTGTGTCAGTAAGATTAGGACAGACACTTTTTAACGTGTGTGTGTGTGTGTGTGTCCAGATCACGAGCAGGTGGGCAGTGTGGCTCTGTGCTCCATGCTGCATCGCTCTAACCTGCTGGCTGTGGTCGGAGGAGGAGTCAACCCCAAATTCTCTGAAATTTCCGGTGAGTTAAAGTGGAGATGGTGTTTTTATGGTGGTGACACTGAGGTAGAACAGACAGAGAAGGGACACTCTCCATACTTCATTAACTGACTACAGTCCCACACTCTTGTTGTTTGAGCCTCTAACGGACTCGTGAAAAAAACAACAATCAGGATTATTAAGATGCAAAGAGGAAATTTTAACTAAATCCAGTGAGAAAGAGAAATGATAACAGCAAACTATCCTCATGTTTTACAGCTGTAATGTAAACCTTCTGCTGAAACAACCAAGTGCTGGTTGTTTCAGTGGCATTCACCTAGATTTGCAGACCCTGCACACAGATTCATGAGTGGCTCCCTTTCTTTTACCCTGGGGGGCGCTGTGGTATCCTCCCAGCAGTCAGCAGCTAATTGACCCTGTCATGGACTCTTAAATCTGAAGTGCTCCCGTCTCTGGCTGTCACTTGCTGCGTCCGAATTGCCCGCTCGGATACTACATGCTACTGCTACATACTACTGCTAGATCCTACTCCTACATACTAAACACGTTGGCCCAATTCGGACACACTAAACGAGCGGTGGGGAAAGACGACCCCCGCAGGCACAGAGTAGGTACTGCGCCCGTGCAGACAGTGGTAACTGAAGCCCCTCATCTGCGGGCCTGGCTGTAGTACTGCAGCTGTGCAGTTTAATGATGGAATAAGTGAGCTTTACCTCCATGATGTCGCCACATATTTGCTCATAAAATGATTACTTGGGCAAATATGACACCATGACATGACAAAGAGATACAACCGCACATTTTTTAGGACAGTGTGTGAAGTTACATGAAACTTACATCTGTACTGCTGCTGTCCCGCCTGTTGCTGCTGCTGCTCCGACATGGTGCGTGCTGCTGTGGCCAGCCGGCGTTTGCAACACATTTAAATAGGCAGCAGCTGGTGGCGCTAGCATCACATGCGCTTCTACAACTTTTAAGAGGACGAAGAAGAAGCCTGCGGTGCATTTTGGGTCAGTAGCATGCCCGTAGGATGCACCGAGACCAACCTACAATGTGGGCGTGTCTAGTATCTGAAGTAGTATCTGAAGTAGCATGCTACTCGCTCCGGTGGCCAATTCGGACATGCTAGATACTACTTCGACTACTACTTCGACTACTACTTGGCAATTCGGACGCAGCAAATGTCCTCATGCAAATGTCGCACACAGTCTGGCTGCCTCTCCAGATGCAGAGGTCGTATAGTTTTAAGGGCCGTCTCGCTCTTTCTTTCTCCCTTTCCCTCCTCTCTGTTTCATGTCTGAACTCATCTGTGCAGAGCAAAAAAAAAAAAACATGAGCACACAGTCAGTTCAGCAATTTTAATTGGGTACAGAGAAACTGAAGCTGCTTGCCCTGCAGGAGTCTTCATCAAGGCTAAAACATACAAGATATTTGGAGCGTGGCAGCTGCGTCTCGTATCATGCAGGAAACAAGTTTCCATTCTAATCAATGCAGCAAAGCGTACAGTACGCCTATCAGCTCCGTTGCAGCATCATATCGAGAGCATAGACTGTATATACTACAGACAACTTGGTTCCGCCTACCGCCTGTATACGGATTTGAAGCCAAAAAGCTCTCAGTATTTCCGGGATTTTTCTTCATTTCCTGAAACCAGCGCTGTACAGTAGCGATGTGCGCATTCGACCGTGCAGTCGCCGAGAGTCGCTGTGATGACGCTCGGCTCAAACAGCGTATCCCCGGGAGAGCTACGTAATCCTTGAACGCCCATAGGCTGTATCAGGTGTCAATCATAGAAAACATGAACCCCCTAATAACTTTTAAAAACGGAGCTTCAGAGAAAAAAGAGGACTTGGGCACAAACCAGTCTTACATTAACTACATGATTGACATGATTGACACTTGATACAACCTATGGGCATTCAGGGATTGCGGAGCTCTTCCGGGGGATACGCTGTTTGAGCCAAGTGTCATCACAGCGACTCTCGGCGACTGCGTGCCCGAATGCGCACATCGCTACTGCGCAGCGCTGGTTTCAGGAAATGAAGAAAAATCCTGGAAATACTGAGAGCTATTTGGCTTCAAGTCCGTATACCTGCGGTAGGCGGAACCAAGTTGTATATAGTATATACAGTCTATGGTTGGTATAGATGAAAAATCCTTCCTGTTTCTGGATTTATCAATAACACAGAACAATCTGATGGTCAGTCTCTGATCCATGTGGACCCCAACAGGACTTTGAACTGCTAACTCTGTCTGAAGGTAACAGCACAGCATAAAGGAACATAGTTTACTTTATTAAACACCAGTAAACCTGCAAAAACACAAACTGTAAAATCACTTAAAGCTCTTTTATGTATAGTAGAGGCTTAACGGTCACTGAATTATATCCAAATTATCAGGAAATCGACCACAGAAAGGAAAAACAACCCGTTGTGGGCATGTTGTTTCCTTTACACTGAGCCCAGCTGACCGGGGGGATACCAAATGCTGCTCTACGGAGCAAATACAGAATGTGCTAAATACGGATCCTGTACGTTTTCAGCTTCAGAATAAACAACATGACCATGAAGGACACCTTTAGATCATTTACTCAGATGTCATTGGCAGAAAGAGGTCAACATGTTTGCACTGTGTTAAAACTGCTGACTTGACCACCTTTGGTCCTCTTTACCTGTTTTAACAGTTTTTAAAAAAAAAATTTTTCATCTCTGATAAACTAGAGTCTGATCTTCACTTCAACTTTATTATGCCCCAAAAATTGGCAAATCAGGTTGCAGCAGGCACAGACATTTAAAACACTGCCATACATCATAAAAATAAAATAAAATACATTTACATAAAAAACTGTTCAGGAGCATTAAAGAAGATTTAGAAGGTAAAAAGAAAAGCATATGTCAGCCATACCAGTACTTTTTGCATGAACAGAGTGCATAAGATAAAATGCAGAAACAAAGTGCAACGTGCGGTTTGCTTACCAATAAAAGACCCCTAGATGAAGCTCAATCTAGAACAACAATAATAATCATAATAATCATAATATACACCATCTAATATCAGAAACAGTTATCTCCTCCTGCAGGAATCGTTTAGGGCTCTGATAGAGCCTGGGATGAAGGAATTTTTATACCTGTCTTTGTGGTTGTAGGAGCTCGCAGTCGATGGCCAGAAGGTAACAGATTGTATTCTGAGCAGAGAGGATGGTCACTATGAGACCGAATGGACACAGCTTTTTTACGAACCTGTTTGTTAAAAATATGATTCAAGCTAGTGAACTGCACGCCTGCAATTTTACTCGCCACCTTGATGATCCTGTCCAGGGCATTTTTCTCTCTGGTCCCCAGGTTGCCGTACTAACAGATAATACAAAAAGATATGACCGATTCAATAAAAGCAGAGGAAAACAATGACATCGGGAACTTGTTAATTTGAAATTTGGCGAGCTTTCTTAAACAAAAAAGTTGTTGCTGGCCTTTCTTGCACAGCACTTCAGTATTACGTTTGATGTAATCTGTCCTCGCTCTGCAGAAACAGAGACGTCAGTTTCTGTCTCTCCTAAAATGCATCATCATTACAAACCTTGCTGTTTTCAGTGTTAATATCTAAGAGAGAGAGGGAGGATGCGCTTTATTCAAAGTTTAGGACTTAATGAAGGTGCTGCAGGCTGCATAGGATCGCTCATTCTTGATTCTCATTTTTTCAACATCATGGGGGGACAAAACACACGTAGCCAATAAAAGACTGTTCTTTTTGCGACAGTTAAAAAAGTTCAGACTCAGACACATGATCCTCCTTCAGTTCTACGCAGCCATAATTGAGAGTATCCTCACATCATCAATAATAGTCTGGTACAGAAACTTGGACAGTCATTCACACACAAAACTTCAACGGATAATAAACAGATCATCCAAAACCACCCCCATCCATAGAGACTCTGTATCAAAGACATGTCACACAGCGAGCGCTGAAAATCACCTCAGACCGCATACACACCCTGCACACCCCCTGTTCACACTCATGGCTTCTGGTAGGTGTTACAGGTCTTTGACAGCCAACTCAGCCAGATTCAAGAATAGTTTCTTTCCCACTGCCTTACAGACACTAAACCAGTATCTAGTAAATTGTATCCACATGTTATCCACTGGTATCTTGTATTGTTTTGTATTGCATGATGTGCTGTACCAGGAAACAAATTCCACCAACCCTGCTGTGTCCTCCTCTTGATGTTATACAGGACCAGGCTGTCAGTGCCGAGCTACATCAGCTCATCACTCTGTTTACTTTTAATCAAACACAGCAGATTTACAAAGTGGCAGATAAACTCAGACTTCTCTTTAATTAAACTAATTTTTTTTTACAGGAAAATGAAGTAAAAATGACAGAAAATCGACATGAATCCTGATCAACCGTCAAAAAAGACGATCAGATAAAACAGCCTGTAAACAAAAACAGGTGGGGAAGTTTAAGATGTTTATGAGTACAAAAACCTCACAATCGGTTTCATAAAATCAGGTCGTCATTTCAGCTATCAAGAACTGATTTGCATTATTATGATGTTTCGACCAATCAGATTCAAGTATATTGGACAGCCAGGTAATAAAACAAATTTGTCTACACACACACACACACACACACACACACCGTTTGAAAACAGACGTGTAAATTAAAGCGGACGGTAAAATCGTCCAATCAGAGCAGCTCTCTCAGGTGAGTCACTCGCCTGGATTTGATATTGATTGATTATTGATTATATAATCCCCCTTTAATCGTTTGACTCTGCAGTTCTGATCTGGGACGACGCTCGAGAGTCCAGAGACCCCAAAGACAAACTGGTTCTGGAGTTCACCTTCACTAAACCGGTTCTGGCGGTCCGCATGAGACACGACAAGTGAGTAAGGAGTCCCTGATCAAGTGATAAATTAAAGAAAATGTTTAAATGTGATCAATCTAATCAATCTGCTCTGCTGCAGGATCATCATCGTCTTAAAGAACAGGATCTATGTCTACAGCTTCCCTGATAACCCTGTCAAACTCTTCGAGTTCGACACCCGGGATAACCCGAAAGGTCCGCGCTATTTCCTCCTTTCTGTGTTCTTTTCTTTCTCCATCAGTGTAACACATCTAGGTGATTTATGTCTGTGTCTGTGCTGCTGCTGCAGGTCTGTGTGATTTGTGTCCCAGCCTTGAGAAACAGCTGCTGGTGTTTCCGGGTCATAAATGCGGCAGCCTGCAGCTCGTTGTAAGTCGTAAACACAAACAAAGCGTGCCACCGTCGCTCACATTAAAACGTAAAAATAAAAACAAACATTCTCTGTTTTTGTTTCCTCAGGATTTGTCCAACACGAAGCCGGGGACATCATCCGCTCCGTTTACCATCAACGCCCACCAGAGCGAGATTGCCTGCGTGGCTCTGAATCAGCCGGGCAGCGTGGCGGCGTCAGCCTCTCGTAAAGGAACTCTGATCCGCCTGTTTGACACCACGACCAGAGACAAGCTGGTGGAGCTACGCAGAGGGACCGACCCCGCCACCCTCTACTGGTACGAACCCAAACACTGACCTAATGTGCTTCAAATAACAGCGGACGAAACTTCTCCCTCCTCAGATGAATGTGTTTGCGAACAGATTGAATGTGTTGATGCACGGAGGTTTGGGAGAAGGATTGAGGGAGTCTGACGAAGATCATGAAACATCTTTGTTTAATCTGGAGTGAGGACAGAGAAGATCAACAGAGCGAGTCAAACAAAGAGTTCAGACACTCAGACGGTACAAAGAAAACAGAAGAAAACAGATATCCACCAGCTCACAATCAGATCCATTATTCTTTAAAAGGGTTCGACACAGGTGATCAGGGGGCCGTCTGAAGCTCCTCCCCCTCAGGTGAAGGTAGATTCAGAGGGCTGCACGGTCAGGTGCTGATGGCTCTTTGAGATCCTCAGGTGTGAAGTTTCTGGTTGTTCCTGAGTCCTGAAGAGGATCAGTGAAGTCTTTCTTAGTCCTGGCAGTCACGCTGTTGTTGCTGTGAAAAGGACAGGAGAGGAGAGGGTGTGAACTTTAGAGGAATAGATAATCAATCAAACTGATCTACAAACCTTTCCCATCTGAAAGTCCGGTCTCTGGACTCGAACCCCAGACTTTTCTAAACTGTAAAAACTCCTCAGAGCCTCAGAGGACATGATTCACATGATTCAGCTGCTGTGTTCACAGACTGAAAATAACTCCTATGAAATTTCCTCTGACAAACAACCAGGAGGCTCTTCTTCCTTCTTCTTTCTTCTCCTTTTTCTTCTTCTTATGATGAAGATGATGATGATGATGATGATGATGATGATGGAGGCGCTGTAGGAGATGATAATCAGCGAGTTTACTAACAGACAGACACTCGTTCAGTTTGTCCTCACAGCAGAGGGACATGATCAACAGCACTGTTTGGTTAGAGGGAGAAAGAGGAGAGATTCTCAGCAGGTGGAAATACGAAATACAACATAATGATAATAACAATAATAATAATAACAAAAATAGCAACAATACTACTACTACAGTAACAATTATAATAACAATAATAGTAATAATAATAAATAATAATAATACTAGCGAAAATTTATTATGATGATAAAAAATACTACTAATAATACTACTACTAATAATATAAATATAGTAGTAGCAATAATAATAATTATTATAATGATAATAATAGTAATAATAATAGAAACAATAAAAATAATAATAATAGTAATAATAATAATAAGCATAATACTACTATTTCTACTACTACCACTACAAATAATTTTAATCATATTTATAATAGTAATAACAATAATAATTATAATAATAACAATACTACTAATAATAATGCTAATACAAGTAGTAATGATAATAGTAACAATAAAATAATAATAAAAATAATACTAATGATCATAATAGTAATAAAAATAGTAATAATAATGGTAACAATAAAATAATGATAATGATCATAATAGTAATAAAAATAGTAATAATTATAGTAACAATAAAATAATAATAAAAATAATAATAATGATCATAATAGTAATAAAATAGTAATAATAATAGTAACAATAAAATAATAATAAAAATAATAATGATCATAATAGTAATAAAAATAGTAATAATTAAGGCTGCACGATATTGGAAATAAATAATATTGCGATTTTTTCAACCCTGCGATATATATTGCAATATTAAAAATACAGGAATTTTCACCAGATGACCTGAATAGCACTTAATGTTATGCTGCACTGCTGAAATCTTGAGGACAGTTACCCTGCACTGATCTTACCTCTTTTTGTGAATGTTAGAATGGCTTCTGTCTCAGAGATATTTTTAGCTTTTATTGTGCTGGGACGTTATTGTGGCAACAGATTAACACAGAACACGTGTTTTGGTCCTTCTTTTAACCGAAATAATTCCAGATAACTGACTTTCCTTTTCTTTTGGGCAACAAATCTTCATTTTCGGTGGTTTTCGCTTGTTCGATCGTTGTTGTTGTTGTTAGCGGTGTTGTGCCGAGAAACGCATGTCCTCCGAGAATTGCATGCACCTCGCAAAACGCGCACCGCTTATAGTAGAGTGGTCCACGGAAATGTACAATTTAAAACCCATACAGTTCTTATTTGTTGGGCTAAACAGTCATGAGTAAAGTTCCGAAAGTAATTCTCAGCGGACACACGTCTCCCTCCATGTGCAGAACATGTGCAGGGGTGGGTTTCCTCCTCTCTGATTTTGATTGACAGCTGGCAGGGTAGTCTGATTGGCAACTGAGAAGTGAGTCTGATTGGCAACTGAGTTAAGGACGAATGTGATTGGTGGATCGCTGCACAGCACATGCAGAGTCACATGCAGTGTATTTCAGTCAGTTACCCTTGAAATTAAATGAGTTCATTCACCTCCAATATCGCAGGCTCTGCGATGTGACTATCGCACGCACGTACATCGCGATGACGATGTTCAAACGATATATCGTGCAGGCCTAGTAATAATAATAGTAACAATAATAATAATCGTAATAATAAAAATTGAAAATAATACTACTTCTACTGCTACTACAAATAATAATAAGAATAATAATGATGATGATGATGATAATGATGATAATAATAATTAATTATAGTAATAATAAATGGTCCAGCTCTCAGAGAAAGGAAGACTTTGATAACTAGATCTAGTGTTTCTGTGTCTGTGTGGGATGATGACGATTCTCCCAGCTCTTTAAAAACTTCTCCACAGATTTTCAGACCAGCAGATACAGGAACTCAGTTTTTACTCCTTTTCTTTGAGAGAGACGGCGAGGGTAAAGGACAGACTCAACTCTGCAACGGTTTGATCCGTGTCTCAGGATTTGTGTCTCTGTGTTCATCTCTCTCTAACACTCCTCCTTTTGTCCCCTTCTTTTTCTCTCCAGCATCAACTTCAGCCATGACTCCTCCTTTCTGTGCGCTTCCAGTGACAAAGGAACCGTTCACATCTTTGCTCTCAAAGACACCAAACTGAACCGCCGCTCCGCGTGAGAACACCTCCTACCACCTCCTCTGTCGTTTTTTTTCAAACCGCTCTTTTGACTTTTGTGTCTAACCTCTCCTTGTCTCTCTCTGTGCGTCCCAGCCTGGCTCGTGTCGGTAAAGTGGGCCCTGTGATTGGTCAGTACGTGGACAGCCAGTGGTCGTTGGCCAGCTTCACGGTGCCGGCTGAGTGCGCCTGTATCTGCGCTTTCGGGAAGAACACGTCCAAGAACGTGAACTCCGTCATCGGTGAGGAAACGCGAACTAACACTGCAGTCTCTGATTCCTTTGTGTGAAAGAAATGAAACATTTAAAGACATAATTTCAGAAACACAGATCAACATGTTTCAGCATTTTAGACCAAAACTAATTCCTGAATCGCCAATAGATTAATCAGCGATACCATGATGTAGGGCTGGGCAATAAACCGAATATTTACCAATACCAAAATTGCCCGTATTGTTATATTCTGTGTCAAAATATTAAATAAATCAAAGTTGGTTTTGGATGTGTGTAGGTAGGCTATGGTCTGATGTCCCTTTAACCCAGGATTTCCACCACATCTGGAACAGCGGCGGTTTTTCGGCGTACACCAATTCCTACTGGAGGCAAATTTCGTGGTGGCTTACAGACAGCAGGAATCACGAGAACTCACAAGAACCCGGGGATTCGTGTGCAATTGCGCGATAACGAGTAGTCTCTATAAAGACAGACACAAAGACATATAAGCAGTAGATTGTGTCCCTCCAGAAGAGGAAATCTACTTCTAGACTTCTAGAATCAGCATCTCCTCATCCATGGTGTCATCAGGGTGAAATGACGTCTAAAAACCTTTCATATGTTCGTCTCCGCCCGTTTGCATGGTGTGAAATATGATCCTCCTGAAACACAGAGTTTTATTTTGAAAAGAAGCTGGATGTTTTATTTTGTGTCTGTGCCCGACTTCCTTTGCAGCACGGGTTAATCTGTGCTGAATTTATCTGGCATGCTCGGCATTCGGGAAAATAGAACTCTTGTGATCAGCTGTGGAGTCTGGCGATCCGCAGAGGAACGGAAAGAAGCCGGTGGAAATTGACACATTAACTTGAATGGTTATGATCAGCTATGATTGGGGGATATGACCTTTTCGTAGATGTTCAGGATGTGGTGGAAATTGGGGGTAAGATGCTGTCCTTCGTCAGAGACATGACTCCACCCCATCCAGTTTGTAACAATGAGGGACAGACAGGTGAGGAGATGGAGGATGGTTCAAAAGCTGGAGCGGTGGATGAAGTAGAAGAAGTTAATGTGGGAGGGGTGAGCAGCTTGTGGAGTAGTTATCGTCCATTTATTGTCATTGAGCTGAATCGTGATATTGATTTATAGACATATCACTCAACCCGACCAGGATTTGATTCCTGCTCTTATTTACCGTCATAATTTCACAGAGGAGTAGGAAGCCTAGATTCTCCTCGTCTTCTCTCGTTATTATCACCCAGTTTTGATAGTTTTTCACTTCAGATGGCGGCGCTCACTCATGACGGGGGCCGATCGCTCCATCTCTGTTTGAGTCTGACACAGACTCCGGCTCCAGACTGTGTCATCCACGTTGTCGTCGTATCACACTCTCTCCCCACTCAGTGTAAACAAACACAGCTGTGATCTAACTCTGAGCTCTCCTTTTCCTCCCGCAGCCATATGTGTGGACGGGACCTTCCATAAGTACGTCTTCACCCCTGATGGGAACTGCAATCGAGAGGCCTTCGACGTTTATCTGGATATATGTGACGACGACGACTTCTGAGAGTGAGGACGAGGAAGAGACGGAGAATCAGAGACTTTGAGCTGCTGAGGCTGTCGTTGTTATCAGATTTATTTACAATATGTAGCAGTGTGAACATCAGTCCTCTTTTTTATTAGTCTGTCAGTCATCAAGTCCAAATTAAAAACACGCTTTTGTTAAGAAATCTTATTTGAAATCTCTGATCTGTCTTTGTTCAGAAAATAAGAAACAAGATTTTCAATGATCTCAACCCTCTGTAGACCTAACCCACAATTTCCACCGGATCCCAAACGGCTACTAAAAGGTCATATCCTCCAATTGTGAGGAACGGAATTGTTGAGTCTCAGTTGAAAGGTCTCACCATCTCAACTAAGTCCAGTTGTCCTTTCCTAAAGAAGGTCAGATTTTGATCCATCAGACCACAAGTAGGGCTGGGCAATAAAACACTAACGATCTATATTGAAAATTAGTTTCCCTCAATATCAATATAAAACATGGTCAATATGATTTTTGATAGTCGGCATTCTGCCATGTTTTGTTGGACTATACGAATAGCCGATGAAAAGGTGGAGTTGCTCCGGTTTAACCATTCATGTGCTGAATTAGAACCAAGTATCAAACAACTGTGTTGTAGCAGACAGCAGCTACACCCAATCATAGCACTTTAACAGGTGAAGCCGACAGCACTGTTGGTGAGAAAAAAAGAAAATGAGTGCTACCCCCGACAGAAATGACCATGAAGCCTCAACAGATGACGATATCGTTGCCAATACTGGCGCGAAAACGTCAGTGGTGTGGAGGTATTTTGGTTTTTTGAGGTCGGACCTGAAGCAGAGTAATGTGTACTGTAAATTAATGTCCTGTACATGTTCTCACAAAGTCGGGGAATACCTCAAATCTTTTTCACCACCTGAAGCAGCACCACGCTGCAGAGCACGCACAACTCAAAAGGTTAAAAACCCAGAGAGGAGCAAGGAGGCCATGGCGCCTGTGCAGCCGTAATAGCCGACCATTCAGTCCGCCTCTCTAGAGCAACACCTTATGACAAAACGTCAAAGAGACACAAAGATCTCACAGATGCAGCTGCTTATTGTATTGGAAAAGATATGCTACCAATAAACATTGTTAAATTTCATTTTTTTATTGTGATTTTTATCGATATCATATGATCTTTAGTACAGAGATTTCTCCAGATCCTCTCCGAATGATATCATAGACTATTTAAACTTGAATTCGGTCTTTGGCGTCTCTTAATTCCAAAGAACTGTCCACATATTTGGGAGCGTTGATGACCCAGAATCTTCTCTCAGAGTGAAGATAAGAGGATGAGGGTCGTATAATTGTAGCCAATCAGAAGAAGTCTCTCTCTCTCCCTCACTCATATATATTTGCAAACGCTCACACCTCATAAACTCAGAGTTTCTACGGCACCAGATTCCACTGAGTGTGCAGAAAAGTCAATGTTGAATATTTGGTGAAAGAGCAGTTCGAAATAATCAGATTGAGGCATAAATGAAACTGTTATTACTGCACTAAAAGCCTCATTGACTCTCAAATGTAATTACAGGCCGCTCCAGACTTTTGTGAAATGTGCTTATTTAAAAGCTTCCTTCATCGTCAAACTCCGACTTTATTCTCCGATTATTCACCCAAACCAAGAGGACAGGGATCAGATCGACATCATTTCTCTGACTGTTTTCCTCTGAAACCTTTTAAAACACAATTATTCTGAGAGTCTGACAGCATTACAGGAAGGACCCCTGCGGGGGGGGGGGGGGGGGGGGCAGAGAGAGAAAGAGAGACGGGGGGGGGGGGGGCAGAGAGAGACAGAAAGACAGAGGGGGGGCGGAGAGAGAGACGGGGGGCAGAGATAGAGACACAGAGAGAGAGAGGGGGGGAGAAAAGAGAGAGAGGGAGAGTGAGAAAAGGAGAGAGAAAGACATTTTGATTTCTGAATTCACTTTATTTGTCGCTCTTTTTCAAAAAGAGGTCAATTCAAAATACTCAATCACACACTCAAAAAAATTCATAAATAAATAAATATTCACAAGTGCATCTTCAAACTGTAAAATATTTCCTGCACAACACCTGATTTAAACCCCAAAACTGCTGGAATGAGTCCAGATCTCCTCCTGCTCTGTTGAAATTAAAATCAATGAGGAGTCTGGACTTCATCATATTTTTACAAAGGGTGACCGGATCAACAATAAAACCATCCTCTATCTTCCTCCTGCAGCTAAAATACACTGCCATCTTGGCCTGCCCTAAAACAAAGTTTAAAAGCTGGCACTTGTTTTTGTGTTGGAGTGTGTATTCAAAACCCAGAATAAAAACCTGCTTGTTAAAAACCTCTCCACACTTGGTAAAAACAGTTTGTAAAAACAGAAACAAAGGTAAAAGACGCAGGCATTCATAAAAACAGTGAAAAATAGTCTCTCTCTGGGGGCAGTAGGGACACGTGTCCTCTACTGCCAGGTTAATGTGCGATATAAAAGAGTTCACTGCGATGACCCCATGGAGGACTCTCCAGTGTACACTCACCAGCCACTTTATTAGGTACACCATGCTAGTAACGGGTTGGACCCCCTTTTGCCTTCAGAACTGCCTCAATTCTTCGTGGCATAGATTCAACAAGGTGCTGGAAGCATTCCTCAGAGAGCTTTGTCCATATTGACATGATGGCATCACACAGTTGCCGCAGATTTGTCGGCTGCACATCCATGATGCGAATCTCCCGTTCCACCACATCCCAAAGATGCTCTATTGGATTGAGATCTGGTAACTGTGGAGGCCATTTGAGTACAGTGAACTCATTGTCATGTTCAAGAAACCAGTCTGAGATGATTCCAGCTTTATGACATGGCGCATTATCCTGCTGAAAGTAGCCATCAGAAGTTGGGTACATTGTGGTCATAAAGGGATGGACATGGTCAGCAACAATACTCAGGTAGGCTGTGGCGTTGCAACGATGCTCAATTGGTACCAAGGGGCCCAAAGAGTGCCAAGAAAATATTCCCCACACCATGACACCACCACCACCAGCCTGAACCGTTGATACAAGGCAGGATGGATCCATGCTTTCATGTTGTTGACGCCAAATTCTGACCCTACCATCCGAATGTCGCAGCAGAAATCGAGACTCAGCAGACCAGGCAACGTTTTTCCAATCTTCTATTGTCCAATTTCGATGAGCTTGTGCAAATTGTAGCCTCAGTTTCCTGTTCTTAGCTGAAAGGAGTGGCACCCGGCGTGGTCTTCTGCTGCTGTAGCCCATCTGCCTCAAAGTTCGACGTACTGTGCGTTCAGAGATGCTCTTCTGCCTACCTTGGTTGTAACGGGTGGTTATTTGAGTCACTGTTGCATTTCTATCAGCTCGAACCAGTCTGGCCATTCTCCTCTGACCTCTGGCATCAACAAGGCATTTCCGCCCACAGAACTGCCGCTCACTGGATATTTTTTCTTTTTCGGACCATTCTCTGTAAACCCTAGAGATGGTTGTGCGTGAAAATCCCAGTAGATCAGCAGTTTCTGAAATACTCAGACCAGCCCTTCTGGCACCAACAACCATGCCACGTTCAAAGTCACTCAAATCACCTTTCTTCCCCATACTGATGCTCGGTTTGAACTGCAGGAGATTGTCTTGACCATGTCTACATGCCTAAATGCACTAAGTTGCCGCCATGTGATTGGCTGATTAGAAATTAAGTGTTAATGAGCAGTTGGACAGGTATACCTAATAAAGTGGCCGGTGAGTGTACATCTGCATGTCTTTTTGAGAGTGGAGGTTTGTAGAAGGTCCCCCACTCAGGCCTGGCCTCAGGAGCCAGGCGCAGATAGTTCCTCCATGGGGGGTCAGGTCTTTTGTCCAGTTTTCTTCTGTTTGTTGTTTTTACCATGATTTTATAAAAGGTTTTTCCTGGTGTGCCCTCCAAAGGGGCGGGGTGGTTAAAATCCAACAGCAGGCCAGAACAGTCTTTAAAATCCGGTGCCAGGAAGATGGCAGGAAAGGGGTCTTTTTCGGTCACTGTCTGGTTAAAAGGGGAGTCTAAAAGCAGGTGGTCGTGTCCTGTGAGTCTCTGTCTCCAGTGGTCCAAGAGTTTTTTGTGACCCTCATCGATGAAAGTCCCAGCCGGGCAGCGAGTCCAGAGGGGTCGTCCATTCGGGGTCCCGTCAGATCCACCACCTGCCCCAGAGTGACGATCCCTGCTGTCTGTAGTCTTTTCTCCAGACTCTGACCTGCCCAGTTGGGAAGGTCCAAACGGGTCCCCCATAGGACCGGTTCCTGCAGGAGCCAGTAGATGGAGTCCACCTGGCCCCTCCTCTCCTTCATCAGCAGGCCCCAAACCTTCAAAACACTGATAAAAAGCAGGCAGAGAAGATGTGCTCATGTTCTGTGTGTTCATTAAAAACAAATTAAAATCCTGACCCAGGCTGTTAAAACCCTGCAGAATGCAGCGGGACAGGGGCCTCCACAGAGTGTCCTTCGGCCTTGTCAGCAGCCTTTGGATGAACTGGAGCCTGAAGGCTGCGCCCCTGCTGGCCAGGTGGACCAGGCCCTGGCCCCCCTCCTCTTTCGGTAAAAACAGGACACTCTGTGGGACCCAGTGGAGTCTGTCCCAAATAAAATCAACTAAAAACGATTGAATCTTGGGAAGGAGAGAAGCTGGAGGATCGACACAGGCCAGCCGGTGCCACAGGGAAGATGAGACCAGATTATTTGCGATTAAGGTTCGGCCTCTGTGCAACATTTTAGGGAGCAGCCACCTCCACTTCTCCAGCCGACCTTTAACCTACTCCAGGACATTGTCCCAGTTTTTTCTGTATGCAGAGGCCTGTACTACGAAGCTGGATTAACACATCCAGGATAACTCTGCGACAACTCGCTCAACTTCACCGGATCTCCGCGATCCCGATCAGCTGTACTACGAAGCAGGATATCAACTCGATAACTGAATCCAGGTGTGGCCGCTTCAGATCTGTGCGCGCACACGTAAAGGGGGTGAGGTCAGTTCCACCGGACCATTCTCCACAATGGAGAAGGCTGCACGTCATTTTTCACAGCCGAGGAACAGAGCTTTATTTTACGCAAATACGAGGAGTACCGCAACATTAAAACAGTGAGGAGCAGGACAGCCGCAGCCGCTAAAAGCCGGAGGGACTGCTGGCAAAAAAAATCATCGATTGTGTAAATTACATTTGTGTGTTCATAAATTTATGGCCCCCTAATATGTTGTCATGCAGCGTGTGTGATCACCTCCATCATTGACCTCATTATTTCAGATCTAACAGCAGTGGGGGAAAGAGTACGTGGGAGCAAATAAAAATAAATCTAAAAACATCCTTTAAAGTAGTTTGTAAGTTTATTGGAAGATTTTATTTGTATATTTCAACGCGTAAACAGCGATTTCCTCACACTGCCTTTTTTTTCTCCATCATCTGATAGTCACATGTCATCTGCAGACACATTTGAGGTTAAGAGTTTTCTAATCTGCTTCAATAAAGTCTGAATGATGACTGATATTCCGCATGAAATTGGAACCTGGAGCTTGGCAAATATTAGTGTATTGCTTAGACTTCATGCTACCTGAATATTGAGGCCGTCCGAGGAAAACCTGTAATGTTCATAGAGAACATCATCAGGTAAATCAAACGGATTTGAACGATCATGAATATAACGCTCTCGGCAAAGCGCTCCTCTCACTATCCGTGCAACGATGTCCCCGGGATCCGGCAAAAGTGGGCAAGCCATTTTCCAAGAGATCCGATTGGTCATTGGGCGGTCTTTTATACCTGCTGAGCTCTTATCCTGAAACATAACCTGCTCCGGAGCAGGTTTGGCATTCCGCGTAAGTTACCGGGGCAACGGACTTGGATAAAAAGAGATCCACCTTCGTAGTACGCAAAACCCAGAAGTTATCCAGAAGTTATCTCGCTAAGACCAAATCCAGCTTCGTAGTACAGGCCTTAGGTCTCATCTCCTAGGAAGACCCCAAGGTACTGGAGTCCTCCTTTTTTCCACTGTAGGCCACCAGGCAGCCTGAGCCGGCCCCCCAGCTCCCCTCCAGCCATCAGAGCTGGAGTTCACCTTAGCTGAGGAGATAAAACCAAAATCATTAACAGTGTCAGTTAAAATGT